CCCATGGTTACGCCTTTGCATAGTACTGACCACAATAAAGTGCAGGAATGGATCTTAGAATACAGTTGCATTTTAAATAATAAGAATAAGAAAATTGAGGATAATTAGTTACTATGGTCTCAGCCTACATTAAAGGCGTAATATGATATCAATTTGAAATTAAAAACAGTATAATGCCTCCACCTGTTTAATTTTCTGGGGATACAATGCAATGGGGAAATGAAGTTAATTTCGTCATAGCTTGATTGAACTTTATCAGAAATCTCGAAACTTGATTACACTTGCTTTCAAAATATTTGCTCTTTCCAAATATCATGGAGTTGATTGCAATTATGTTCGATGAAAAATCAAACTGCTATCAAAAGGCTTATTATTATATGGGTTAAAAGTTTTTTAGGATTATCCATACCATGTAAGTTTCCTTGGTTCCCATGATACTACAAGATGACACTACAAGTATAACCATAATAATCATTAATCAAAGTACTATTGATCTGCCTGTGTGATTACATTTTGTTGCAGATGCCGAACGCCGAACACCAACCGCCAAACATCGTTCACAAAAAAAGTTGGAGACAAATGTCTCTACTTGTGGTGGTGACATAGATATAAGACCCCAAACCCATCCCAAACAGTTCCTAGATCTATAATGGAGATAAAACCTTAGTTGAATATTCAAATTGAACCAGTAAAACAGATGTAAATTAAGTTCCCTTCTTGAAGTTTCACAAGATCATGAAGCCTGAACAGTTGATTTCACTCTTTATCAAAAGTCATGGATGATTGCTGTTGGATAGGAATGAAATGAATAAAAAAAACTAGCCTATTGAATGTCTGTGCGAATGGTATCAAATAATTTAGATTTCTCAAAGTTGCTTTTCCACTTACTTAGTAACTCACTTTAATCCATAATCACATATCAATACAGGCTCATTTCCTCTGGCCACCATACCATTGCAATGTAATGACGGGAAATGGTGGCTGGATTAAGTAATCAAACGTCTCAATTAGTTGAGCGTTTGTTTTTGTTGAATGTTACTAGAAAACAAGGCGTAATTCTGATTTTGATATTATTGCAATGCACATAAAGCACATAAAGCATAGTCCTATGCATGTGAGGAATCTACATGCATAGTTCATTTGATAGAGGGAAGGGGTGGCGTAAACAATTTCTGACTGCCAAGTACCCCTCTAGGAGCCCATTATACCAACCCTCCACTCACGCACACACGCAGTCCATGTTGGGTATGAAAATAGAAACGGATCAGGCCCAAGGGGGGGGGGGGGGTAAAACCACACCCTCTTGAAGAAAAGTTTCTGACGGGGCTGAGCCCCCCCCCCCCCTCGGCAAAAGCAGATTATGAATAATGTAGCCAGTCCATGTTAGTTTCTCGGAGATATCTTTGAAGAATTCCCAACTTATCAAGACAGATAACAATATTAAATGTAGATGGCAAAATAAACGCGTAAAATAAACCCACCATGCATGTGACTTGTCAAATAAGAAATAAAAACAAAGAAACAAACATAAAACCTATGCTCATTAATTAAGGGGAAAATCAGATTTAGCAAGCAAACTTCTAGACTTAACAAGAATTTTTGAATATTTTTTGCTTATATCATTCCGATCCTTGTCATGTTTATTTTTAAAAATTTGAAAGGAATAAATTGATCGGTTAGTTGTCACTTGTACATTTTGCTTGCAATTTGTCACCCCTATTAAAAGATCTGGTTCTGCCTTTATCAGTCTAATTTCATAGTTGTCAAATAAAAAATCCCCTTGGCAAGAAGGCCGCAGCTTATACTTTAAAGAGTGTAGTCGGTCCATGATAGTGTCTGGGAGTTGTCTGAAGAATTCTCAACATATCAAGATACGGCTGATAATATAAAATGTAGATGGCAAAATAAAACGGCATGCCCCTCTAAACATATGCTCATTAATTAATATGGTTACAAGCAAAAAAGGATATAAAAAGGATATATTTAAATGGTTGCAACGCATTATCTATTTTAACAGAAATCAAGATAGTAACTCATGCAACAAAACGGAAAATGGTTTAGAAAATAAATCAATGAGATCAACGTTATACAATGATGGAAACAAATCAGATAGTAAAAAAATCTTATTCTAATTTAATTCCTAAATCAAGTCTCAACCCTCCAGACACTGGTGACATTTGAACGCATTTTATCTAATTTAAATTAGACTTTATCTAATTTAAACAATCAAATCAAATCAAAAGTAAAACATGCAAACAGGTATAACTGCTTATTTGATCTAATATCCGAGGAAATGTGCGTCCGGGGTGTGTAACGCTTATTTCCAGTCCTACATCGCCGCTGAACACCCTGAAAAGAAATCTGCTTATGATAAGTTATTCTTTTTATACCATGGTCAGAGCAATATCTCAGTATTCAATAGCAAGTGATAAATCATATATTTAGGATATGGATGATATTGGGATTAGAGGGAAGATATGGATATCAACCCGGGTATTATTAAAAAATTTCATGTTTCAAAAACAAAATTTTTTATTTTTTCAAACATTTTCTCTCATTCAAAAGAGGATTTTAGATATATTTTGCTCTTGATCATGGTATAAGGTCGTTATTCACCTGTCGGGATGATATTGAGAATATCCCTCGGATGATATCAATATTTCCCTCTGTCACTGCGTTCCCTCGGGATATATTCATATCATGTGATATTCCCCATATGAAATCCCTCCTGGTGATTAACTTCTTTGTAAATACTTTCAACTAATTTAACAATGAAACAGAAACACAATGCATGCCAAACATTATCTATTGTTATATTATGGTTATTTCATAGTTTGCACTTGTATTCAGCAACTGTGTTTCTCAAACCAAATATGGGATAAACATTTTTTGGGTTATCACGTCAGACTTAACACGTCGCTTGAGGCAAGATGCATAAACTATATAATTCCACGTCTATAACTTGAAGAACGCCATTGTTGTGTTGTTGTGTCTGTACCCCTTTAGGATTGGCCGTATATTGTTCTTGTGTGTATCCTACCCACGGGAACCTACAAAACAGATAATTACATTATCAAAAGGGGAAGTCCCTTCTATATAAATCCCTAGATTGAAGTCGTTGAAACATCCCCATATTTGCAACAAAAGAATGATAAACCAAAGTCAGTTAGTAGTAGTTGTACCATATGCATGAATTGTAGCTTTTGGTAAAGATGATAAAACGCAAAATATAATTTAAATACTTGGTGAAGTCAGGCATTCATGATCTAACAAGAAATTTAGGGAAGGCCTTGATTATAATTAAACGTAAAAGCAAAAGTTGACCATTGCATCTCAGTGGTTATCATGACAAATGAATGTTCATTCGAAGACTTCATTTTGTAAATTTGACCCAAAATCACACGAAAAATGGTCAGAATTATGAAAAACTGCATGATTTTGAAAGAGTTTTTGGCCAGGGGGGTTGCCTAAAATAAGTGAAACTTTGAGAACCCACGGGAGTACATGTAATTACTCACTGTAGAAGTTAAATGTACGCGAGGAAATGTTTGTTTTATTTGTGATACTCCCTAGATTTGCTTGTTGTGAATCAATAGAGTAAGAACGATACGTTTTGGATGTAAATAATATTAAAAGTTATTGAATGATTTGAAGTGCAATACAGGATATATTCTGCTCGAGAAATTCCGTATTGGAACGAGACGAAGTCGAGTGCCAATACAGAATATCGAGACAGAATATCATAATGTAGTTATTAAATTCACACGTTTGGTGTATTTGATATTGCCGAAATTATGTACAAGGGGTCTGTTGCAATTTCACAATTTCAAACTGTAATCGGCCCTTGTGCCCGGGAGTAGAAATAAACTATACATATTTCATGTCACTAAATTTAAACCCCTTATTTATGGAAAATACTTTACATTGTTCTTACTATGGATGTTATATAGGATTTAATTCGAATTTGAAATCCGGAATTTTTAGTACTTTAAAAAGATGAATTAAATATGGATATTCTTTGTACATTTTGTGCATTTACAGGATGTTGTGTACGTAGAAACAGAGAGGCTAGCTACATGTACACGTATTTTAGAGAACTTGTACGTGAACATATAATAAATATGATCCCCTAGGTTTCCTGTCCCTCCCTCAATTTATTTTTTTACCATCGGGAAGCTATCGTTCCGAGCTAAACCATGGTGTTATTTATTAAGAATTCCGACGACAAATTGCAGAATTATAGACCGATTAATGCAGTTTCTCAAATGGCTTGTTTAGAGCCAGAAAAGTGGATCCAGACTGCAACATGGTTGCTATATTGCTCTGGGTTTCGTCAGAGCCGACCGCCCGTGTATGATGTAGTATTGAAGGCCGGAGTGCAACTAGAGCACGGGTATTTAAAATGTATTCCCGTCCCCCCAAAAAGGTTAATTCATCAAAACTACTCCGGGACTGTACACATGCGCACGAAACTACTGTAAGAAGAATAGGCGTAACATTCCTGTCGACTTATTAATAAACGTAATTTTTAAAGAAAAATTAAATCACCGAAAAGCGTATACAACTGCTTCAAATGTTTATACATGTGTGCCACTGGACCAATGTGAAATGGAATGATCCGTAATCACTTTAATTGTATTCTTTTTCAAAACAGATTAGACGAATCAAATATTCATTGAAACTGAGAAAAACGCAACACTAGAATCTTGTCTGAAAGTTGAGTTAATATAGTCTCTACTACATATGTAAATGAAAAATAATGTAGGTTTAGTTTAATTAATATGCGTATGCAATCGTTGAGCGAAGGCAACACTGGCGTTAAGCTATGTAAGCACGAACGGTTCGCGGGTTAAGTCCTGTCGCAAAGCAAGGTAAACGCGAGGTAGTCACACACGCGAAGCGACCGCGCCGCTCAAGTAAAACAAGGGCATCGCACTCGCACGGCAAAGGAGTGTACGGCGGACGGCAAAGTGACACTTTCGTTTATAGATGGACTGTACCTTTGATTGGATGTCTTCGTCTTCCATTTTCTTTAGTCTGTTTCCGTGTATAACTGTTGGCTTAAGTTAATTCATTGTAGGTGGTCTGTTTTTGTATATCCCTTAAAAGCTGGAATATCATCATTGGTAACATAAACATGTGATCATTAATAATTTGCGGGTTTTACAGCCCTAAGTTTGCATCCATTCATATCACTGACTGCTTCAGAAGGACGATTAGGGGTTTGATCAAATCACGTGAGATTAAGAATTGAGGTAGATTAAAAATGGTAACAAAATGTCGGAACATCGAAGGTACGATTTTTCTTTTTTCCTTATTCCTCATGTTGTAGGCAGAATTTCCACGACATTTTTAATACAAACGTGTATCAGTATCATATGTTTAAGAAAATATACATATTTGCGAAAAAATAGTTCAGACGACAACAGAATCATCGATTTAATTCCTCACTTAAGTTACATAAACTATTTTTCGAAAAACAGTTAAGATCTGCACTTTTAACCCAAACCATTTATGTAACTTAAGTGAGGAATTAAATCGACGATTCTGTTGTCTTCTGAGCTATCTTTTCGCAAACATTTTCTAAAACATATGATGCTGATACACGTTTGTGTGAAAAAAAGTCGTGGGGATTTTGCCTACAACGCGTGAAATAAGGAAAAAAGAAAATTCGTACCTTCGACGTTCCGACATTTTGTTACCAAAACGAACCGTTTCGGTAACCAGCGTAATCGAGCGGATCACCAGTGTACTGTGCCAAAACCGGATGAAATTAGGTCAAATAACTTGTGCATGATTCTATAATTCCAGAATGAACAACATCCAAACATACAAAACTTTGCGATTTATTTTTGCATACTTTTTGCTAAATTATTTTAAAAGTAGTTTAGAAGCTATTAGTGTGTAAATCTGACCTAATTCATAATGTACCTTTTGCGGAATAAAACATGGGCAAAAATGTTTTGCGTGCGTTTTGCATATTTCCTATTGGAATAGTTACTAAAATAAGTGCCATGGGAAAATATATCATATTGTCTCTCCAGAAAATGATATAATGATATAAACGATATACTGATATAAATGAAAACGATATGAAAATTAAAAAAATGTCTAGTCTACAGAGATCTGAGTTATAGGAGCATATTATAAAAGTATATAACACTTACCATCTAAGTATCTGCGACTAAAAATCCATTTCGTACTCAGGTATGTTTTTTCGTGTTCAACAATCCATTACATGATGTAATAATTGATTTTGAAATGTTAAAGGTCTACTCGGTTTATATTTACTGTAATTTAGAGCTTCTCATTCGTATATGTTTAACTTGCCCACGGTGTAGTGCTTGATCTTTGAAAATCGTTCCCCCATTCATAAAATGCCTAAGGGGTAGTCAGGTAGTGTGTTAAAACAGCAAAAGAGAGACATTGGAAAAGAAAATTGTTTATACACGCGTGAAAAGTATCATCGTACATGCACAAAAATTTACAAAAATGTTCAACTCATTCTTATGAAGTAGGAAAATGCGAGAAATATATGTATTTGGCGTGACGTGCCAAACATGGGGTTATATAGTAACCAATTGTTGTGCAGAATATTGAAACGTTAATCCGGATTGTATCGGTGATCCCATTGTCGACCATTGAAATTGAGTTGACCTTTCTAGGATTTTCATTAGATTAACCATTTAAAAGATCAAAATGTCGTAGAATAAACGAATTATCGCGTTTAAGAAATACATTTAGTGTCATTTCGGTGATTATCAGTTCAAGGAATAAGTTTCTATATTAAACTTATTCATCTTAGAAACTCTACGCATAAGACAATTCGCACGGTTGCAATTTCAACAAAATATTTCTAAAGAAGTCAATTTCCGGAACCAAGGATGAATAGGGTAACACGTGTCATTATAATACATATTGGACTTTTTATTTCAATGGTCCTTTTTCCATATAGCTTTAAAATCCTGTTAAAGTCTCGTTTTCAATGAGCTTTTAGGAGATCTGCATTTATTACCATTAACGACTGACATTTTCTTCCATCTGATGACATATTTAAATTCTATGTGTAATGTTCCATAAAAAACATTTTTATTTTCACCGTTATTTTCCTTTATTCAAATTCTAAAGATGTTCTAGTTGTCTAAAGAAGGTCGGCCTAAATCCCCATTAATACAATGCTGAAAAACATTTAAAAGTTCATTTACTCTTATAAGGATCACAATTGTAATGGCAAATCACAATCCACATGTCAATAAGATCGTTGGTCCAAATGGAATTACTTGTTAGATCATGAAATTAAGTGACTCTTCCGAATACATAACCATGTATTCTAAGTATTTCTAGCCCTAACAACACCAATGATGCCATCTAGTTTTCCATTTATATGAAAAAAACATAATGCAACGAAATGCCACCACAATAAATTAACAAGTTTTATAGCTAGATTGTCTATCAAGCAATAAAGACACAACGCATTTAACTCATTGCTATTTAACATACGTGTTTTACGTTACCCACGGGTGTTAAAACACGAATATACCATGAGCACATGCTTTGAGGATCCGCGTTGTTTGAACCTACCGCCGAGCACACTTATACATTAAGACCCGTTACACAGTCATGATACCGCCGAACAAGCCTATGCATCATCGGGTCTGCTTTACCCCCGTGTTACCGACACATTGCGCAACGTTCACCGTCGCTACAATTATCGTCAAGCTGTTTTCGATTACCTAATTTAAGGTACTCTGAAAGTGCTCAATCCGTTTTACATTACAAGCTAGCTTATAGCCGTTTTTTCATTAGAATCGTTTCATAAAATAACAGTCACTCTATTTGGTGATAATAAATGGCAATAGTAAAATGACATTAACGATTTATAATGACGACAGCTCTCTGTTAGAGGTGAAGTCGAACGAATGCAAAGGGTAATAACGAGAGGTTCTCAACTCTAAATATGAATGTCTTGTATACCAGTATATTTTTCATTTTTGTTGATAAGGGATACTAAAATGATACCATGAAAATTGCCATATTGACCTACTTTTAAATGACATCTCAAACAGCTTAGTATAAGCATTTAGAGTTTTAGTTTAGTTAAGTTTAGTTTAAAATAGTTTATTTTTGTGTCACTGACATTACAATATACATATAAAATACATAATAAAAACAACATTTTGTAACATCACCAGCCGGTGCCGACTTATGAGACACAGTATACATTATATCTGAGTGTCACCCATTACTACCCCCAATGGGCAGCTTGGGTCAACACTCATAAAGACAGAGACAAAAAATGTCCCTGGTAAAAATTTATACATGATTAATAACCAATGATATAAGTTCAGTCTGATTAATCAGTTTGGCATAAATAAATAAGCAGTTCATGGAATGATATTGTCAATCATTATATTAAATACATATATTGCACTAAATGAGAGTAGCATGTTGCATATTGTCAAAAATTACAATAAATACAAATATCGCACTAAATGTGAATTGTATCATGCATATGGTCGAAGACTGTTATAACAATAAATTCATATATTGCACTTAATGTAAGTAGCATGTTGCACTATGGTCAAATATTACAATAAATATAAACATTGCACTAAATGTGAAATACACAATGCATCGGTTGAAGACAAATATTACAATAAATACATGTATTGCACTAAATGTGAGATGCATATTGCATGATAAATACATATATTGCACTAAATGTAAGTAGTATATTACATATGGTCAAATATTACAATTAATATGAATATTGCACTAAATGTGAAATACATAATGCATATGTTTGAAGACAAATATTACAATAAATGCATATATTGCACTAAATGTGAGATGCATATTGAGTAATAAATACATATATTGCACTAAATGTGATTTGCATGAGCAGTGAATAAATAAAAAAGAACCCCATAGATAATATACACCTCTGCAGTAGTGAATTGAGACCATCTTCCCCAAGGTTGATAGCTCGAAGCACTAAAAAGAGGCATCATAAAACCAAGGAGTTTCTGACTAGATACATTTTAAATAAATATTTTATAAAGGAAACTTAGGTGACATGCATACTCATTTAGTGATTATAGCCTATCAATATTAAGAGATCTCTTATTGCACATATTATAAACTAAAGCTCCTAATGGTCTTTGGAGTGAAGTACAATTCATAATGGAGACAAAAAGAAGTGTAGAATTGGCTGATGTTACATCTAAATAAGGCAATTTCTGTTTAACATTTTCATAAAAATCACATCTTAGATCATCATAATGGCTACATTCTAATAAGAAATGCTTTTCATCTTCAATACAATTCATGTCACATAACAAGCATTTCCTTTCGTGTAATGGTATACCTGTGTAGCGCCCTGTTTCAATTGCTAAGGGTAAAGTACCAGTTCTGAATCTAGCGAGTGACCTACGGTGATGCTTTGGTAGGGCCAAATACCCTTCCTTGCAAACACCATATTTGTACAGTCTATATTGCCTCAATTTATTACCATTAATTTCATTATTTCTATCATCCCATATGTTATGGATAAATTTATCAGAATATCGAAGAGAGTTGGTAAACTGTTTTAAAATGTCCTTGGTATGACCAGTGAAATTTATATTACATGTATTTAACATTGAATTAACTTTAAAGTCCCAACTGCTTTTCCGTTTAATGGACCATTCATGTATTTTAAAATTCAGCCTATTCTGATTCATGGACTTCAGTTTAATGAACAATCTAGCACATTCCACCTTTTGTTTTAAATGTGGAGTGTCCCATCCGAGATCTCCTCTAACAGCCTCATTACTAGTGCGTTTGTTTACACCTAGAAAGAACTTGCCAGCTTTATTTTGAACATTGTTCAGGCATTGATGTTGGTTGAGGCCAAATATAGATGAACCATAGTTTAGTATAGGCTGGACTAAAGAGTCATATAGCTTGTTGTAAACTGCGAACTCCATACCCCCAGTTTGCTTGTATTTGCTGATAATTACACTCAGGGCTCTATTTGCCGATTTTTCAATTTCTCTGGCAGAGTTATGGACTCATGAAAGAAAAGATTTCAGCCATATACATGCTGTAGCTAGCATCTGGCTTGATCATTTTGGACATTTGTATCAATGTTGACGACAATCGGTTTTGGTACGATAAAAAATATGCAGTATTCAAAATAAAACAGAAAAATCAGTCTAAAATGATGTGGGTCAGCCATAATCCAGTCTCGAAGTCCATTAGAGTCTCGAAGGCTCAACATCCATCCGCATAGTATAGTCCATAAAACACAATAGGCAGTCATCAAGATTAGATTGTGACAGTGGGTGGTGTCGATCCCTATCAGCTACGTGTATGAGTAGAGTGCAACTATTAACGGACTTAATATGAATAAAGGGGGATGTTGTGTTTAATTAATTGTGGAAAAGTGCCTTCGATACCAGGGGCGGATCTAGGAACGAACAAGGGGGGGGGGCCCAAATTTCAGGTCAGAGAAAAAAATTTTGGGCCCCTAAAATCCAAAAGTGGGCCCAAATTTTGAAATTTAAGGGCCCATTTTCTTCAAAACTTGGCCTGAAATTAAAAAATAAGGCCTTAAAAGGCCCAGTAATGACCAAAAAGGCCCACTTTTTGGAGCCTGAAGGCCTTGTTTGGCCCAAAAAAATTTTTGGGCCCAATTTTTTTTTTCTGGGCCCACCCAAGGGGGGGGGGGGGGGGCGGGCCAGTGGATACATACCTGTAGTTAACCTTGGTAAATCTCACAAATATTTCACTATACATGAGTACATATCAGGTGAAAATATCTCATCACTATATCACCGTCATATTTTCCACTCTCTTATTGGTCTATCCCTGACCAAAAAGAAGTACATGTAGACGTATTCATCTGCCAAGAACTGTGACTTGTAGTGCAAAACAAATTTTAAATGAGACTGTCCAACAAGATGTTTTTATTCTGAGGGGACCCTTCTGAAGGAGTATGCACCTGTCCAGCTGTCATATTAAATAGAAATGTCAGGTGAATGTTGTATAAAAAGAAAATAGAAACAAAACATTCAAACCTTATTAACTTTTAGTTTTATACAATGACCCTAAAACGAACTCCATAACCTGAAAATAATCGAGAATTATAATCTTTAAAAGGCTTTCGTGATTTTGCTCCCTTTCAAATTGCTTACCCTAGTTTCTTTTGTTTAGATACATCTAGCTTTAGTTCAACTTCCAGGACATTTAAGTTAAATATATACGCAATACAAAGGGCTCTTGAAAATTTATGTTTACAATTTTCAAGAGTCTTAAGATTTACTATATTCAGAAATTCAACCGCTTGTAAATTCTTTAATCACAATCATAACACAATCGTGGCTATTTGGGACTTATCAACATTGCGTGAGTACATTACAAGTATATACAAAAAGAATTAAAGTCGATCAGCTAGGAAGTACTTACAAATGAAACCACGTGATCATTATTGTAAATAAAGCATTCAGACGTTTGATATTATATAGAGAATGAATCTAGAGAAAGCGACCATGGATTTATCTATGACATTTATATGGATACTTTCTGTTTTTCAAATCGCGGCCACACAAGAGACAATCTCACAAAGTTTTTGTAAATTGCATGATGGAAAAAACTCTTACAATGTTATGGTTGATAAGGGTGACGCGGCATCTGCAGAGGGACTTAAGCGTATCTCTGATAAGCTTCGCACTATGGAAAATAATTATACTGCAAAAATTCATGACTTGCTGGTTAATGTTGTAAAACTACAAAGCGAAAGTCTTTCTCTGGAGACAATTAAACAAGAAACCGTACAGATGCAAGAGGATATGGTTGCACAGATTGAGAATTTCACAACGACGGTGAATTCCCTGCAAAATGACCTTCGTTCTCAAGGACTTCACTTTAGCAAGGAGCTCACTGATCTTACAAATGAGTTCCAAACTGAAGTCAAACTGAAACTTCACAGCGAAGTTGAAACATTAAAAAGAGCAATTTCAGATGCAAGTTCTAACTTGACCCAAAAACTGAACAAATTTTACCAAAATGTCAGCCAAAGTGTCACCAATTTAACAAAGGACATTTTCACCTTAAAAGTTGATTATGAAGCGGAGAAACAGGAGATGACAAACAAAATAGTCGAACTCGAAACTAAACTAAACTCAACACAATTGGCAATGCATGACCTCAGCCTCAAAGTGAATCTACTATGGAACCAAAGTAGAATAGGTATAGATTGTTTTACTTTTAACCAAACCCTTGACACCAAAAATTAATTTAATATTGTTTGTTTTTATTCTTTGTATTTGAATTCATAACAAGAGCATCTCAGGTTGTGAATCGAGTTCTTATATTCAAAAAGTTTTCTCTATACATGTACCCGCGTGGCACAAAAAAATGACACCCACCCACATAGTGTTCCATAATTTTTTGTCTAAAAAAATCTGACATCTTTTTCGCACATTAAAACTACAAAGCTGGGTGGCATTTTTGTGTAGAATCCATGTGTGTCTGCAAAGGAATGGACAACATTTAGAGCAAATGTTATAACACTCAGAATATTTGACCCACTTGAGCTGGACATCTGAAATTCCTCGAGGTGCTTCTGCATTACATCTACTTAAAATGTGCCAAAGGACAATTCTATATGTTAATAGATAAACAAGTAATGCAACGTAAGGTGGGTGTCATTTTTTGTGTCACCCTGTATGATAACGTCTGTTGTCTCATTTTTGTCTGATAGCTTGTGTCCTGAAAGTTTAACCATCAGTCTTTATTACGCCATCGATGATACACTGAGTTCGAGCCAAACGCAGATAGATATATATACTTGTCAAAAGTAATAAGATACTCTCATGCTCAAACATCTACCTTTGCAGTTAAACACTGTGGTTCTTTTATTCTTAATTCGAAATAAAAGTAGAACATTTTTGATCGCAATAAGTGCATGTATCTACGGTTTATTTTACTGGTGAAACCCTGTTCGCGTTTCTTTTCCTGCAGTGGATGCGAATTGAAACATTGTTAAATGAGATTTTTCGAAATCAGGATAATCGCGGGATTTTGTCGATTCACTTATATTATTGGACAGTTTTATTGGAATAGAGTTCTTTTCAAAGTTCTGACGCTTTAAGATTAGCTGTAACTGCCTTTTGATATTGTTGAATGTGACACAATCAACCACAGCACGAACACCTGGTGACACTTATTATATGCTTTTCATATTTGTGGTAATAAATGACATCGATCGTTTTAATATCCAAGTTTGTGAAGTACAGTAGAACCATGTATAACCGAACCCCTTTCTAATCTGAAAACCTCTCAATGTGAACACTTTTCTCAGTCTCAATTTGCTTATCTCACATTGATTCATATGTTAAGAAACTCACGGGAACATCTCTTAAACCGAACATGAGCACGTTTTAGCCGGTCTCAATGGCGTTCGAATTAGACAGGATTAACTGTATTGTGCTTGTAATGAGTAATGTAGACAATATTCTAATACAAATGTCATAATCCCTCCGAAACTATTGACCAGAAGACTTATTATAGATATTTATTAGTCTCCGTCTATAGCAAGTCCTCGATCTCGTGTTTTAACATCAAGTGGATTTTGATAATATTGGGGGCGGTAAGCCTGCCAATGATTTGATTAAACAAATATTTCATTCTGGATTTCGTGAAAAAGATGCATACGTATTCATCTCGATATAAGATATATTATGTAGCAGTGTGTAATATTTGTGCAATACGGGATCCAAAGAGATTTTATGACAACATTTTATGAACAAATTCATCAATGACATTTATTGAGCATATATAAAACTAATGAAATGAAATAAGCCACGAATACCTTGACAAAATGTCTGCTTTCTAACAATCGACTTCATTATATAATAGATGAACAAATAATATACAGCGAGATACATATGTTGCAGGCTAAAACCTAGTCTAGCTAGAAGCCTTTGTGACCCCCCCCCATCCACCCCCCTACTACGCACCTCCTGTGTAGTCAAGTAGTGTGATGGGGGTCACAGGGGCTTGTAGCTAGACTACATTAAATTAAACTATAGGCACCTTTATTTAATTTATTTCAGTGTTCGACTGTCCATCTGGATTCATGAAGCACTCAGATTTGATGACGTGTTACAAATTCGTAGCACGTGACTTAACATGGTTCGATGCCCAGCAACTCTGCAAAATACATAACGCGCATCTGGTCGCCATAGAAACAGACGTCGAGCAGAACTACCTCATATCACATATAAGAACTACTAGTGGCAAGTCTTTTTCCATAACTTTTTACAAAATTCCACCTTCAAATTCTGTACTATCTACGGTGCAAAATTTATTGATCACCCCTTGTTTTTTTTATTTCCAGGCCTAATGGGCCATCACTTCTGGACAGGTGGAACAGATTTTGCAGTGGAAAAAGATTGGGTTTGGGCCACGAATAATTTACCATTCGTCTACAATAAATGGAAGCCTGGTGAACCGGACGATGCAAATGCTGGAGAACATTGCATGAACCTTGCATTTGAAGCCAACTATGCATGGACGGATGAGGATTGCATGAAGACATCTTACAGCATTTGTGAACATATTTTACCCGGACACAGTTAATGGTTAAGGGACAAAGTCGTTGGACGTTGGCCATGGGGGTCTTATTCATTCAGGGTGTATTGAAATTTTAGAAATTCATATTTACAAAATTGCATTGAATTTTCGGACAAAATTCAATTTGTTTATTAAAGAATACATGTGTACCCTGTAGGGTTTCCGCCTTTGTTAATCTGAAATATAGCTTTAATTTGACATGATATATGTAAAACTATATTTCCGTTTATTTGATTTGCACTTTGAATTCAGTGATATAAGGGAGGTTAACTTACGCATTTTTAACCTTGTACGTGAACGTGTAGAGTATTGAGTAATTGTAAGTTGGCCCCTGGGGAAGTGAATTGAGAGCGGGACAGTAATCCTGGGGTCGAGATATTACACGCTCATGTACAGGTTCTCTTAAAAACGTGTAACTTAACCTCCCTATCATGTTGCGTTATTTGGTTTGAGCTTTACCCCAAACTGCACAATTTCAGAAAAACATTTAATAATATAATGTAATTATAATGTAATTGTAACGTTTGATCCCTGTAACTAAAATTTAACTGGTACTACGGTACTACCCTAAGACTAGAGTACAGGCTACGGACCCCACTCTGATGTTTCAGGAAGTCTCCAACAAAAATGAATTTGACGTTTACAACAGACTCGCTGAAGATATCCATTTACATTTGTTGGGAATTATTGCTGCTATAGTGACATTCATAATAAAAGTAAGACCAAATTCCAATTATGTTTTTCCTTCTAGGCGAATGGAAAATGACACTGATCCACTAAATCTGTTTTATATTGTGGAACGCCATCGTAGTAAATTGGAATATAAGGCATTAACAGCTATGACAGCTTCATTTTGGTATAATTTACAGTGTTTCTTCATTTCTTAATTGTGTCCTGCTAGCCGGTGTAAAAGGGTAGGAGGTCCCATCAAATTATGGTCCTACTCTCCATTGATTTATATGGTCACCTAAATACAACTCTTCCTCATTATCTTATACGCAATCAGGGCCAGTAAGGGCCGTTAAGAAAGGGTACCATAATCCCCGGGGACCATCATTTCTTTCACACCGGTCTGCTGGCTAGATAAGTGAATAGACTTGCTAATCATAATGAATAATGTGGCATAGATGTCACTGTTTGTCTTTGTAGCGCACATTATGATAAACCATGACATCTCATTACTTCTTACCCTTTGCATTCGTTTAACTTCACTTCTTAAAAGAGAGTTTTGTGTAGTTTAACTAGACCCTGCACGCATGGTAATTACTTCTCAGCCCTGAGATGTTTCAGGCGAAACAGAAAGGTAGCTAGGTTGACACACAATTCATATCAAGATCATGATACAAGTACTATGACTCACTTTCTTTTCTATAGCATTAAGTTTTAGTTGACGTATAAAAAATTAGTGTAAATATGAACAAACACTTGGTAAAATAGTTAAAATAATATAGAATAAAATGTTTAATATACTGCTAAATAAGTTGCATTAAGAGAGAATCGTAGAGAATATTTTTTCCTGTATAATAGGCAGTTATTTCTTTTATTATAGCGGAAAAAAATATAATACGTATTTTTAAGAATTATTTTTGATTTAATAATATTATTCGTGTATTATTTAAAGAGAACAACATATAATACCATATAATATAGAATAATATTCCTGTCAGGAGCAAATAAAATGTTGGCATTTGCAATCAAAAACCGATTATACGCTGTTATTTTCAAGCCGTTAATCCCTAATTATTCAATTCCTATGAAATGAGTTTCATTCATACTGATAATTGATCCATTTGTTAGGGCTAATGGATTAATCTCTACAGCTGATGGCTCTTAATTCCACAAAAATAATTTGCAAAATAAGTTTTTACAAACATATTTGATTATATAATGTCCCTAATGTTATGATTAACATTGTGTTAAATTTTTGATTCAATCAATTAATTCATTGTAAAGTTAATTTTTGAATTCTTAATTAATTGGTTTTCCTCACATTTTTATTCCATTGTTTCTCTGTCACATTTAGTTTATAGCAAACAACATTTAAATCGATCCCTTCTTACACAGGTACAAACAACCACCTGTATTTACTTTGCCAACCAGAAAAACAGGCATGACACGAAACTGCTCAATATTCAATAAACACATTACGCATTTTATACAGACCCTTAGCCAAGGACCCCCCCCCCTCCCCGTGGCCAACAATACTTTCAAAATCATGTAGTTTTTCACCATTCAAATACATGTATTGACATTCCAGAGCAACAAGCTTTAATCCCTAATTATTCAATTTCCATGATTTGAGTTTTGTTCACACTGATAAATAATCTGTTTGTTAGAGTTAAGGGATTAATTTCTAAAGCAGTTGGTTCTAATTTCAGCTGAAAAATAAATTGCAAATTTAGTTTTTCATATTTATTTGATTGTATAATGTCCCTTATGTTATGATTAACATTGTGTTAAAATTTGGACTTAATTCATCCATTTAACAGAAAGTTAATTTTTAATCAATGGGTTTCCTCACATTTTTACCCCATTGGGTTTCCTCACAATTTAACTCAATTGTTTCTCTGTCAAATTAAGTTTACAACAAACAACACTTAAAGCCCCCTCTTACACAAACACCTTTAATCACTTCACAAACAACACAAAACATTTATGACACGAAACTGCTATATATCAATACATTATGAATTTGGTATTGGTCCATGGCCAGGGAGGGGGGGGGGGGTCGTTGGGTTCAAGTAAACCCCTTCTCCCTTTGCCAAAATTCTTTCAAAATCCTACATTTTTTACCAATCTGAGCACTGTTAAGTGATTTTGGGCCAAAATTATCAATTGTGACCCCTTGGTTTGTTTTGAAAATTGATCCCCTGGGCTAAAACTTATTACGAGCCTGTAATATATTGGATGTATTGCTTCGATTTCTTCTGGCAAATCACTGATAATAAATTAGGAAACGTGCATTAGATTAACTGATACAAGTGGCCCATGCTAAAACAAAATTAAAACTTGTATTCTCTCACATTTCATAATTCGTGTGTTTTTTGTTATCCATATACACTGTAATATCTGAGATATACATGTAAACCAGGGATATAAACAACAGATTAGTCCATGATGGAATACATTTGTTTCTACTATAATTGGACCATTTCTTTTAATTAAAGCTGGTTTTATTAACCTTTCTTTGTTTTCCATTTCCAAATACATATTCAATATGTTTAGTTGTTTGATAATGAAAATAAAGAAGCGGGGACATTTTACATTTATTCTTAATGTTTCATCTGACAAAGCGCTGATTATGCTTTGAGCAAATTGGTGCATGGTAGAACAAACTGATGTAAATAACATATTGGCATGTGGTACATGTATGTCAGAGCAATATGATAAGTAAAACTTTAATCCCCAATTACTCAATTTCTTTAATATGAGTTTCGTTAACACTGATGCTAATCTGTTTGTTTGTTGCAATGGATTAATTTCCTACAGCCAACAGTTCTAAGTTTCACAAAAAAAATTCAAAAATTCAGTTTTTCATATTATTTTGATTGTATAATGTCCCTAATGTTATGATTTACATTGTGTTAAAATTTGGATTAAATTGATTGACTCAACGGAAAGTTGATTATTAATCAATGAATTTCCTCACATTTTCACTCCATTGTTTGTCAGCCATAATAAGTTTAAAAAGCTAAAAACATTACGCATTTAATACAGGCCTGTACCTAACGAATACCGATCCCCTCCCCTTGGTCAACAATTCTTTCAAAATCATGCAGATTTTCATCATTCACATTCATGTATTGAATTCAGAGCAATATAAGTAATACTTTAATCCCTAAGTTTTTTCAATTTCTATGAGATGAGTTTTGTTCACTGATTACTAATCTGTTTGTGAGAGTTAATCCGTTTGTTGGAGTTAATGGATTAATATCTAGAGCCGATTGTTCTAATTTCCACAAAAAAATAATTTGCAAATTAAATTATTCATATTTGTTTTATTGTATAGAATCCATCTTTCTATGATTAACATTGTGTTAAAATTTGGATTGAATCGATTAACTCATTGGAAAGTTAATGTTTTGATTTTTAATTGATGAATTTTTCACACTTTTACTCCATTGTTAACATTAATTTCAATCAAGTTAAATTTCTTTCTTCTAAACATTTATTTGTAAATATTTTTCAAATAGAAATATAACAATCAAAATAAAATAAGTGTGACATGTGTAAGTAATAGAGATGAGAAGGCCAGTAGAATGGTTGATCCTATTAACCATGCCATGCTGTGCATTCTTTGTTTTGTTTGGTTAAGTAATTAACCAGATGGATTGTACATCAAGTTGGACGAGAATAATCGAGTATAATATTTTTTAGAACCCAAATAATACAATATAATTTGATATATTCTGCTTAGATTGGAAAATACTAGAAAATAATAATTTTTAGAATGGCAAAAATTCTATATAAACTGCAATCATCAGTTTGGATTGATAAATATGACCAAATAATATTTTAGAAAGACAGAATAAATATAAATTGGCGCAAATAATTCTAAAAAATAATAGTATACTGGGAATAAAACATCCTGCTACATTTTCTTATTGAGATAATCGGATTTGGTAAATGTTTATATGTACAAATAATATATTTGGATCTCACTTATTTCTAATTATATTATATTAATCTCTATATAATATAGTATATTATGCTGATTATATTTTTTCCTTCATAATATAATATAATAATTACAATACTGAATGGAAATACTGTATTATTACGCATCTTTTTACACAAATATCCGAAAATAAAACATCTTTATATCTATTATTTTATTGATTTCACCAAGTGAAACCGTATGTGAAAAAAGCGATCTATTTGAACTCACCCTGTTTTTTATATCTGGTTTTTGTATTGGAAACTGTTAAATAGTGTCGTGATGAACTGGTCATAAATCTTCAAAATGTAGAGGACGATTAAACACGCGAACTTCCAACATGTTTTTCATTTTTGTTGCGATGTCTTAATAATTTGCTTGAGATCCCTGAATTTTCACCTCAGATATGGTAACTGTCATATTTTCAAGTACCAAACATTACCATAGCTATTCCTCGGGATTTCTCAGTCCCTTTTCGTTTCAAACAAATTGTGTATTTTCCTGAAGGGAAGTTTTCTTTCAAAATTATTGGTTCAATTCCAATTCAGTACTCATGATGACACTGGCAATACAAAGAACGCACCTATGTGTATAAAAAGGATGTACACACGCAAAGTAGTTATTCAGCTTACTCATAATCCATCTCACCTATACGAGGAATTGAGCTCTGATTATTAGAATCAAGTGAAAGAAAGAATATATTTGGATTTGTACTATCGCTATATACGAGATACATGTAGGTACGTCATTACTAGTGTGAGCTTTTGATTATTATCCACGATGGGAACCATTATTAGAATGTCCGATCAAAGAAGACTCCAGGCCATCGTCTATCTTGCTATTGGTAAGTCAACATATTTTCTGAATTCACTGGCTTAATATAGGCCTAGTAAGGTTTATTCGCTACTCTAATAGGTCTAGTAAGAATTATTCTCTAGCCAGATTAATTCTCTGTGTCACGGGTGACGGGATCTGATATTTTTCAGGTCGGGTCTGACCAGAATAAAAGAGTCCGGATAGTTAACTTGCCTAATAGGCCTAGTCAAGATATATAACTAGCAAATGGGCTTAGTCGGGATATCACCAGCCTAATACTAGTCCTTGTCGGGATATCACCAGCCTAATACTAGACCTTGTCGAGATATTTCAGAGAAGTAAAATACTTTTACAAGGCCTAGCTTCTAGATATCAACTGAATTGTAGACTATGAAAAGTAAACCACATGATGTATGGTGTTATCTAATCCAACGTAATGTACCGAGTGATATTTAGTTTCAGTAACTGTCGCCGTGCCCCAGAGGTTTATTGATTTCCCCGAAGATGGTATTTTAGTCCCAGATACAGCACCTATAGGTAAGCGACATTGAACTATTGATAATGATTAGGGCACACGATCAATTGTAGTTATTTTGGTTTCACCGTGGAGCAAATTCATGAAATTTCTAATTACGTCAAGTGTTTTGAAAATGATTTGACACTGATTTTGAGAAAATTGGGATGTCACTTTTCAGCGTTTTTTTAACTAAACAAATTTGTACCACCTGGAATTTGTAAATGGTACTATGGAAACAATTTACGAGCAGTGATCAAAAAGTAATTGGCGCTTCGTATACACTTTTATCTCTTTGATTTTTTTCATATAATCATTCAAATATATTTTGAAAATTTGAAGCCGAAACATACAATACATTTAAAAATATTTTTTCCTGAAATGGATAAAGGTACCCCAAGTACTTCACAAGTTCGCCTATCGATTTTAAGTGAAAGCTGCTTTAAAATATACATATCTTTCAAGAGTTGTACAGGAGGTAATCTTCCCATTCCCTCCTTAATGTTTTTGAAAAACAATACCAGCTTGGGGCTCGTATTTTATATAGTGTACCCTCTAAATTGTTCACCATTTGATAACACTCCCCGACACCATTGTAATACGAGGGTTGTCCAAAAAGTCTTGAAATTTTTGCTCTCATATTTATAGGGGCTGTGGTTGCTACTATTAAAGCTACGGACGATGACGGGGACGAACTAACTATTTCTTTCCCCTACCAGAATGCGAGGTCGGTCGTCCATGTGCAATGTTGTAGCATGACTGGCTCGGAAAATGAAATAACAACAGCCAATATCACACTGAATATGAAACTAGACGCAACAGTAAGTGAACAATTTTGACTTTTTCAGTTTTTTAAAGTAATAATGGGATCATTAACAGAAAGCCGCGAATTCGTTCGTAAATTTATTAGCACCTCGTAATCGCATACTCATAGCAGAATTTAGATACAGATGATGTATTCCTACACAACCTCACTCGTAATTTGTAAATTCTTTGAATTCTTCAATAAGAGAATTTCAGTTGAATTTTACTGGTTACGTTGAATTGGGAACAATGGAATAAGGGAAACATTCGATTCAACTGTAAAAAGTTTAAGACTGATTCCAACATGAGTATGGTATATTAGAATCTCTCATCAGCCAATCAGATCGCAACATAGCCGTTCTCTAATTGTCGATAGATGAACGACCGTGCATTATATGCTTTATACACTCGTGTCAGAACAAATGCAATTCCCTTTTGTTCGGCGTGCTTTTTACATGTTTTCCAACTCTGCTGAATTTCATCATATTGAATGTCTTATCAATAGGCTTTGTATAAAAAACCTCCTACCTCATACTCACCTACCCACCTACGTGGAACATGATACAGTCATTGAAGGGTTCAATTTTAAAGATTATTAAATCTCAAAATAGCTCAAATTATTAACATTTCTACAACTCCGGCTTTATGTTATGACTAGACAGATCCATAAATAAAGGCATATGGATGCATTTTAATGTGTAATGATCCGAGGGCGCCCCAGGGGAATAAATAACTAATGACCGCGAGCATAGGTCCAACAAGTCAGATAAAGAAATTGAAAGAAAGTGTGCTAAATTCGATGCCCCGAATGGGAATCGAACCCAGCTGGGATGTAGTAGCAACTTGCTATCAAGGGTCGTTACAAATGCATCTATAATTCATCATAAACTAAGATTTAATAAACTAAGATCTTTAAAATTGAACCCTTCAAAGAGTGTATCATGTCCCACGTACGTGGGTAGGTGGGTGTGAGGTAGGAGGTTTTTTATACAAAGCCTTATCAATATTCTTTCCCTAAAAAGATCATTGTTCATTCTCTGTGGTAGCAGTAAAATACAACACTACGCTGGCTTTCTTTAAGACACAAAATCAAACTTTATATTTACATTAACTCTATTTTAGGAGAAAACTGATTATGGTAACATTCAATTTAAAGTCAGTCAGGGAAATTACGGAATCAGTAAAACGACGAAAATCCTTTCTGAAGTTGGTGAACTGCCGAAGTTTGTCGGTGGTAAAGATCAATACTCAGCTACTATTCCATTAGTAAGTAAAACTGCAAAGTTACTTCAAAGATTAGTCTTGCTCCAAGACTCTGTTACCCCCCCCCCCTCTACTAGACTAAACACCTTCTCACACTTGTTGGGAGGTGATTGGGGGGGGGGTCACAGGGGCTTGGAGCTAGAATATTCAAAGATTAACTAATCGGTAACTAATCCACTAATTTTCACTTTGTCTTGATTAAAAGTTGGGTGAAAGTAGGTTTACTCAACATATGCACAAATCTTAACGACTATTTTGAACAATTTAGACAAGGAGCGAAATGAGAATTCGTGAAGTTCTATAGTTTAGGGTATTGAGAGTTGTAGTAAGATCTTACATGTAACTGACTGAGCGCGTAAACTTTCAGAATGCTGCAATTGGGCACAACATAACCACAGTACAGGCAACCAGCAAGTATCCTCCAGTCTCTTACAACTTCAAGGTAACACAATATTAATACATGGGTGGGGAAGAAGTGATAAAGTCCCACCCACTGAGTTTGGACTAAGGAATTCATGCTCCAAAGATCTCTTTCGACAACAGCTCCAACAAAATGGCGTAATCGAATTTCGGTTCATCTTTCGTATCATTAGAAAGATGACATAATTATTTGAAACACGAATAGCCCATTCTAAACTTTGCATGATTTCTGTATGGTCAAAATTGTTCGAAAGTTTACTTTACCTGATTCCGTACCTAGATTTTTGATAAACATTTGATGATACCTTGTGATTACGTATATTTAAGCGACTGTATCCCGTGGACTTCAATTAATTTGTCAGGCTTTGTTAATGCTTTTCTTCTTTATTAATCAGGAGAGATCCAGCTTTTTCGAAATATCTGAAGATGGCATTGTGACACTGAATAATGAATTGACCAACATTACTGTAGGAGATGTCGAGCTGTTAACAATAATGGCCAAGGTACGTTATTCAAGCAACAAGGAATTAATTATGTGTTTTTTTGTACTTTTTATTTCAAATATCTGTATTTTATTTGCTTATTATGTGCTTTTTACGGATACTTATTGATCACCGCTCGTATGTTGCCATTTTAAAGCTTATCTAATGAATCTAATCTAATTAAAGCTAATCTAATGGGGGGGGGTATTTATTTATACATTTCAGGCGTACGCGAAAATTAGGTACAGGTTTTACGTGGAATGTCATGATCAATGCCTCTAATATTTGCTTTTAGGATAGATATGGGGCATATGTTGAGGGAAGCCTAAGTATATATGTTGAGGAAGAAGCCGTCGAGGACAAGACAACGGATAATTCTTCAGGATGGACATTCAAGTCGTTAAGCTTTCACATGATATGCCAGTTGATGATATCAACTCTAGTCTCTAAATTAACATTACTTTTTTGCTTTAGACCAAGTTGATAAAAGTATTTTTTCATTTATTAACATTTTGGCATGAGGCCTAATGTGCATTGTCAAATGACCTATATGTACTCCTTTTCATTAAAGAAGTATTGACTCATTCTGTTGCTTGTCAATCAGGAGGTATATGTCATATTTCAATCTCCATGCAATGTATATAACAAGTGCTTTGAGCCTTCTGCATGTACAGCTTGGATTATGGAAATCAAAGGTATCATTTTATTTTCAATGATATTTAGATATCTACAGCACAATGTATCAATGATACATTTTTTAATAATTCAATTTTTAACATGTAGCCCAATACAATATTGAGAGAATATTATTTGTGTTCCAAGACTACTTGTATTAGACATGTACCAGTATTTATTTACTTGTATCTAGAACAACATTATTCTGTAAAGAAAATAATAAAATGTTTATAAGCAGTTCCATATGTATAATTTTGCTAGTATATTAATAAGCACCACCCTTCAAAGGTATGGCAACCTTACAGAGTAACCCCAACTTAAAAATTTGAATAAATTCATGTTAAAAGTTGTATTTGCATACAAACATACGTATTACTCAAAATATGTACATTGACAACATTTCTGATATTTTATTCAATTTCAATGCGTCAGAATTTCATGAAGTCAAACTTCAAAACCCCTGACTATCTACTCTAACTATCAGTTGATTTACAATTTACATTTGATTTACTAATGTCTTAATTATTGCATGTATATCAATTTAAAAAATAACAATATTCATTCATGCTGTAAAATGTATGTAATGTTTTTGATTTTGCTACCTTTATTTTGACTAACTGCCTGATAGTTTTATTTAGAAGCAAACAATGTATAGGTCTTCAATATCTTTCAAGCAAAAATAATGGTTTCTTTTTGGAGGCAATATTTTTGCATGGGCTTTCAACAAGAATTAATTTGAAAGCCCATGGTTTTTGAGAGTATGTATTTCTAATGCATGGTTATGTAATTTGAAAGGAAATAAAATGCTCTAATACAAAGTCCTCCATTTGGGAATGGCAGTATAGCCAACCTTTTGGAGGCAGTGAAGATGGGGCTAACTTTTACCACAGAGATATTCAAAGTAGTTTACTTTTAGGATAAATATACAGCTTCTTCAGAAGTTTCGTTGATAGTGAGTGTAGTTGCACCAACTACTACCACCTCCACTTCTACTACTACGACTACCACCACCACTCCTGCTACTACCATAGTAACTACAACTACTGATTCATCTGTTTCAACAACTACAAGTGGCGCCACCTTTGCAAACTTTACTTCAAACCATGTGACTATTTTCTTTATAATGTTGACCAGTATATATGCAACTTTGTACAAATAAACTCTCTTGAGTGTAAATAGAGATATACATGTAGCTATGTACGGTGGCATAATATGTTCGATTTCATTGGGGATTTGCCTGCAGTGTATATATGCCTCTGACAATTAAACATTTTATCATTTGTTGAAAAATCTTGCCCTTACTGTATCTTACCCTACGATCACACCAAACTAGTTCTCACTACGTTCTCGAAAACGGGCTTCAACTGTGTACGAACGGACTGGACGTACTTAGAACCGTTAGGGGTCTATTTACAAACTTTATCGAACGCACTTGAACGGGTAGGTCCTCTAGAACTTAGAACATGCTCAAAATGCTCTCGTGGTCGTCACGTTCTACAATTAGAACGAGTGACAACGTACTAACGACGAACTGGACGTACTACAAACGGAACCGTCGTACTTCAATCCTACTAGGGACGTTTTAACAACGAGTTGAACTGTCTGAGGACGCATTGAGAACGAGGTAGACCTAATTGCAAATGGGTTTAAACTGATTAAGAACGTATTAAAGACTGCTTATGAACGAGTTAGCAAAAATATAGCTATCACACCAAACAAGTTGCCACTGCGTTCTTCAAAACTGGTTTTAAACTGTGTGCGAACGGAATGAACGTAGCTGCAAGTTTTTAAGGTCTATTTACGAACTTTATGAACGTTCTCAGACGGGAATGTGATTTTAGAATTTTGAATCGATTCAAAATTCGATGGCGACCATACCGTCCTGTAATCAGGTCATGTTGACCTTCTAGACTAAGGGACGCGTTCTACGACGTTGCACACTGACGTGGTGCGACCTGAACGAACTGCGAACGAGATGGACGTATTGAAGACTGTTTAAGAACGAAGAAGCTAATTATTTCAGACATATTTCCCGACCACAGCCAGATTGAGCCCGTTTTACGACGTTTTCGTAGGACTGGCAAGAACGGGTAAGAACTAGTTTGGTGTGATAGGGGGGTTACATAGGAGGAGGAAAACCCCCAGAGCTTCAGCGATGACAGACATATTACGTCACTTGCGTACCACCTTTGTTTGTACAGTTTTTGAATATAACACTTTGTTCTGATGTTTTAATTGATGTAAACATATTCCTTACATCTTTCTTTATTTTAATGTGGAATAACAAGCTATGATATTGGTTAACACGCCAGAAATTAACATAATATTAATTGAAGTGTTATATAAGAAAATTTTGAATCCACCATTTTTGTTTGTCGATTTGGACCAATCAGGATGGTGGGTCATCTCAATACAGATTTACATTATAGACGTACGTCATCTTTAAACCCTGGGGTTTCTCCCCCTCTTAGCTTGCATATGTAAGTATGTTATTTCATTGTTAATAAAAATTGAAAGAGAACAACATAATACCTCATTGATTTTTATTTAAGCTTTATTTCATTTGCTTATAATTTTCTTGATTTAAAAAACAAAATTGTAAGAAAGTATAAATAAAAAATAATAAAATAAAATTATTAAAAATAATATATTAATGAAACATACACAAATTTCTTGCTATTGTCTTTAAAACATTCTTCATAACATCCATTGTTTTCCATATGTGTGCTTCGTCAGTCCTTTTCAAAGTTTTCAAAACAAAATTAAAGATAAGAAGACAAACTTTTGATTCCAAATACAAAAAAATACAACCCTGATAAAATGGAATGTACACATGTATAAAATACATAACGTTTTTAAGGTCCCATTAAATATGAGTAGCGCATATTAATTTTAGCATACATACATATGTATAAAAAGGGAACAATCTTAATGCGAAGGAAAATGATTTTTTTAAATTCTGCAGTATTCTAGGAATAGAGTTAAAGTCACTTCAAGTGCAAAATGGTATGCTAAATAAATCGTTAGATTCCAAACTCACAGTTCTCAATATTGTTTTCATAAACAAGTACATATGTATACATGTCAGTTCTGTATGTTTTCAGGTCCCATTTCCAAATTTCCGATTGCAAATTCGTTCCCTTAAAGGATGAGTCTGGGAATGAGTCTGGGTATCGACTTAGAAAATATTGAAAATTGTAATGTCTGAAAAACCAACTCAATCACACATATTATTAAACTTCAATATCTTATCCTTCTTCTGAGAGTACAAAATATCAATTTGTATCACAATTTATGAAGAATATTGGCATCAAAGACAGTGCATATCACTTTGTCAGAATTGAAAAAAATCAATGGCAAATATTAAATGAATTATTTATACAAAAGGTTTGAAACATATCCTCCAAAACATTGCTTACTTTCTTTGTATAGACATTGGATGGCATTTCTGGATAAGTGAATTGTTGTTTATCTGGGTAATCGAGGGATTATAGTCACTCAAAGTTACTGAGCATCCAGTTTTGAGACTTCAATTGTGTTGGTGAAGTTACACATATTTCATTCAAATTCATGCTGAGCACAACATTCCGGTTTCAATTTTATAATCTCTATACATGACCCTGGTGATGAAGTGTCAGAATCAGTCAAAAAACCTAAACCGGAAAACTGTGCTCATTGTGAAAACTAAAAGTGAAGCAACTTTTTTTCTGATATTTCTTACATCAAATGGCAGCCATCTTGTTTTTCCCCCTTCAAATTAAACTGGCGGGAAATTCAAAAATTTGAAAAAAATGTTAATCCCTAAATATATTTCAATAATATGATTTTCTTTTAAATTCTTCATGGGTCTTAAGTTATTTCTTCTTTGCAAGTCATACATGTTGCCATTGATATTTTTTTCTATGATAATTACTTTGTTTGTTTTGTTAAGATACTTATTCTGACTCTCAGCAGGCATCCTCCGATCACAGGGCTTCAAAATCCAGAATATCTTCTTCCTTTTTACCCCCTGCTATAACCAAGTTGGACGCGCCCGATTAAACTGAATCACGTGATCTTATTATGCGCCGATGACGTATACATGATTTCTGTCGCAGTGTTGCGACAGCCAATCAAATTACGAGTTCTTAATCGGGGAAATGCTAACTGCTTATAGCAGGGGGAAGAAGGAGGTACGGATTCTGGACGCCTGCTTAGGAGGATGCTCAGCAGGGGGTTAATTATGCATCAAATCTCGTGAAAAAGTAAATATACTTATCAAATATAACTAGGACAGTAATAAAAAACATATTTAACATACATTTGACTGGGGGACCAAAAGGGCATATACCCGGACACATCCTTTGAAAATGGATGAACCATCCAATTGTTTGACCATAAATATCATGATAAGTAAAATTACTGAAAGTTTGGAAAGACAGGCCTTCAATGAAAAACTCATTACATTAGTGTTACAAAGCAAGTTGTGCCATATAAATAGAATTAAATTACAAATGACAAAAGTGGCACAACATGTATCTTATATTAAAAACAATTTATCCCATACAAATATTCATTTGATAGTTTGATCACTTCTTCAAGCTCAAAAATCTGTTATTCTTGTGGACGGACTTAGTATCAACATATATGTCTTACATGTATATTCCTTTCTCACATCTGACTAACTCAGATTCTAAAGAGTTCATTGTGATGTCATAACAATGGAACTTTGTTGCTACACAAACTTTTATTATCTCCTAAAGGAGTCCATACATGTAAGTCTCATAAAGGAGACCTCTGCATAAGCATGTGCAAAGTCACATGATCGCACTTGAAGGCAGATATACAGTTCCATATTCACTGTCAAGTTTTGTTGTGCACTAATTTTTCTGAGTCCCTTGCACGTTTAATTTTCTTTCCTTGGTCCTTAATCAGTGCTGCCATCTCTGAAATACACAAACAAAATGCACAATACAAACAAACAAGAGCTAAAATCAGAATACAATATCATTCTAAATGAAATAAAAAATCTTATAGAATAAAAAGGTGGTAGGGTTTATTGGAAAGGACAATTGGTAAAATTAAGAGAAAAAAGTCCAAAAATGTAGCACCCTACAGAAAATTGCCACCAATCTTCACATACATGTACACCCATACATACCTATATTTTCCTGCTGTAGACTGCCACCCATCTTTGATAGATTTTCAATTTTTTGCTCTAGCCTTCTGCACAATTCCTTGGTATCAGGTTTCTTGTGAAGGGGTGTGTGACCTAGAATGCATAGGGTAAAACAGAATCTCCATGTTAGTGATTTTTCCATTTGTAAAGTTACTTGATTTTGAAAATTTATTTGCTTATATGCTATACTCTTATTAAAGGTACATAAAACTCTGTGAATATGCTCTTAAGTTCTTTGGTAAAATAAATCATGAGATAAGTTCACAAAAGATTCAAATTATGCATTTGTTTCATTGAATTTCTTTTGAAAAGAAAATATCTGGCTTGACAAGCATATGTATCTAATTTAAGGCAAAAATGTCTAAAAGTCAGATTAACTTATAAAGGAGTTTTATTTTTTTATCCAAGTTCGAAGAAGCATTCAAAGTCATTGAAAACAGTGGCAATTTTGAAAGAGGTGATCTTAACTTAATTTCTTCACAAGTAAAGAGCTGATGCCTATAAGATGATATAAGCCCGTAAAATTTTAACTTAGTGAGTGTGACAACAGATATTTGAAGACACATGAATGGAATGACAACCAACACGTGGACAAACTGACTTAAGTATGTTTAGAAGGATAGGAAAAAATGGAATAGGAAAATGTGAGAAATTGCAAATACCTGAAGACCCATGTTGATGACTCCTAGATTTTCCATGGTTCTCCCAGGTAGGTATTTTCCCATGATCCTCTCTGGGTAGCAGTTTTACAGGGGGTGACATTGAATAACTTGGTCCTGAGAAAAATTGTATTGTATTTGAAATTGTTGAAGATATACATGTATGTGTCTATCCTTTACATGAACAAGGCATTAACATGCAAATGTCACCACCTACCATTTGTTGCAGACTCCGAATGCCGAACACTGTCCACTTGTGGTGACGACATATAAATGTTAGTGTACATAATATTAGTCATATTTGGACCATAAAAGTTTAATCAGAATTAAATTATTTTAGTTTTATTAACTTGATCCCACTTTTCATTTAATTGAAATAAGAAGCACCACTAAAAATCTGAAATCCATCAAATGGTTTGGCTGAAAACACAAAGGTGACTTCAGCACAAAATGCCCCCCACCCCTCCAGCTACCAGCGTGGCAAACTGATCCAATATATCATCAAGGAGTGAAATATAAACACACCTTTAAAATAGTAGTTTACATTACTATTAGACTTTACCTTGTTTTAAATAATGCTTGCTTCTCCTACTTGCATGATAGTTTGAGTCTACTTCTGTTCCTGATGTCCCATCAGAGGTAACCCTGGAAATCATAACGGTAAATGTTCTATTTGTAAAATCTTATTATTTCTTTAAAATATCAATATTGTTTTTATTTTTATTGTATTTTGTTTTATTTTAGAAAATGAAACTGGGACCAAAACGTTATGAATTTAATTCAGTTGGCACAGAACAAATTGAAACTCAGCATTTCAAAGGAGAAACAAATCTTACTGAACAAGATATATTTTATCAAATCACTTGTCATTTTGAAAGTTACAAAAATGTTTTGTTCACTCTTCACTGATAACTTTAGGTCAATTGCAGTGTACCTTTCTATTTTGAGATTCTTGTGTAGTTCAGCAGCTTTTTGTGTTTTCTGTGTATTGAGCAGTGATCTCATCTCATCTAGTATTCCTTTAAGTTCTTCTCCAACCCCAGCTTCTACATTTGATGAATGCTCCTAAGTAAGTAAAAATAGAGTTTAACTGAGAAAATACAAAGAAACTAGCACTGGCTGAAAGTTGTTTTTTCAAGGTGAACTAGACAACAGCAACGCTAAAGCATAGCAAATCCCATCGAACAGCCATGGCTGGCATATTTACAAACAAAGTATATAGCAAAAATGGCAGCCATTTTCCAAAATGGCCACCTTCTACCAAAAGTGTCATTAGACAGTGTGCCATGCTTATGGTATTCACATACCAAATATGAAAAAATCGCTCCACTACTTTTCAAGTTATAGTAAAATACGTTAAAATGGCGGCCATTTTTCAAAATAGCCACCTTCTACCAAAAGTGTCATTAGACAGTGTGTCATGCTAATAGTATTCACATACCAAATATGAACAAAATCGCTCCACTACTTTTCGAGTTATAGTAAAATACATTAAAATGGTGGCCATTTTTCAAAATGGCCGCATTCTACCAAAAGTGTCACTAGACAGTGTGCCATGCTTATAGTATTCACATACCAAATATGAACAAAATCGCCCCACTACTTTTTGAGTTACAGCAAAAATCGTAAAATAACAAGTAAAGGCCGCCACTTTTCAAGATGGCTGCCATGTGTTTCTTCAATATCTACATTTCTAACTTTACTAATGTATGATTTTTTTACATTTAAATCGGGCCAACGGTATTTGAGTTATTGCCCGGACGGACGGAGGCGTTCCCTATAGCTATAATCCCTCCGAACTTTGTTCAATGGGATAATTATTTCATATAAATCACATTTTACAAGTTAAGAACTGTTTGCACATAAAAAAGTACATATTAACCAGGACTCTACCAGATTTCTAATAAAAACATTCATAAACAAGGCATACAAAATGTGACCACCTGCCATTTCTTATAAATGCCAACTGAGGAATACTGTCCACAAAAAAGTTTGAGACTATAACAATATGTGACCACTTCTGATTGTGACATAAAAACAATGCAACTGTAGTTTACAGGAGTTTTTGTCAAAACAAAACCTATAATTTAGAGTGTAGACTATATGTCTGACAAGGCAGTTTTTGGGTTACCAAACTTATTGGTGTGAACCCTTGCATGTTATTGCAATTCACAGTCTTGTTTTTGTGTCTTTATACAGATTTTGGAACTTTACCGAGAGAATTCAGTCTGAATTTTAAAATTGAAAATTTGAGTCACATAAAGTTTTCTCAGTTGTGGCAAAAATTTTCTGCTCGTGATATCATGTGTTACCCTCATGTCAACAATGTACCCTTGGTTCCCCAGGGATGGCAAAAAGTGCACCAAACACATTTAAGGAGATAGCTAAGAAAGTATATACTTGGGTTGATTTTATTTTATGAACCCAGAATCACCAAAGTGACTAACTATTTCAATATTGATCAATTCATAGTTTAAATTCAAGAATAATATTTGAATTTATTACATGTTCAAAAAATGTATATCTAACAATTAGATTCAAACTACCTTAGATTGCTTCTGGGAAACAGGTTTCTCTTTCTGCATCCCATAATGCATTGCATAATCTGTGCTTGCAATTGACAGCTGATTTGGGTTATCTTGATGGGGAAGTTGAGAGACATGTGGCTCCCCCTTTACTGCAACCTGGCCTGTTCTCTGAAGTTCCTGGAAAATATGTTGGCATTGGATGGGTTATTTCTGAACAATATTCATTTACGTTTCATTGACAATTTACTGAAATTCTACAAAATTTCATATATCAAATTAACATTAAGGTAATACATGGCTAATTTTGAACAATAATGCTTAATATGATTTATACAGTACGGGAAAAGTCAATAAAATATTTGAAGTTAATAGGATAGTTTCTAAATAGCAGAAAAAGCAATGAAATCTCGTGCTGCCATCTTTTATTCAGCTTTTAACTTGGGCTAGAGTTCCCTTCACTTACATGCTAAAATCTTGGAAAAGTGGCTTAATTTCATGATTTATCAAAGAGTGTTAGTTGAATCTGTATAAAACTTGGATGATTTTCCACATGATGACCCTGTTTATAAACATGTTGTGATTAAACGTGCAAATGTTGGTTGACATACAAATAATCCAGGGTTTTAAAGATTTTTAGCATCGTGTTACGCGATAAACACGATACAAAAATATGTCATATTCCGCAACGAATATGGCATATTCACTTGCGGTGTATGACAGATTCACCTGCGGTATATGGCATACACACTAACCAATGAGAACGTGATACGGAAGTACGCAATTGTCAATTGCATCGATTGAACGAACAAGTAAATCGTTATAAATTATTATAATGATTACTGAATCAACAGTACTGTGTATCGAATATATTAACTTAGCAGAAGTATCAGTCACCAATCTCGCGTAATAGACTTACTCAATCAATCCAGGATTCATATATTAGTACTCGACGCACTAATTATATTGGTAATCCAGCGTAGTTTTACATTTAGAGTCGATTCTCGCAACCAATCAAATCAAGGCTTTCTGTATCACGTTTTCATGTGCGGTATATGTCATATTCACCTGCGGTATATGGCATATTCCGCAAGTGAGTATGACATATTCCGCAGGTGAGTATCGGGTATTCACTGAAATCGATGTATCGCATATTCACTGCGGAATATCGCATTCTCACCTGCGGAATATCCCATATACCGCAGGTGAGTATGGCATATTCACCTGTATCACAAATACCGCGCATCCATGAATGTATGCCATATACCGCGTAACACATTGCATCTATGGAGATTTGGCCCAAGTTTTTTTAAATTGTCATGGAAAAGTATTCAAATTACATAACTGTGCAAATCAAAGCTATTCTAGGAGAAAACATTTCACTGAATTCAAATATGCCATTTAAAAGAAGGTAATGTAAGTCATTAGAGGTTAAATATGCAAATCTCTTAAAATCTCACGAAAAACGAGATTTAGCGAGATTTCAATATGACCTATATGGAAACTATACTATTGGTGAATACATGTAATAACTATAATGAGTCTTCAAATACATGTAAGGCTTTACACACTGGTTGCCATATTATTTTACTTTAACAAGATAGCTGCTTGCCTAGATTTGAACAATCTGACTTTGGCCTGGCACTTATATTTTACCCTTAGTTTAACAATACATACCTTTATCTCCAATTGATGATGAAGTTTAAGTCTTGTCATTTCTTGTTCAACTTCCTCCAGCTTGGCTTGTGCAGATGAGTATTTAGAACCAGCCTAGCCACAAGAGAATAATTAAGTACAAAGTAAGCACAATCTTATATTTGCATAATTATATTTTTGAAGTAATTTGAGAAATTCAAATTATTGACGTGAATAATTTCATTTATGGCAATGTGAGAGTCCGTTAAGGTTTAGGTATGAACAAGCCCTGAGAAGACCATTCCCTGGTTATCCCAGGTAAATGTTTCTGGTAAGTTAAACTGAACGAAACATCAAGCTTCAGATCTCGAGAGTTATCTCATGGGACATGGACATGATGGTAGTATTAAAGGTGAAATGGTCATAGCATACGAAGCACTCAGAAGAGAGTCAGAAATATTTATGGTTCAAGATCTTCAAACTTTATTACAATCTGCAGTAAAGAGATTTGCAAGAGTGTATTCCTGTCCAGAACTTTGAATTGAATTGGCATTTCTGACCCTGATGCCCAATATGTGTCACAGATCAATTTTTACATGTCTGAATGGATATGATTATGACAATGCAATCCTTTATCGCAATCATGTTAGCCTAAGGGGTCAGTTCAAAATGATATCTATGTGCATCAAATTATGGGTCAAACTTCATTATTGAGTCATATCAGATCAAAATTTCAAATGTGCATTCCAAAATATGGCCTCGTATAATGATGTTGTCATCAACCCTTCCTCAAAGAATTGATTATGATATTGACAGACATAGCATTCTGATACTCATAGCATCAGGGCTGAGAAGAATTGAGATGTCATGCTTTATCATGATGCAGACATAGATGCAAACTGACCTCTGAACATGTTAAAAGCAATCAAAGGAAAGTTTTAACAAGTTACAGACATTTAATTATAATAGCATGTACAAAAAGACATTAACAAGCAAAATGTTACAGCTGCCAACTGATGATCGTCAACCGCTGTCACAAAAAAACGGAGACCATTCAAGATTCAAGGGAAAATACTTGGAGGTTATAGCAAACTGTTAACATCAAGTCCTGTTAGCACAAATGGAACTGTTACTGCAGTTGTTACGGTGTAGGAAAGTAAATCTATTTGACATGTTAGCTCCTTCTGAGATTAACATACCTCATTTCCTTAATATGGAACTTCATCTAAAATATAAAAGTCTCTGACCCCATATGCAGGGTTAGCAATATAAACTCAAGAAATCTAGTAAGTAATATGAGGTATGTTAGTCTCAGGAATCCTTCAATATAATAATAGCCTACCACTTCTGACTTCTTTATCTAAAATTAGAGAAAAGAATCACTTATTGCAAAGGATTACCAAATAAAATTGAATTTATTCTGACCCTATAATCTCTCAAGCAGTGAATCAATCAGGTGTTGCATCCAGAAGAGATTTTGAAAGAATTTATTTCTTGAACACATAATATCACATCATAGACTGTTAACTAAATGTGTGTTCAACTCTATTTCACTTTATTTTCAATTTATGAAGTCTTAACCACCCTTCATCTTAACTTTTTTAAATATTACCTTTTCAAGGGAGGCTTCCAGTTGTGAAATTTTTTCTCTGAGTTGTTGATTCTTCTTAATATATGCCTCCAGCTCTGTTGATAGTTGGTGATTATAAGCATTCACCTTCTTTGTGTCATTCCTACATTTCTCCAACTCATCTTTGTAGGCCTTCTTATCCTAAATAGCAACATGTACAATGTGAGATTGCATGAAGGCACAAAACAATTAATGTGTGCCATATTAATCAACATGTTTTACAGGTCAAAACCTATGTACAAACTATTTTAGATATGCCACGGAAATTGAGTTATGAAATAGAGTCGTAACTGTATATTGAAAATCAGAATAACTGTTTTGACAAGTGGGCTTCAATATCCTCCCATTTTAGTCAAGTATGAATCCTTACTTTGGCAGCAGCTTCCAGTTTTTCCTGAAGCCAATGATGCTGACTCTGTAGACTGTCCAGTTCTCCCCTTTTAGTTGTCACTTCTTGTTGCATCTTGTCTGCCACCCTCACAGCTAAATCATATACAGTACAGTTTATATAATTATTTTAGGTGTTTCAATTTACAGTCAGGTCACTCAACTGATTTTAACAAAGCCTAACATTTTCCATCAGAATGATAAATTATATGATGACTTTTAGGTGTTTGAATTTATATTCAACATGTCACTAAACTGATTCAAACAAAGCCAAACATTTCTCATCAGAATGATAAATTATATGACGACTTTTGGGTGTTTGAATTTATATTCAGCAGGTCACTAAACTGATTCAAACAAAGCCAAACATTTTCCATCAGAATGATAAATTATATGACGACTTTTGGGTGTTTGAATTTATATTCAGCAGGTCACTAAACTGATTCAAACAAAGCCAAACATTTTCCATCAGAATGATAAATTATATGATGACTTTTGGGTGTTTGAATTAACATTCAGCAGGTCACTCAACTGATTCAAACTTAAGTTATTTCCCATATAATCTTCCATCTAAGGCATTTAAGGCAGCTCAGTTGCAAGCTTTTTCTGGCTTTAAGGGACTGTATAATGCACATGTTGTCACACATTGCACTTCTACTATATCTAATTACAACAGACATGTAGATTTCAATCCTAACATCAAACATATTAATAAAGTAAGGTTAAGTTGTATTATTCATGAAAAATGTTAATCAATATTTCATATTTCACCATCTATAAACACTCACCATTTCCATCTGAAGACTCCTTGGCCTTTAATGTTCTTCTTGCAAGTTTCAAGTCATGTTCAGTAGCTAAAAATGAAATAGAAATAGTCAATTCATATTAACGATGAAAACACATAAGGGTAGTTTCAAATCTCATTGAGGGAGTGTACGGTTTATTTTAGGTTTTCAACTGACATTACAAAACATATGGGGGTGGTTTCCAAACTTATGAAGTGGAATTGCACTTAATCACCTTTGAGTTTACTATTGACTTTGCTGAGCTGTTTGATCATTTCTTCTTCTTTTGTATCCAACAGGCTGGTGAGATTCTCCCTCTCTTGTAGTAGACCATCAACCTGAAACATGATAGAACACAACTGATTTTGGTCAGTTGAACAGAAAGTGTTTTCTTTAATTGAAAACAAAGGGTTTTTCTATTTGAATGCAAAGGGGTCTCTTTAATTGAATACAAAAAATGAATGACATTTTAATTGAATACAAAATAACAAAAAATGTGTTCTTCATTTGTATACAATTAATATAAGCATTTGCTATAGATGGATCAAAGGATGGCAGCATGTGTGTTGGTAGGGCTAGATAACACCATTTCTAATGTGAAAAACTGATTAAAGCACTTTATTTTTGATAATAAATGATTTAATGTACAGTAGAACCTGTCTTATACGACCGGATAAAAGCGTTCAGATTAGGAGGTGTTCACATTTCAAGGTTTTTGCATTCGCAATATTCAGGATTCTGGAGAAATGTGAACACATTCTCGGTAAACATTTATAGTTCGTTTGACCACATAGCTACATGGCATTCCAGAAATTTGAAAATTTGATTCAAATGAATCTAGTCATGCTGGAAAGCCCCATTATGAATGAGACCATTCAAGATTATTTCCCAAAGTTTTGATATAATGACAAAATGTGAGTAATTTTGTATGAAGCATCAGAAATTTTATGAAAAGTGTTCAGATTAGACAGGTGTTCACATTTCAAGGTTTTTTAACATGGGAGTCAATGGGAGGAAAAATGGGACCGAAAAAAAGTGTTCAGATTGGGAGGTGTGTTCGGATTAGCCAGGTGTTCAGATATACAGGTTCTACTGTACATGTATATGTAAAACTCACAAAATGTACAACAAGACAAAAGCCTTCAAAAATGATTCAAACATGACCGTGCTCTCTTTGAATTTCTCAACCAATCAGAATGCAGCATAGGCTATAATGAACGTTCTATATTTCTCCATACATGAACGACAGTGCTCTTTTCGATTTGCTTCCAGGAATCGAGGACTTCAGCAAGATTCCAAAACTACATCCAAATGGTTATTTCAACTGAAGGAGTTTTCATCAAACAAACACAAAAGAGTTTCTTCAATTAAATAAAATACAAATGAGAATTTGCTTATTTATATGTACAAATGGTTTTCTTCAACTGAATACAATGTGCTTTCTACAAATAATTACAAATGATTCTTCTCTTTACAGAAATGTCTTCTTTAATTAACAAAAAGTGTTTTTAAATACTTTTTGATAAGAAGATTCAAAAATAGGTTATTAAAAATGATCCTCATCCACTTTATGGAGGATTGGCTCCCAGAGTGCAACATCGACATTCTGTCCCATATATGGGCATGTTGTGATACAAAATTTGAATTCAAACAGCCGCCATTTTGTTCACTTAAACATTTGAGTCCACTTTGATGCAATACTTACTGTACTAAACCATTTAATAGGGAGAATTTGCTTATTTCTATGTAAATGCATATAACAAATTACAGGCTGAATATCTGAAGATAGATGATATTGCAATAAACTAAGTATAGTGCTTTGTGACAAAATATATTCTCACCTGAACTCGACTGTCTCTCAGTTCTCGAAATATTGCATCTTTTTCTTCTTTAATCAGATCAAAATCTTCCATTTTTTCCTGCAACTGCTTTTCAGCGTCACCTTTCTGAGATTCCAACTCCCGGATTTTACGCTCCCGGATTTTTAATTTCCTTGCACATGCATCCCTGGAATGTTTTAACTCCTCTAGTTCAGCAATTTTATCATCTAAAAACTGTTGGAGTTTATCACGTTCAGTTTTAGTGTCACCTGCAGCTCTAGTGTTAATGCTTACCATTTGTGACATGTTTTCATTTTGTCTTTTTATTACCTCTAAGTTCCTCTCACGTTCGTCAAGTTTTATGTCCAGTCTATCAATATCTGTTTTTAATTGGTCGATTTCTGTATTACGTTCCTCTAAAAGATTAAAGTAATAATCACGTTCTTTGAGGACAGACTTATAGTCTTCTGTTTTCTCATTCAACATTTGATCAACTGCACCTTTTTCTTCTCTCACTGCTTCCAAAGAGAGTTTCAGATCATCACATTTATCAGACACATCATAGTATTTCTCCTTGTATGATTTGAGTTCAGTTTGAGCCACTTCTTTCTCTACAGTAAGAGCTTGGACCTTTTCAGTTTGTGATGATAGTTGGGTAGTTAGAATATTAAGTTGCTCAGTTGCACGGTCTTTTTCATGTTGTTCTACTAGTGCCACCTGTAATAGAATTTATTACATCATGTATTGTATTGTGTTGTGTTGTATTGTATGTATTTCATTGGTAACGACAGAGCCCTTATGTGCACAGGTACACAGACATACACATTTAGGCTACACAACACAGCCTTGTATAATGAGTTGTGAACAAAGAACCCAGAACTAGAAAATGGAAACTCCAAGGAGTAGCAAATCCCAATGAACACTACCGGTATATAAATCATCAATCCATACAGTCACAATGTAATATTTACCATCTACTCTTACCTTAAATAAATATTTTAAATCATTGTGGAATCATGTAACCATACTTTCAAGATAACTCTAAGTAATGGCGAATTTCTGCTCTAGTCAGCCATTTTGAATGTTCAGAGGCGCAAATCAGAAAACAATGCCATAATTGTGATCTACTTTGAAATCCCTTCAATTTAAGTATAATATAGCCATACTTTTAAGAGATCAGAAAATAATTGCGAAATCTCGCATTAGGAGGCCATTTTGAATTTTTTGAGGCCCGAATCAGAAAAACGTTACAATATTTGCAATCTACTCTAAACTGCCTATCATTTGAGTATAATAAAGCTATACTTCAAAAACATCTCAAAATTAATGCAAATTCCTGTTTTCCCAATTCCCCATTTACAGCCCCTGGGGGTCAAGGTGAAAAACCTGGGATATATGTGAAACAGATAGATGTTGTTAATATACTACCAAAATTTCAAATAATAATATTTATTATTTTGGTTTAAAATGAAAAACATAAGATTTTTGCGAAAGTTCTCGCCATTTTTAAACTGGCGGCCATCTTGAAAAAATTTTCGAACGATTCACCAATATACATATTTCCACCAAATATGAAGAAAATCATTTGACTAGTATTGGAGTTATCTTCCGGACAGACTGACGGACAGAACTATATCCCTACAGAACTTTGTTCTTTGGGATAATTACATAAAGCACAAAACGTTTGTCTGAAACTATGATCAAATCCCAGAATCAAGTGACAATGATCACCTTAGCTCTGCCAAGAAGCCTAGTGGCCAGTGGGTGTAAAAATTGTTTGTAATAGTTGAATATGATTGACTGCTTCAGCCATTTTGATTTCTATGAAACCAAAGATGGTTATAATGGAAAAACATGGATATTCATTTTGACTCATTTTTCTTTTCCAAGTTGGTGAATAATTCGGAGAGTGGACAGTAACTCTAAAAATTCACCTAAGAGATCAAAGCAAATAAATTTTTCCTCAAAATTAGAATAAGTGGTGGGATATTTTGAAACTGTTTTCAAACCTTCTGATCAAAGAAGGTTTGAAAACAGTGCAGATTAATGTACATAAACACAAAATTCATGGACTCGGTTTATCAAAGGTGCAACAAATAATATACATATTCAGATGTTCCTTTTACTTTAATCTCATTAACCTTATTTTCCATTTGAAGTTTTGCGTCTTCTTTGGTACAACGCACTACATGCTGTAAACCTCGAATCTCAACATCTCTTTCTTCCAAACTTTTGGTCAACTTCTCAAGCCTCATTTTGAAATCATCCTCCCTCGCATAACATTCTTTAAGCTGCTCAGTGCTAACCTCTATTTCATCTTGGAGGGTACGGATGGTTTGCTTAAAATTAGAAAAAAATGCAAAATTGATACATTCACTCAGAAAATATTTTACTATACAAGAATGTATTCAAAAAATTACAAAACTTACTTCATAGTCTTGATTGCGACTTTCAATGGCAGCCATTTTCTGGATAGCCTCATCACGATCTAGTCTCACTTTGATAATATCACTTTCTGTAGAACTTAGACCAGATTCCAAAGCCTCACGCTGAAAGTAAAAACATTAATATATACAACCTGTGTAAGTGGAACGCACTTGGTTCTGTAAAAAGTGTTTCACTTTCAGAGGTTATGATATCATAAGGATTTAAAGAAATACAATATTAACTAGAAAAACAGCATTTTTTTAATCTACTGATTCCACAAAAAATAATTCCAGTGGAAGGAGCACTGCAAAACTATGCATTACAAATAGGAGAAACTGATTGAAAAACATGTGTTCGACCGTATATCGTTAACTAAAAATGTTTTAACCAGTAATTATATTTTTGGCCTTACAACATTGCAGAGGCATGTTAAAAAGCCTAGAATAAATCCTCAAACACAATGAGTCTTATAGGAATATCCTATGGTTTTGAAAAAATATCATGATTTGTATCCATGAGTGGATATAATTGATATTTTTGAAAAACAATAGGATTGTCCGTTTATCCCATGGGAAATCATCATCAGCGTAAAAAGTTATAAAATATAATAATTGAAAAAAATTGTGAAAAAATCTTTAACATTTTTTTTTTAAATTTTGAATTTTTTTAAAAATATTTCTGAAAATAATAAAAAAAAAGATTTTTTTTTGAAAAAATTCGAAACCATCGAATATCACTTTTTAAGACGTGATATTCGATAGTTTAAAAGTGATATTCGATGGTTTGTGAATTTTTTGCTAAAATATGATATCTTGATCCATATATCAAATATATCTTCGTGTAATATTCTATCTATATCCTTGCAACCATGGGATAATATTATATATCTTACATGCTTTCATTAGCGATTATAGCTCTGATTTATTCCCGCACTCAACTGGTACACCCTTTGCAAAATTGATAAAAAATATCCTTAAACCATGCCATAATTGGCTCAATCTAAGAGTGAATAATTGTTTCTTAGGACAGGGAAACTGATTCCCCGTGAAGTGTCATGTGACATAAAATTTCTGCACTGAAAATGACATGTGCTGACTTTATATCCAAGATTTCATTGTTTAATGAATTTTTAGATTGTGAAGTGCTTTGGTACACTATCATAAAGTGTTGCCATCATCCAGTAAGGCTGCATGAATACAAGTTTAATCTAAATCGAGTAAAACAGTTTTATTACATCGTTAAGACAATATGTTAGCCTACTCCCCCATATAGATATATGCTTTTGTTGATAATACGGAATGTGGGATACAAGATGCTACATGAGCACACCTTGCAACAATGTCTCATGAGGGTTATTTCTAAAGCTGGGAAGGTTATCATCTGTTTAAATTAGATATACAGTAGAACCTGCTAAGTAGAACATCTTTGTAAAAGTGTTTTAAAAGTCTCATGGCATATCTGCTCCATGTTGATGAATCTCTGTAAGTGGAACACCTCCCAAGTGGAACACTTTTTGTGGTCCCAATTGTGTTGATTCTACTGTATACAAAAAGCGAATTTGTTTGATGCTACCTTACATATGTATACTATTACATTCTGAACCAAAAATAGATTGATGAGACAACTAAATTTATGCAAATTAGCTAATTCGCATAATCAAATATCGTAACTATACAGTATAAGGAATTTAATAAGGTTCCATTTGATACCAATATCATTTCTATAGACCAAATAATGACAGAACTACCAACATTTCAATTCAAATGTAAGATGCGTATTTAGTTAATTGTCAAATAATGACGTTCATTAGTGGTGCAACTCGAATGCCAGTACTCGCCACTCACTCGTTGAACCTGTCCAAGATAGTTACTCGAGTACGTTTTTTCAAACTCGAGTAGGCATGTTTTATTATGAAGTGTTTTAAACAACGATCTCATACCCCGGGAATGATCATTTTTGGATGCACTGAACGAAACAAAGTATCGATTCCGGAAACAAAATGAAAATATTTAAAAACAAACAAACAAACACAATTATGGCATGAGTAACTACATTTATTCTCACTAAATTGATACAAACTATATATAACATCAATAACATACAGAAGAAACGAAGAAATTGTATCTATTTGGTCTTCAAACAGTCGACTAGGTGAGTTTTTTTATTTTTTTAAAATTTTTCCCTCATTTTTGCGAGTGGTACTCGATTACAGTGGCATTTTCACACTTTCTACTCGAGTAGCATTTTTCTTGCGAGTTGCACCACTAACGTTCATGATAGCTGCCTCAAAAGCTCAACAACTTTGGTATTTTGAATCTGTTTCAATTTTATTTTGCTTATATTTTCCTCTCATTAAAGGATAATTTGCAGAGATTCTGCCTCAGGTCTGATAGATATGTTGCTATACTGGAAAGTTCTGAACCAAAAATAGATTGAATTGTCTCCCAATTTATGCATATTAGCTAAGTTGCATAATTGAATATCCTAACCATATGGAAAATTTAATTAGGTTTAACTTGATACAAATATCATTTCTAGAGACTGAATAAGATTCCAAGGTAAGATGTATAAAGATTCGCGTAACCATGGTGACAGAATGTAATACAGAGCAACCAATGAGAGTTGGCAGGAGCATCCATCAGAAAAAAACCTCAAACAGTTTCCTTTTCAAAAAGAATGGATGCTATAAGAACATAAATTTTTACCTCAAACTGTTACCTTTCCAAAAATACTGATGCCCTAAATCAACAGAGATACAGACATTGGGTAATTTTTTGACATTATAGATAGGCATGAGTTACTGAATATGATATGATATATGATACTCAAACATAGTCTATAATAACAATTAGGATTTAGATTGTCTGGCCACTGGACCTGTCATGAGAGCTTGAGTTGGGGGCTTATAGGCTCCAGTCCTGTATGCTAAAAGAGCCAACAGACTAGATGCGAGTAGAAATAATCTTGATTTACGTCATTAAATGTCAAACTGATGTCATATTTGGAATCTACATGTAAAATTACATCTAGAAATGTGATTTTGAAAAGAGTTTATCAACTTTGAAAATTTCATTTTCTTTGAAAATGTGACTTCTTGGTCGAGACATTCCCCACAGACCCCATGTTGTAAAATCACAAAAAGTGAAATATCTTTTCTTGTGTTGGGCAGATAATATTTTCTTTTACTGGGCATTTTAATTTGCATAACTATCAGATACATGAGGGTATTATTAAAAGTGAACCACTAAAACTGATGATTATTCAAGTTTAAGAGAACTTTGTAATACTCTTCCATGTTATTTCCCCCAAATTAGCCACCTGGTGGCAAAACTGGTAACTATCAACTCGCATCTGAGTAAGTGGAATTCTGGGATTCTTCACATTTTATTTAGCTATTAATTAAGTCTCATCTGGTTAATCAGGTGTAATTTGATTACATTTATTTATGTATAATATTCCCGTTTGAAAGTTATTAATTATTAGCCATACAATTATATAGTATTCAATGTATCGTACATTGTACACAAATCATGATTTAAAATGAGAGATTATATGACATCCGAAGCATTGTACTCCCAAATGAGTTTCAAATTAATGTCCTACATTATCAGATGGACCTCAAAATTGTGAAGAGTGAAGCCTTGGAGGAAGGGAGCAAATAAAAGCCAGAAGTGTTTGAGGTGCTACAATCCCAAGTGACTGCTTCTCTTCTTCAGTTTGGGTCGGTTTTAAAGGTGGAGTACAATGTAAAAGAATTACAGAGGACTGATAAAACTCAAAGAAAAAAGATCTATTATATCAATTGGTAGAAATTGGCATAACCTGTTGAGGTAAGTTTCGAATAATTTGTACCTAAAAATATTTCAATATTCTATACTTTCTTTCCATCCTAGACATATTTTTTGAACTAGAGAACAGCAATGCCACTAGACAGTGTAATATATGCTTCGAAGTACATGTATTCACATATCAAAGGATCTGTCACCCCAAGTATAAATTCAATGAATGTGTTAAATGCCTTATAGTTTGGAGGCGTTCTAATCTTATATTGATTGGATGCAATCAAATATGACCTGCTTTTTTATGCCATTCCACCAAGGGGGGGGCAATTTTAAACAGGTAAAAAAATTGGGAAATTTTGAAAAATTTTGGACCCCTAAAACCAAAATTTGGGCCCTATATTCTAATTTTGAAAATTTAAGGCCCATTTTTGATAATTTCAGGGGCTCCACTAGTTCTCACAGCAGGCTAAATAAATGAAAACAACAGACAAAATTAATGTAAATCATAATTAAATTTAACATGGGAAACTTGAAGTCCCTAAAAACAACAGGCAATTTAGTGAAAACAACCAGTGAAATTCGCCTGTTGCCTGCTATAATGAAACCCCTGTAATTTGGCCTAAAAGGCCCAAAAAGGCTAAGTTATACACAAAGGTCCTAGAAAATTTTTGGGCCAAGAAATTTTTTAATCCCTTAAGTTTTTTAGCCCCATGGGGTGAAGTTATCTATACTACAAAAAATCTAAAATCCACATGTTTTTTTCATTTCCTATTTGGTGTAGATTTCTGATAACTACCCTGAGACCTTAAGGTCAATATTGTTCTTTACATTCTTTATTATATTTTCTAGTTTTTCTAACCGTTTAATATGGTTTGCCTTTTTGAAATCTGTTGCCAGAGAGTTTTGGAAGATTGCTTCTCTGATCGCAATTAATTTTCAACTCGTATGTATAATACAAGTATTAGAAGATTATAGTTTAAAATATTCAAAAAAAAAAACATTTTTAAGCAAACAGCAATCTTGGAGATTTTCACCCCCAGAATCAACATCACTTTATTACAAGGTGTCACATATGGCATGGTAATAACTCTCTAAAGAAATTATTTGATAGGGAAACATTTTAAATTTCACATGAAATAAAGATCAGATTTCAGGCCTTTTGGTTTGTTTTTGTTGAACCCTAGCTGCATGATTGAGCTAATGACTGGTCAGCCATCTTCTATTGAAATCATTGGTCAGTTGTGACAATAACCCCCTCTCTCTGCTGCCAGAAATTGAAATTTACAAAAATAAAGCCAAAATTAATGTGCAATTTGACTCTAAATTTTCCTTCAGATGACCAACATAAACACATTTTTAGAAGAAATGGCACGTTATCATTGCAAAAAGATAGCACATTTGAATTCTGGGTGTAATTTTCCATCAAAACAACTTTGATTTGTTCAGGTATTTACATTTATTCAAATTCTAAAGATTTTCAAGTTTTCTGAAAAAGGTCAGGCTAAATCCCCATTGACATAATGTTAAAATACCTTTAAAAGTGAATTTACTCATAAAGGGATCTCAATTATGATGTGAAATCTCAATCCACATGACAATAAGATCATATAGTTAGATTCCAATGGTGTTTTAGGTTGATCCAAATGGAATTACTTCTTTAACAAGAAATTAAATGAATCTTGCTATAGGCTGCCATGTTATCTCACCCTACCAACACCCATGATGCCATCTATTTTTCCAAAGGGTCAATTGTACTTACATACCAGCTTAAAGGACTCGATGTGATAGCAATTGTGTTGGGACTATTTTTTAAATTTCCCCTAAAACACTGTTCCCTGTTCCTAGTAGACAGGTGTTCCTTGCAAAGAGGGCCTTTTAACATGTAAGTCAATGGAAAAAAATATTTAGTTCCTTTGAAATTGGTTCCTTGTAGACAAACGTTCCTTATAGGAAGGTGTTCTTTCAGACAGGTTTAACTGTAACTGGAACAAACCTGTATATCTGAATAAAAGTTAAGAGACTGAGAAAATTAACTGCTAATAAATATTTTCTTATACTGTGTGTGCAGAGTCTAGCTACAAACTGTGAAGACAAAACTTTCTTTTAAGAAGCAAAACAAAATGAATGCAAAGGGTAATTTTCTTAGTATATCTTCAATTATGAAAGCTGCTCAGTGTTTATTTGTTATACTTGTGATTTCCACATGTATATATATTTATAACACATTTAGTTTCACACAATCAAGGAATGTACAAATGGATGATGAATGCCAAACATACCAGAAGAACAAAATTTCTCGAAATTCTGGATTTGATCAAATTAACACTACAGAGAATTTTCAATATAAAGTACCTAATATTGTGCACTATATATGGTATGCCAGAAAACCAATAGAGTGGAAATTTACACAGTATCTCAGTGTTTTGAGCGCATCAAAGTTCATAAAGCCATCAAAGATAATGTTTCACACAAATTGCACTCCAATTGGACATTACTGGAATCGAACAACTGAGATTCCAAATCTTGAAATTATTCAACGAAGTCCAACAAGTGAATTATTTGGTGTGAAAGTGTTGTTTTTTTACATGACCTCACCAAGTGATATTGACAGACTTCTTATACTGAACACAACTGGAGGTATATATTTAGACATGGATGTGATTACTTTGAAATCATTTGACCCACTTCGTGTTTACCCATTTACAATGGGGTCTGAAAGCTTGACTACAAAGGTTGGTTTAAATGGAGGCATCATCCTCTCAGAACCTGGCTCAAAATTCTTGAAAATATGGATAAACAATTACGTAGATGACCAGAGATCACAATGGGCATATAATAGTGGACGTATGGCAGACAAACTCGCAACACGCTTTCCAGAAGATATTCATATTGAAATGACATCACTAAATCGACCATCATACCTTGAAGTAGATCAGATATTTGTTAAGAAGTACAATTGGCATAATAATTACGCAATTCATCTTTTAGTGCGATTATGGAAAAAGCATATACCACTTGAAACAGAAATTAATTCATCTGATACAACATTTGGAGAAATATCAAGAATGGTAATGCATGGCTCCACTGACATTCTATAAGACAAGCTTGATGCTCCATGTCAATATGAAGGAAACAATAATATAATGGAGTGTAGAATGCAAAAGTAACATAATTTGTTGGAGATGATGCATTGTACTTTTTGCTGATGACACAAATATAAAACTTCCAGACAACTGATCAATTGACTAAAATTATTATTATCAAAGTCTAACCTTGCATTTGCAAGGGTAACTAACGCCTGTCAGCTACCAGATTAATCTACTGTTTTACTGGAAACTCATTTAAGTATTAATAGAACAAATATAACAAATGCTTGAGTGTCGCTAGCTTGAGTGCAGCCACGTTTTAGTTTGCTCTGAATAATACTCAGTTTTTTACAGTTATTAGGATATTTTACCAATATATGGTTATATAGTGATTCGTATGAACAATGGATACAATCTATGACGCTATTGAGAGAACAAAAAGGAAAGGAGATAGTGTGGGACTTAGCTCTAAAACGACAAAGAGACTTCGAGGTCAACAAAGATCAACAACAAATATGGCGGAGTCATGCCCTGTAGCTGTACGCATGAATGCTGAACCAAATGGATCATGCAGTATCGAACCTTCTGATCCAGTTTTGGCATTACTAACCAAGCTGGTTGACGATCAGAAAAAACTAAGTGACAAATTGGATTCGATGCAATCGGATATGGTTACCAGAGAAGAAAGGATTATGTCCAAAATTGAAGAAAAATTAGACCTTACGAAAATTTCATTGAAGCAGGATATTACTGAGGTAAATAATAATCTTCAGTCACAAATAGATACCATTTCCAATGAGGTAAATTCGTTGAAAAGCTCGATTAGTCTTTGCAAAATTGTCATAAAAAACATTTCTGAGTCGGATAATGAAAATTGTGTTGCTAAAGTCAACGAGTTAGTTAAAGCTGGTCTGAAACTGGACGATATTAAGACTGTTACAGCGAAGAGAATTCCGAAACGTCAGGGATCTAAATACCCAGGGATAATTGTGGCAGAGGTCAGTGAAGCTGATAGACTGGAGATTTTTAAACGGAAGTCATCCTTGAAACAATCTCCAACTTATTCCAATATTTATATAAATGATTTTATATCAAATGAGTCACAAAAAATGAATACAAATCTCCAAACTGTTTTACGAGCTGTGGGTAAGCAGAATGATTTTAATTTAGTCAATGGACGAATTTTACCAAAAACCGTTAGGCAATCAGATGGAACAAGACCATAGGAACTCGGCCGATGTCGGCAATGTGATATCACTATTGGAACATGGAATTGTAACGGCTGGTCTAGTTATAATAATGACAATTCTGTTTTCAGAAATAACGTTTTACAGTCTACTGATTTAGATGTAATATGTATACAAGAAACATTTTTACGGGAAAATCAGACTCTAAACATGGATTCTATTTGCAATTCTAAATATTTGTTTATTAACCATCACCGTTCGAACATTCATGTTAACGCAAGGCGCGGCTCAGGTGGAGTTGGAATTTTATTGAAACGTACACTCCTCGAGGATTATGTTTATACAATACTTGATAAATCAAACGAAGATATACTATGGATACAGCTTTCACCCCGTGTAAACAACAATAGTGATTCGCTGTGTATCTGCTCGTGTTATTTACCACCACGTGACACGTCCAGGGCAAGTGATGCCGAAATCTTTTACAATAAGCTTATTAGTGACGTTTATCAATATCAAAACAACGGACTGATTTGTATTTGTGGAGATCTGAATTCACGTTGTGGAGAAAACTCAGATTTCATAGAAGGAGTCGATAGACTGCCACAGCGCGAAGTTATTGACTTAACAGTGAATGAGTACGGGGATTATCTCACAGATTTTCTTACCAGCGGAAACCTTTGTATGCTTAATGGACGCTTTCCAGAAAACGATTTCACTTTTGTTTCTCACAGAGGGAGATCGGTAGTAGATTATGTCATCATACCACACGAGCAGCTTGAATTTTGGAGTGATTGTAAAGTGTGCACAATGAATGGGCTGATAGCTTCCAATCAGATCCCAGTTCCCACGCATATACCGGATCATTCCCTAATAAGGGCTACTGTACAAATACAACGCACAGTCAGGCCCTCTAGTGATAAAAGTGAAAACCATGAAATTTATAAATACAAGGTTGATAATATTCCAGATAATTTTATGCAAGATGTAAATATAGATGATGTTAATTTAGTGATTAATTGTATACAGCAGCGGATTGACGAGGAAACTATTTTAAATGATGCTTATGAGGAATTTGCTAATTTAATTAAATCTGAAATGGATGAATTACTACCTAAAATTAAAGTGTGCCCTAATAATTGCCATTCTAAATTTCGATCAAAACCATATTGGTGTCAAGAATTGCAGGATTTGTGGAATAGTGTGTCAGCAAAAGAGAAATCCTGGTTACGTTGCAAAGGATCACCCACATGGAGAAATGTATTGAGAGCGCAATATTGTGCTGAACGCAAATCGTTTGATAAATTGCTAAGAAAGTTGAAACGCCGACATCAACAAACAGAACACGATCATCTTCTTGAGTCGTGTTGTAATAAATCCAATCAAAAGTATTTTTGGCGTGAAATTGGAAAAATCGGAGTCTCTAGTGAACGCAGGAAAATTATACCTTTTGAGGTCGTTGATACAGAAGGAAATATTATAACAAATAAAAATGATGTATTACACCGTAGGAAATCGGATTATACAGGACTATATAATGGCAGCGATAGTCCAGTTTTTGATGATAACCACTTGAATCGTATAAAGTCCGAGCTGGAACTTATGAATCTCGATGAGGATCCTAATATTAATACAGCACTTAACAATGATATATTATTTGAGGACGTTCGAAAAAGCACTTACAGACTAAAACTAAACTAAAGCCACAGGATTTGACAATATTCCCGCAGAAGTACTGAAAAACCATAACTGTATTTCTCTTCTGCATAGAATTATTCAACAGTGTTTTCGACTTGGCAAGGTACCGAAACAATGGAATAGAGGAATTATTCACCCGATTCCTAAAACAGGTGATCCCAGAATACCACTCAATAATCGAGGAATAACACTGATAACAATACCTTGTAAGGTGTATTGTGACATTCTAAATCAACGATTAGCTTCATGGTTGGAGACCGAACACAAACTGGTTGATGATCAAAACGGATTCCGTAAGGATAGGAGTTGTTTGGACCACATTTACAGTATGTACACTATAATTAACAACCGAAAGTTGGCTAAACAAGATACGTTCGTATGTTATGTTGATGCCCGTCGGGCCTTTATCAGTTTAGATCGTACCTGCCTCATATATAAACTCCAACGCGCCGGGGTGAAAGGACGCATGTTGAACGCCATTGCGTCATTGTACGAGAATGTTGAGTGTGCTGTCCGGGTAAATGGGCTTTTTACGGAGTGGTTTGATGTCCCTAATGGATTGAAGGAGGGCTGCCGAGCATCTCCGACTCTATTTTCCTTGTATGTTAATGATTTGGCTGAACTAATAAATGACTTGAATTGTGGAATTGATATAGATGGAACAATTACTTCGATATTTATGTACGCTGATGATATTGCGCTTGTTGCGCCAAACGAGCGTAACCTACAATGTATGCTTGACAAGTTAAGTGACTGGTGTCTTACTTGGCGTATGTGTCTCAACCAGAGCAAGACTAAAGTGATCCATTTTCGACCGTCAGGAAATAATAGGAGTAATTTTATGTTTACATGTGGTGATCTAAACGTTGAATATACACCTGAATATAAATATCTCGGCTTAACTTTAAATGAACACCTCGACATGCACCGTACAGTTAAACTATTAGCAGCATCTGGTAATAGAGCTCTGGGCGTCCTCATCGCAAAGTCCAACGCAGTTGGAGGCATGCCATATAAGGTCTTTACAAAACTGTATGAATCCTTGGTTGAGCCTATCTTGTTATATGGCGCGGGAGTATGGGGCAATGCTCAGTACACCGAAATAAATGCAGTGCAACACAAGGCAGCGCGTTATTTTTTGGGACTAGGACAAAAGGCACCTAATATTGCAATGAAGGGAGATATTGGCTGGACCTCAATATTTACAAAACAACGCGTCTCAGTAGTTCGTTTATGGTGTCGCCTAAAAAACATGGACAATTCTAGAAACATGAAACATATTTGGTCAATGCATCGAGCTCGGACCTGGGAAGCAAAAACAATTAAACTCATTAAGACTCATGATTTTGATCATCTTATAACACGAGACGAAATCCCTGACATCAGAAAAGAACTTCGTGATTTGCACGATATTTTATTTAACTGTGATCACGAGCTTTGGCATCGTCAAATGTGGAATGACGGACGCAATGTTAATGGTAATAAAGTTAGAACATATCGATTACATAAGACACACGCCATTGGTCCGGAATACTATGTTAATGCGAACCTCACTCGCTTTCAGAGGCGTGCTATTGCCCAACTTAGAAGCGGAACGTTGCCACTCAAATTAGAGACTGGGAGATACACCAACATTCCACTTAATGAGCGACTATGTCTCTGTGGCAACGCCGTGGAAACAGAAATTCATTTTGTTATAGAATGTCACCTTTATGAGACTGAGAGGAGAGAGCTTTTGCATAAGGCCAGGTCGCTAATAGGGAATGACTTTGATACCACTAGTCTAGGACAGTACTGCTTACTTATGAATTGTGAATTGTTGCAACGTTCCCTAGCAAAGACTGTAATTAAACTCTGTATGAAACGTCGAACATTCTTATATTAACTTATTAATCGAATTGTTGTTAAGTGTCTCATATGCCGACATCGGCAGGGCCAATGTTTTTTAATATCGTTTTAGTACTATGTAATATTTTATGGCGTGACACTATAATAAATAATAAATACAATACAAATATGATTATCTAATGAAAACACAAAATGAAAATGATGTTTTCATTGTGCAGGATTGGTCCTCTGATCACAATTGATTTTTGACTAGAAGATTAGAGTTCAAAATATTTAAAAATAATATTTTTAAGCACATGTGGAGGTTTTCAAGGTTTGTGGGGGTTCGAAGGGTTTGTGCAAACCACCCCTGGTCAAAAATTATTTAAGCTAAGTTCACACCAACGTCGCTTTGATAGTGCTTTAAAGCGCCATCAAAGCGCTGTTGGTGTGAACTTAGCTTTAACAATCATGCAGTTTTTCTCGATTCTGTGCATTTTTCATGTGATTTTGGGCCAAATTTGTCAAAGTGAACTCCTTTGGAATTTTTCTGAAAAGCTGGCTTAAAGGGTCTGCAGAATCAAGATCACTTTATTACAAGGTGTCACATATGTCATGTTTATTATGCTGTAAAGAAATTATGTGATAGGGAAACATTATAAAACTATCTGTGACTACCTTACTTAGGTGTATGTGCATTCAGAGTAGCAATTTTGATTTCCAGACATTTTTGAAAACAATGCCACAGTCAATCATATTGTTCTTCTTAAAATCACATTCAATGAGAGGACTTATAATAGGCAATAGACTCTTGTCCAATCCTTTTTGTTTCCTGTAAATCAATAATGTATGATTTAAAAACACAGAAATATAAAATGTTCTTGATAATAATAAATTGCATTCACTCAGAAAAATCTTGTTTATTGGGGAAAAATCGTATCATATTCACTCTAAAATTAAATCATGAAAAATAAATTTTGGTAATGTATCATAATATTTAATCTATATGGGACACTGAGCCTTGGGACTACAGTTCAAATGACAGTTCAAATGACTGATAGTTTGGATTAGTTCAAATGTTATATACCATGAGTCTCCCTTTCTATTAATCTACAGGGTGTCAAATGGCATGTGCCCCCTTCAATAGAATAAACTAGGATAAGTACCTAATTACATTCTGTATGACATTGGAAAGAACATTTAATTCTGGATAAAATAAATCATAGATAATCAAGGTCAGAAATTGCTACATAGTTTCACATGCATTTCAAATGCTGTATTTTTCAATTTCAATTTTATTTATTATACCATAACCCAAATAAAGGGTATTAGGTAAAAGTACATACAGTAAATAAGTATACAACAATTAAGTATTTCATAACAAACAATTGCTTCCCAGCCTCAGAATATGTCATACTCACTTTCGGAATATGTTTGACATTGATGAATACCCAAGCAACAACTCCGACTTGAAAGCTGGAGGGCACACATATTAATTGATTTAATGTATTAATTGATAAAACAGAGCAACCTATGTAATCCAAAGCTGCAGAGAACAGATATTCCAAAGATGCCATGTACAAGAACCTTAAAAAAGTCTTGAGATGTCTTGAGAAAGACACTACTCATTTAACATCATATCCAGCTATACTGACAGCCATTTTAGGCTGCCTAAGATGGTCATACTCAAGTTATTTAATAAAAATATGTCTTTATGCATCTTCACCTTTTCACAATTTAACAACAATTAAATGCTCTTTCCAATGGTTTATAGTATGTGTGTGTAACTCTCCTAGTTTATGCTGTGGGTGGGGGGCACAAACCATTTGACACCCTGTAGAACACCCTGTTGAGAGATAATTTAAATGTTCTATCTATCTTGAGTCACCCTGTATATTTGAATAGTTAATTGAGTCTGAGAAAATTCACTGCTATTAATTCAATTTGAAGCACATCTTCAATAATGAAAACTGCTCACTGTTTAATTGTTATACTAGTGATTTTCACTATGTATCTTTATAACACATTTAGTTTCATACAATCAAGGAATGTACCAATGGACGATGAATGCCAAACATACCAAAAGAACAAAATTTCTCGAAATTCTGGATTTGATGAAATTAATGCTACGGAGAGGCTTCATAAAGTACCTAACATTGTGCACTACATATGGTATGCCAGAAAACCGATAGAGTGGAAATTTACACAGTATCTCAGTGTATTGAGCGCATCAAAGTTCATAGAGCCATCAAAGATAATGTTTCACACAAATTGCACTCCAATTGGACATTACTGGAATCAAACAACTCAGATTCCAAATCTTGAAATTATTCAACGAAGTCCAACAAGTGAATTATTTGGCAGGAAAGTGTTGTTTTTTCACGAGACCTCACCAAGTAATATTGACAGACTTCTAATACTGAACAGAACTGGAGGTATATATCTAGACACGGATGTGATAGCTTTGAAATCATTTGACCCACTTCGTGTTTACCCATTTACAATGGGGTCTGAAAGCTTGACTGCAAAGGTTGTTTTATGTGCTGGCATCATCCTCTCAGAATCTGGCTCGAAATTCTTGAAAATATGGATTAACAATTACGTAGATGACCAGAGATCACAATGGGCATATAATAGTGGACGTATGGCAGACAAACTCGCAACACGCTTTCCAGAAGATATTCATATTGAAATGACATCACTAAATCGACCATCATACCTTGAAGTTAATCAGATATTCGCTAAGAAGTACAATTGGCATAACAATTATGCAATTCATCTTTTTGTGCGAATGTGGAAACAACATGTACCAGATGAAAGGGAAATTAATGATTCTGATACAACATTTGGGGAAATATCAAGGATGGTGATGTATGGCTCCATTTATGTTCCATAAGACAAACTTGATGCTCCGTGTCAATATGAAACAATCACCTATTGGAGTGTAGAATGCAAAAGTGAAATAATTCATCCTTCTTCAAAGGACTTCATTAATGCTCAAATTCAAAAGATTATATATACAGGGTGTCCCGAAAGTATGCCCCCCCCAATCTCCCCTAGGTGGACATATTCCATTTGAGAGTGGAACCATGATACTTGGGCGAATCAATGTAACTTTGGATAAGCTTTACAATGATATATGACACATACTATGACGACACTGGTATATGTCTGCCTAGGGGGGGGGGGGGCATACTTTCAGGACACCCTGTATACCCTAACTGCAAGGATGATATTTGTTGGAGATGTTGCATAGTATGTTTGCTGGTGAAACAAACATCAAACTTCCCGACAAATGATTGATTGAAAATAAATATTATTAATGCTGCATTTGTTGAGCTCAAATGGACTTGAAAATGTCATAAATGGGTTGAATGCACAATCTAATTTTGAAAAGATTTTGAGCATTTTTGACCCTTAATCCACCATTCTACTTGAGTGAACCAAGGACCAAATGTGCATCTTTGACTTTAAAGGTGTTGGAGCAACTGAAACCTCGTGAATCAAGTTGCTAAATGTGTTAAATTTAAGATTTCACTGTATACTGATTTCCTTTCATGCATAATTAGAAGCCCAACACTGTGGTCAATCATTGGATCTAAATGGCACAGAATTTCATGTACAATTCAAAAAATTGATTTCATGTACTTTAGATAACAGATCAAGATCAATAGTTATGAAGTTGCAATGAAATAAAACAAGCCTTAGGCAACTTAGGGTGTCAGTTTTATTTTACATGTAACAGAAATCATGGTGGTTAAACTTCGCACACTCTGTTCGAGAAAAATCACTCTTATATGTGTATATTTGGGAATGTATTTTTCAATTACAACATTGAATAGAGTACATTAGTCGACAAATGCATATCCAACTCCAATAAATGTTTTGCTTTCACAAACCATGATGTAAATAAAATAGTACCATGGGACATGGGTACTGTGTTCACATGGTGAAAGTGCATTCTAGACATACTGTAACTGTAACTGTAACTGTTAAAGTGGCTTGTACAATTTCAAGCAAATCAATGCAATAATTTAAGACTTATAACATAAAAGTGATATTCGATAATATAAATGATGGCCATTTTGAATTTTCATGACACATTTTGTCGAAAATTTTAGGCATAATTGTTTACTTATCAAACAAGGTTTCTGGAGTAATGACCAAAAAGAGCTGAAAACATGACTTTTCTGAAATAAATGTGGCAGCTATTTTTGAATTTTATTAGATATTTTGCCAAAGGTTGTAGATGTTTTTATTTATTTTCAATAGTAAGATTAGAAAAATACATTTTCAAGTGGATGACACACTATTAGGCATATTATCCAAGAAGTTTGAAAAATGAACATGGTAAATAAAAAATTAATCTCCAATACAAACATAATACATCCTTATTAGATACATAATGATGTAGTTTATATTTGATATATAGATATCATTGTTAACCTAAACTCTTAGCTACCTGTACAACTTCAAACAAATCATTGATGTTATTAAAGTGGCAGCCACTTATCACTTCTCTCACATTTCATCTGTGTAAACATCAATAATGATGTATCACTACACTCCTTGAGTCAAAAGTGGTGTGTCTCTAGAGATATTGGGAAGGGACATTGATTGTGGCCTGATAGAGTAATGCCCAGGCAGACATGGACAATGGGATAAACAAAAGGATGGACAAATGTATGGATAGATCATTTTGCTAACGCTCTATGTTTGGTGGGATAAGATATAACATTTTCATGACAATATCAAAAGAGGAGGTTCTTATAAAATATTGGATGAAAATTCCCTGCATATGTTTGCCACAGATGTACAGCATGTGGTAAAGTTACTTTCATTCCACAAAAAGTCTGTCCAGCTTGTGTTTGTTCAATATATTATGCCTCTATCATCTTAATAAATATAAGTTATTCAGGATGCTCATCAGAATCAGCTTAAGTACCATCTGGTATTTAATCCTCTCTACACTTCAAGAGGGGATTAAGTTAATTTCAAATGTAAAGTATTACAAGCTAAGGTCAATCAATAAGTTCTGAGAAAAAGTTTCCTAGTTAAGAATTTTATGACCTAATTATACTTAAATTCTTGTTTATTGAGCATCCACCTTTTTGGAAAAAATTATGCTTACTACACACTTTAATTTCATTTTGTGCTAAAATTCCTTCCTTATCCTCTGAATATGAAATATCAATGTCAAAACTAACCCTCAAGGCATTAATAAAATATAATAACAGAAACAATTCATAATGAATACTTCATTCCAAATAGAGATATCTATATTATTACCAACATCTGACGAGACAACCTTTTAAACTCAGACTGGCAAAGTAAAATACTATTATTAGATAATTTCAATATAAGTAAACAGGAACGTGTCATCCTGAATGTGCTCACTGATGACCTCACATAAACTCACTTTTTCAATTCAAAATAAGTCAGAACAAAGATACTGACCCAATTTAACCAGACAATTTTAAAATCCTTCTGGAATTATCAAGGTAACATGTTATATATATTTTCATAAAATGCAATGATTTAAAAGATTTTCTAATGTCTTTTGACCCTGTTTGCAACATACTGATGCAGAATACTGTGATTTGGTTGCAAGTATTACTTATTGATTTTGAAGGCAGGCTCACAAAGCAAGGCCCCTGCCTCAGGTTCTCTCTCTCTCTCTCTGTGAGATCGTTGGCAATCTTTGTTGGCAATCTTTATATTTTTCTATCAAATATTGCACTTTTGAAAGTAAATTTGTAATTCCAGCAAGTAATCAACATGATATTCAACATGAGACGCATATCAATGGTCATCATCCTCATACTGACATATCAGATGAAAGGAATCCACACACAATTACAATTCCCGACTTCAAAATGTACCCCAGATCAGGTAAACAACATACTCTTGACATGCTAATACGTAACATCAAGCCACTAACGTGCAAAATGTCACCATCTGCCATTTGTTTAAGATGCTGACTGCCGAATGATAACTGCCAAATACTAACCACTGAATGCCAAACACCAACCGCTGAATACCATTCACAAAAAGTTGGATAACCATACTCTTCTGGTGGTGACATAACTAGCAGTCAGCCAGAGCTATTCATAGTTCAGCCATATTTTGTTAAACTAAGTTAGACCAGAGAACATATTAATGTAGCTCAAAGACTCTTGTTTTTCTGCCTCAAAGGTGAATGTTTTTTTTACAAAAGATTTGATGATGAAAAAATATTGAGAAACTAATTTTTAATTTTCTTAACAGAAATCCTGCAACTCTAGATGTTACAATGACCCAAACTCTGAAGATGCTGAGAAGTATGTCTGTAATTGTGATGCAGCATGTAAAATCTTTAATGATTGTTGTGATGACCTTCATGATTTTTGCTCCTTTACGCGGCCGTTGATTCTCAACAATACTGACAAGTACGAATGTGTCAGAGTTTCCCCACAACAAAGGGTCCATCTATTGGCAGGATGCAATGCAGACTTCACTGATCAAGAAATGGTAAAAGCATGTGAAGAACCCTCAGGTCAGACCAAAAATCCCTTATACATTACACCAGTCACAGACAACTCCACAGGTCTCAGCTACAAGAATATATTCTGTGCAAATTGCAACAAAATAAAAAGTGAATACATGGTTTTCTGGAGACATACAATAGAGTGCAGTGCTAAATACTATCAGAGTTCTGCTGAAGTGATTCAAGTAGACAACATCACATCTGACAGCCTATGGCAAGCTGTGTTTGACAACTCAGAAAAATGTCAGGTTAGAGTATGTTAGTATTATATTTAAGGACTTTTGAGGTCTGGTAATTAAAAAGAAAAGTATATTTATGGTTTACGACCACTGATAAATATATCAACCTAATTTCTGAGTCTTGGTTAAAGAAATAAAATGTGCAAACAAACTAACAGGGGAGTGGTACAGTCAAGGCCATCTGGTAGGCTGTGAATTCATATTTCCACACCTCAATAGATCCATTATATACATTTAATCAATATTGTATCTTTCAGATTAAAATAAAACACAAGAGGATTCCAACCTATGTTTCATTTTTACCTTCCAGGTTAATTTAACCATCGAGGACACCAGTACTTTCTCCCCACCCCTCCGTGGATGTCGCCCTAGCAACAGCTGTGATGAGGTATTATATAATTATTATCATGTTACTAATAAAACAAAAAAATGTTGTCTGTGTCTCAAACCTCAAAAATCCACTCATACATAAAGATCAAGTCATTTTGTTGATTACATCATTCCAGAACTAATTCTTTGAGTTAAACATTGAAACTGTTGCATTTATTTGAAGAATGGCAATCAAAATAGCCATAGTCCACAGATATTAGAATTCAGTGATTTTGTGTTGCCAGTGCAGAAAAACCGCAGAATTTTGGTTTTCAAAATTTTGCAGAATTTGATTTTTCGCAAGGAACTTGATGGAAAAATGATATTTCTAGTCAGCCACCTCATCTCACCTAATATGTGATAATTCAGATATAGATTTTCTAACGTTTGAGTGTAACGAATCAGTTTGAAAATTACTTTAAGTATTACGGAAGGCGAAATGTTTATTGCGTAGCATTTTTATTAGGGTGATCGTAGGTGGTAAGTGAGTAGGGTATTCACGCTTGGAGTATTTCATTTGGACATGTGAATTATGTATGTAATGTAAGGTCATTCTCGGTTTACACGCAAGCGAGGTATGACAAAGTCTTGAACCGACCGTCTACATTTATCATCCAAAATGGCGCACGAACAAATGCCTCAAATAGTGGATATATTAGAAACTCTATTAGATAAAAAACTCAACACGCTCAAGAGGGAGATTAAGGAGGATACAAAACAAATGACGAAGAAGGCAAAGACGGAAACCAAGCTCACAAAGAAAGGAAATCAAAAGCAGTTTGACCACAACGTGGAGGTGCTGGACGTCATGAAAGACGTTAAAGATTTACTGGCAGACAGAGAACAAGAGGCTACAGCCAAGCTGGATGAAGGTATTGCTTTAATTTCTTATAGAAATAAATGCATTCAAATAGCGGATGACTCAACCCTTGGTTGGGCCGCGGTCGAGGAATATATGAAAGATGAGTACGCTAGTGATAGCGACGATGACAAAAAGATTCGTAGTGCAAGGGTTAATGCGGGTAGAAAAGCTAGGGAGAAAAAGATAACTGTAAGAACTGGGTCACGTAATAACCAGAGAGAAAGTTTCAATTTCAGCAGAAACGGGCAGGACCGGGGTAACCAACAATCCGGCAGGTGGCAGGAACGCCAGCAAAGACAGTGGAACAGCAGCTTCAACAGCGGTCCATACTACAACGGCAGAAGCAGAGCAAATGACGTCTGTAGGAACTGTTCCCAGACAGGACATTGGGCACGTGACTGCAAGCAAGGTGCCACGTTCCAACAAAACTCCTACGACTCAAGCAGCCAGAACAACAACAGATCATAAGTTGAGTAAGACTTTATCACATATTGTATCTGAAAAATCTGTAAAAGATAGTTTGAAGAAAAACGTTAGCTTTTGGGGAGAAATCGGTGCTTCACAGTATGTAGTTAATACGATCAAACACGGGTATAGAATACCGTTTGAACAAGAACCAGCAAAAGCAATTCTAAAAAACAATCAATCTGCTTTAAAGAAACGTGAGTTTGTTGAAAAATCAATAAATGAACTATTGCAAGATGGTCGGATCAAAGAGGTAAAATATCCTTCACATGTAGTAAATCCCCTCACTGTGGCATCAAATGCAGAAAAGGACAGGTTAGTGTTAGATTTAAGACATGTTAACCCTTTCATCAATTTAGACAGAGTAAAGTTTGAAGATTTGCAAGTTGCCAAAGAATATTTAGTACCAGGGGGATATATGTTTGTGTTTGATATCAAAAATGGCTACCATCATTTGAACATACTACCAGAACATCAGAAATTCTTAGGGTTTTCATGGGAATTTCAAGGAAAAACTAGGTATTTTGAATACACAGTATTACCCTTTGGAATTAGCACAGGAGGTCTCATATTCACAAAAGTTGTTAGGCAACTTGTAAAACACTGGCGTAGTCAAGGTATACGAATTATAGTATTCCTGGATGATGGGCTTTGTTTCCACGAGAGTGTTTCACTTTGCATAGAGCATTCCAACCAGGTGAGATCAGATCTGATAAAAGCTGGCTTTATTCCAAACGATAAGAAGTCAAAATGGCAGCCTGAACAGGTACAACAGTGGTTAGGTTTTAAATTAGATCTGTCGCAGGGTAAACTCTTAGTACCAGAAAGTAAACTCTCAGACGTGCATGAAAAGGTTAGTAAGTTACTAAGTAATGCAAACAGAACAACCGCTAGAGCAGTAGCAGCGGTAGTAGGGAAAGTGGTCGCACTAAGGCATGCCATAGGTGATATATGTATCCTTAAAACGAGATCGTTACAAGTAGTTGTAGCATGTAGGTCAAACTGGGACAATTGTATTCGTTTACCAAATGACGCAATAGGCGAGTTAGAATTTTGGTTAGAAGGTCTATACACGTACAACGGGACATCGTTGGTAAGACAATACAAACATTCCAGGGTCGTGTACTCGGACGCTAGCAATAGTGGATGTGGTGGGTATGTGGTCAATTTTGAGAATGAGGTATGTCACAAAACATGGTCTGATGCAGAGAGTCAGAGAAGTTCAACTTGGAGAGAGTTAATGGGAGTGTTCACAACATTACTGTCCCTCATGCATTTGTTAAATAATCAAGAAATCAAATGGTTCACAGACAATAAAAATGTAAGATCAATCATTTCGAAAGGTAGTATGAAACCAGATCTTCAAAGTCTAGCTCTAAGAATACACAGAGTTTGTAAAGAGAGAAATGTGAAATTGAACGTAGAGTGGGTGCCTAGGGAACATAACGTTCTAGCAGACGAAATCAGTAAATATGTAGATTTCGATGACTGGGGAATTCGTTTGAATGTTTTTAACTATCTTAACATTAGATGGGGGCCTTTCACGGTGGACAGGTTTGCTGATGTGCATAATATGAAATTACCAAGATTCAATTCCAGATTTCACTGCCCAGAGGCAGAAGCAGCAGACGCTTTTACTCAATGCTGGAAGCATGAAAACAATTGGTTAGTACCGCCATGCTGCCTGGTGGCAAAAGCATTTAGATATTTAGTAGAGCAGCGTGGTCGAGGTACGTTGGTCGTACCAAAATGGCTGTCAGCAGTGTATTGGCCAGTATTACATGATGGTAGGAAGTATCATTCTAGCATAAAAAGTGTTATTGAATTCCCCAAAGGAGGGCATTATTTCACAAAAGGCTCACAGAAAAACAGCGTTTTTGATAGTGATCAAGGGTTCAGTAGCCCGCTCATAGCTTTGCAAATCAGTCATGACTGATTAATGTGGCCTCTGAGGCACATGCGCGTTGTGTTGTAGATGTAATGTGCAAATCAAACGCTGTACTTCTATGAGCAAAAAGGGTCAAAATGTAATCTGTGTCATCCAATGTATTTTCAGGCTACAGTGATACGGTGTTTAACAGCAAAGCTTGGACAGATGTAACAGACGTTTGCTCAAAACAAGAAGAATTAAAAGACTTTCCAAACAAGTTGAAGGACTTTGCGATAAGAAGCAAGGAACCAAATACGGTTACAAAATATTCTGCAGGTTTTGAAAAATTCAAAAACTGGTGTAACGCACTTGGCTTACAATTTCTTCCAGCAAACCATATACATGTTTCAATATATCTTTTGAGTATTTTTCAAAATTCAAATCAGAGTTACAGTCAAGTAATTTCGGCAAAATACAGTATTGCTTGGGCTCATAACATGGCATGCATTGACAATCCATGCGAGCATAACATGGTAAAACTGGTTACAGAAGGGTCACTTCGTCTTTCTAGCAAAAAGGTCAGCAAGAAAGCGCCAATTACAGTAAAACACTTAGAAGATATAATAGATAAATTTGCTGGAGAAAATGCAAGCGTTTTGGAGCTAAGAACGGCCACTTTTATGATATTGGCATTTGCAGGGTTTTTTAGGTTTGACGAAATGTCAAGATTGAAATTCACAGATGTCAGTTTCAAAGAGTATTACATAGATATCTTTGTAGAGAAATCAAAAACGGATTGTTATCGTAATGGTGCAAATGTTTTAATAGCCAAATCAAACAACAAGACATGTCCATTTTCATTGTTGCAAAGATACATGAGAGAACTAGGTGTTAATTCACAAACTGACAAATTCATTTTTGGAGCACTTTCATTTTTTAAAAGCAAAAGAAAACACCAGTTGAAAGAATGTAATAAACCAATCAGTTACACAACTTGTAGAGATATGGTCAAAGCTGCCTTGAACAAAATTGGGGTAGATAGTAAGGTTTACGGGTTGCATTCATTGCGTTCTGGGGGTGCCACTAAGGCTGCCAACGCAGGTGTTTCAGACAGGCTTTTTAAGGCGCATGGGAGATGGCGCAGTGAAACTGCAAAAGACGGTTACGTTGAAAGTGACATCAGCCAAAGGCTTTCAGTTACGTTAAGTCTGGGACTTTAAGTGAAATCATACATTTAGCAATATGCAATTTCAAACATTTACGCCATCTTTAGCCTCGGTGATACTCGCCCACAAGGCCATTACTATTTGAAAGTTAATTTGGTAGTTGTGTTCTATGTTTTTGGTAAACGTGGAGTTTAGTTTACTTAAGAAGTGGTTGCTTGCAGAATGCATCACAGAATTCAAGATTTCATGCAGAATTTGGTGCAGAATTTGACTTTTTAATGCAGAATCTCTGCACAGAATTTGCATTTTTCTCATGCAGAAAACTAGGATGTGTGATAGTCAATGATTTGAAATGGTTTAATAGGTGAGCACAGGGGCAGGGGGGCCAGGTTACATAGGTGAGCAAAGGGGCAGTGAGGCCAGGTTTCATAGGTGAGCACAGGGGCAGTGGGGCCAGGTTTCATAGGTGAGCAAAGGGGCAGTGGGGCCAGGTTTCATAGGTGAGCACAGGGGCAGTGGGGTCAGGTTTCATTGTTGAGCACAGGGGCAATGGGGCCAGGTTTCATAGGTGAGCACAGGGGCAGTGGGGCCAGGTTTCATAGGTGAGCACAGGGGCAGATGGGCCAGGTTTCATAGGTGAGCACAGGGGCAGTGGGGCCAGGTTTCATAGGTGAGCACAGGGGCAGTGGGGTCAGGTTTCAGAGTTGAGCACAGTGGCAGTAGGGCCAGGTTTCATAGTTGAACACAGTGGCAGTGGGACCAGGTTTCATAGTTGAGCACAGTGGCAGTGGGGTCAGGTTTTCCAGGTCAGCACAGGGGCAGTGGGGCCAGGTTTCACAAGTGAGCACATGGGCACTGGAGCCAGGTTTCATAGGTGAGTACAGGGGCAGTGGGGCCAGGTTTCATAAGTGAGCACAGGGACAGTGGGGCCAGGTTTCCCAGGTCAGCACAGGGGCGTTGGGGTCAGGTTTCTTCTGCGAACATCAGAATAAGTTGCAAAAAAATTATCTCTAGGGTCAAACTTTGACAGGAGTGGCTTAACAAATCTCTGATTATACCACTGAAGACAATATGAATATTCAAGGCCCTTATTGTGCTACTAACTCAACAGCTCAATTAAGTGCCACACTGCTAAATGTACTTACACTCCCCTCCTTAAGTTTGGCAACCTTTGCTCCCCCATTGAACTACGTGTTAAAGCCTCTTTCCCTTTGAATTTTTATTTACTTAACCTGCGGTGAGGATACTTTCACTATGGATTGAAATATTTTTACATAGAAAGTTGAATAGTTTAACTTTTTTGTACACTATGTGTTCGGTTTACTTGATGGATACTAAAGTTACAGAGCTTCAAAGTCATTTTTGAAAATCATTTTTCGCCTCCTGTGTTATTTCCATGCCAGGAGAGGTTTTTTGAAAAACGATTTTGACTTTAAAGACCTTTTACTTTGTTGTTGAACCTGAAGAAACGTATCAATTTTTGTTAAATAAAGTTAGCAAATTCAATTGCCTACCCAACTTTTATTTTTTGCAAGGACTCAGATGGATGCATCATCTGTCATATGACTTGTGGCAAACCTACCATTTCCCATTGGTTAACATGGGAATGTCGATTTTCAAAAATTCATCTTTATCATCAATGTTCGACCTATTGTAATTTTCATTGCACGTGAAGTAAATAAAAATTCAAAGGTAAAGAGGCTTTAACACATAGTTCAATGGGGGAGCAAAGGTTGCCAAACTTATGGAGGGGAGTGTATAATCCCAGTCATTCATTACTGCTTTTTATTACAGTTTATTCCTCCATTTGCTGGTGTTAATGGGTATATCGCATATTTGGGCTTTGAAATACTGATGGATGTTACAAGCAGTGGAAAAATCAAAATATCTAATCGTAATTTCTTGGGTGTGGTCAGTAAACTGAAGAGCCTTGATTCAGAGTGTACTTTAGATGGCTGTCATGTTGTTACCTGTCCACACTTCTACATCTTACAAGATGGCCGCTGTGTTTATAATGAACTCTTGGTAAAAATCAAGTATGAAATGAAAGTGAAAATGAAAGTGCAGTCACGGTGGTTGTTTCATCAGAACCACTTTACCAAGGGGGAAATGCTGCCTGTGTTTGGAGATGGAATTCCTGTGTTTGGGGTGCCAGAACACCGATTCATAGAATGTAAAAACTGGGATAAAGCTCTAAGTCTGGTAGTTTGCGAATATGAGTTTTACATCAACTACAAAATGCCTAAATCTCTCTCTCAGATACAGGTACTTAACATTCTAGAGAACAACATGTTAGTAGTCCATGATAGCATGCAACGTCAGGTCATTGAAGGAACAATCACAACACGCTGGACCTTGATAGATATTGTTAATCCAAATGAACTGTTTGAATTCAGAAAAGGTGACATGACTTCACTGGATGCTGACCTAAGCCTACCAGCAGGTGATCTCAGTACACCAGAGAATGATGTAACTGCACTTGATGATTCCCTGGGTACAAGAGGAAGGCCTATGACTGTACCAAATGCAGCAAATAATCAAATCAAAACATCCAAGGTTTTGAAAAGTGATAGTATGAAACTAAGAAAGGCAACCGGGACACTCCTAATATGTCTCCTCTATGGTGTGAAAATCAGCATTCTGATGTAGACTAAAGTAAAAGGAAATGAGTTGTATGGACAAAAGTGACAGAAAGTCAATGAGGCCTAAATGTTTCCTATGTGGTTTGACACTCATTCTGATGTAGACTAGAGTAGAAAGAAATAAGTTGTACGGACAAAAGAGACAGAAAGTCTATGAGGCCTAAATGTTTCCTATGTGGTTTGACACTCATTCTGGTGTAGACTAAAGTAGAAAGAAATGAGTTGTATGGACAAAAGTGACAGAAAGTCTATGAGGCCTAATGTTTCCTATATGGTTTGACACTCATTCTGATGTAGACTAAAGTAGAAAGAAATGAGTTGTATGGCCAAAAGTGACAGAAAGTCTATGAGGCCTAATGTTTCTTAAGTGGTTTGACACATTGAAGTAGACTCAAAAGTAGAAAGAAATGAGTTGTATGGACAAAGGTGACAGAAAGTCTATGAGGCCTAATGTTTCTTATGTGGTTTGACACTCATTCTGATGTAGACTAAAGTAGAAAGAAATAAGTTGTATTGACAAAAGTGACAGAAAGTCTATGAGACCTAATGTTTCTTATGTGGTTTCCACTCATTCTGATGTAGACTAAAGTAGAAAGAAATATGTTGTATGGACAAAAGTGACAGAAAGTCTATGAGGCCTAATGTTTCCTATGTGGTTTGACACTCATTCTGATGTAAACTAAAGTAGAAAGAAATATGTTGTATGGACAAAAGTGACAGAAAGTGTATGAGGCTATAATGTTTCCTATACTAATATGTGGTTTGACACTTATTCTGATGTAGACAAAAGTAGAAAGAAACAAGGCATTTACATGACCAAATGTCACCACCCAGTTGCTCACAATATTATTAGTTCAATCTGTACTAAGATTTGAATTTCTGAGAACTTGTAGATGATTTTGAAAAAAATTGTTAATTTGAAGCAAGATGAAAAAATACTTTTTTGAACCTGAGAAGGTCATTGAAGGTCAAATCTAAAATCTAAAGTCAGATTTGAACTTCTGAAAACTTGTAGATGATTTTGAAAAAGAACTGAAGTCAGTCTTAACATTATTTATTAAGTTATTGGAAGTTTTAAGAATTTGTTACAGATGCCAACCGCTGTTCGCCAACTGCCGCCACAAAAAAATGGAGACCATAACAATATGTCACCACTTTTTGGTGGTGACATAATGAGTTGTATGGACAAAAGTGACACAACCTTCTTGACTAGTAGGTTTAATTTATGTAACATGAACCCTGAACTCAGACTGGAACATAACAAATCATAAGGCCCTACTTTTCAATTGTCCTTTTGCATTTACATTCTTTACAAGGTGCTCTATAGAGCTGCAAAGTCAAAAGTGAAAATGTACTCTATTGTATTATGTTATTGCTCTGACACCTCATCATGATCAACCAATCAACAGGCTTATATCTATTCCAGTGTTAGAGCACATTATCAAATTATTTGGAACATTACCTTTAACTTCCATTGTTGTTCTTGTTGGGCTAGTTCTTCTCTCACATGTTGAATTCTTGCTTCAAGTTCCTTTATGTTTTCATCCTTCATGTTCACTTGTTGTGAATGCTTGTCTCTGAAATTAAACACAATATATGCTCAATTGTCAGTTATTTAGCCTGAAATAGAACACAACATTTGCTCATTTGTCGAAAATTGAGCCTGAAATAGAACACAACATTTGCTCAATTGTCAGAAATTGAGCCTGAAATAGAACAGAATATGTGCTCAATTGCCTGAAATAGAACACAACATTTGCTCAATTGTTGGAAATTGAGCCTGAAATAGAAAACAACATTTGCTCAATTGTTGAAAATTGAGCCTGAAATAGAACACAACATTTGCTCAATTGTCAGAAATTGAGCCTGCAATAGAACACAATATATGCTCAATTGCCTGAAATAGAACACAACATTTGCTCAATTGTTGGAAATTGAGCCTAAAATAGAACACAACATTTGCTCAATTGTCCGTTATTTAGCCTGAAATAGAACACAACATTTGCTCAATTGCCAGTTATTTAGCCTGAAATAGAACACAATATATGCTCAATTGTCAGAAATTGAGCCTGAAATAGAACACAATATATGCTCGATTGTCAGAAATTGAGCCTGAAATAGAAAACAACATTTGCTCAATTGTTGAAAATTGAGCCTGAAATTGAACACAACATTTGCTCAATTGTCAGAAATTGAGCCTGAAATAGAACACAATATATGCTCAATTGCCTGAAATAGAACACAACATTTGCTCAATTGTCAGAAATTGAGCCTGAAATAGAACACAACATTTGCTCAATTGTCAGAAATTGCGCCTGAAATAGAACGCAACAGTTGCTCAATTGTCGGTTATTTAGCCTGAAATGGAATACAACATTTGCTCAATTGCTGGTTATTTAGCCTGAAATAGAACACAATATATGCTCAATTGTCAGAAATTGAGCCTGAAATAGAACACAATATATGCTCGATTGTCGGAAATTGAGCCTGAAATAGAACACAACATTTGCTCAATTGTCGAAAATTGAGCCTGAAATAGAACACAACATTTGCTCAATTGTCGAAAATTGATCCTGAAATAGAACACAATATATGCTCAATTGTTGGAAATTTAGCCTGAAATAGAACACAATATATGCTCAATTGTTGAAAATTGAGCCTGAAATAGAACACAATATATGCTCAATTGTCTGAAATTGAGCCTGAAATAGAACACAATATATGCTCAATTGTCGGAAATTGAGCCTGAAATAGAACACAATATATGCTCAATTGTCAGAAATTAAATATACCATATTCTCTCTAATGAGTGCAGTGAGTGCAGTTTTCAAATTGAAATTTAGAGAGTAAGATATTTAGAGATTCCAATAAGCACACATACATGTACAAACACTTTTTAGTTGTTATCACTAAGGTTTACATAAATTTGAATATAGTTCTCACATGCTATATTGCAAGGATATAAGTGATTTAAACCAAGATGAAATTTTAAATACAAGTACAAAAGAAATTCTCACTTTATCAAAACAATTTCTGCTTCGTAGTCAGAGACCTGTTTCCTTGCATAGATAAGTTTCTCCCTGACTTTAGTAATCTCAATATTGTGCTCAGCTTCCATCCTGGCAATACTACAACAAAGCCATAGAATCATTATTGAATTTGATCTCAGAAATTTGTGTTTTAACATATCAACAGGATTAAACTTAAATCAATTAGTCACAGAAAATAGTATTACAGGGACAAATCATTATCAACCTTGGATTAAACAAGCCTAGACCTTTCAAACATACAATGATCATACTTACTTTGAACCATACTCAGTGATGAGCTCCTCGTGTTTCAGTCTAGACCTATCAGACATATCTTCATAGTCCTTCTCCATCTAAAATATTGGTAAAGTATCATGAAAATCAACCTTTAACAGGTACAAAATTATAAACTGTGAGTAACCTTGCGTAAAATAAATATTGTCTCCGATACTTGAGGTAATCACTTTACGAGGATATTTCATATATTTCTTGTAAAGAAAACGAGGCATTAACATGCAAAATGTCACTACATGCCATTTGTAACAGATGTCGACCGTCAACCACTGAATGCCATCCACAAAAAAAGTGGAAACAATATGTCACCACTTGTGGTGGTGACACAAAAAAAATTTAAACATAAAACATTTTAAAGCATATAGTTGTCATTTTTCATCGGCAACCATGAAACAATTTTATATGAGACATTTTAAAATGAAGTCAACCTAAAAGTCTAAGCACTCAACTGAGAGAGGTCACTTTGAGAGCAGAAGTTAATTAAAAGAAACATTAAGCTCTCTTTTAAGATGCAAAATCAAACGAATGGAAAATGTAGCGAAAGATTTAAAGTAGGGATACAGTATGCATCACTACCTGTTGAGAATCGTCAACTGTTTTATTTGGATCACAACAGAATTAATGATGCTTCATCAATTAAGCAAACTGGTATTGTATTCAGTACTTTCAACATGCAATAAACACCCATTTCACTATTGACCTCAACCATTGGTCTGAAGTCAACACTCAGATGAAAAGGTTTCCCTCAACCTTGTGTCTTCGTCAATACCGAAACCTTCAATGAGAGTAAAAGTATACAATTTGCCCAGTAAAGCTCAGCAACAGATTTATTACCTGATTTATTTTCGCTCTGTTTGTATCCAGGTCTCCCTCAAACTCATGTATACACCTCTCAAGTATATGTAATACCATTGAGGAGCCTTGACCATCAATGGGTTCATTTTCAAAATATGGACGTCCTCTCTTTGACTCTATACTGCGTAGAAATGTTCTTATTTGGTCAAACATTGTTTCTAATTTGTAGTGTTCTTTTTGCGTAACATCCATCCTAGTGTTCATGTCGAGTAAAGTCTGACAAAATAAAAATTATATATGTATGTACATTAAATAATTATGAATGAAAAATGATTATTAGCAAAAGCAATATCTCTAAAGATTTCATTTTCTTATGTTTGGGTCATATCATTTTTCCTAAAACATTAAACAGCCTGAACCTACATGTACATGACCTTTTAGTCCAAGTCAAATTATCTAAACTCTTACTTTGATAGGCATTTTGAATTAAGAAACCTTAAAACATGTTTCTTAATCCAAAAGTTACATGTACGTACCGTATTATCTCTATTAAACGCACACTCTCTAATAAACGCACACCCGACATTTTGTCCCAGGTTAGAAAGTCCTGTCCCGATAATATTGAGATCTGACATTGTGGGCGATAATAGAGTATTTTCACAGTTCGTTAAAATAATGCATCATGATTCATGACGTCACGATTTCCCATCATGCAACGTAAAAAATTTCTTCAGGTGTTCGTGTAAATAACACACAATAGTGTATTTATATACTAAATTTGTCGTCTAGGAGCTCACAATTCAAGGTAAAAACATAACATATAGCATATTCTTTCTAATAAATGCACATACATGTATCTACTATATTTGATCGATTTAAGGTATAGAAGTAAATTTTCACCCATTATCGCCCACCATCATAATTTTTTAGAATTCCCTACGGGAATTTGCTAAGCGCACTGTGCGTTTAATAGAGATAATATGGTATATCACTTTGACTGATCCCTTTAAACGTATAATATCTTCCTAACAGAGTAAAATTGGGACATGGCATCAATGTAACCCTAAAATGATGGCACAATATGCAAATGTTAAGTAAGTCAAACTACCTCTTCCTGTATTGCATTAGCCTCTTGAAGTTGATGTAGCGTAGTTTGTAGTTTCTGTATAAGAATGTCCTGGTTGGCAGATTCCTTTTCCCTGGAAAACAGCAAAACATGCACATGGTACAGGCCCGTAGACAGGGGGGGTTTGATGGGTTCGAGCGAACCCCCCCCCCCCTGGCCAAAAATTCATTCAAAATCATTTTCAGAAACTCCTTTGTTAGGTTTACACAAGGCATTAACATTACAAAATGTCACCACCAGATATTGTAAGTTCTGAAGTTGTAAGAATTTGTTACAGACGCCAAACCCCAAACACCATCCAGAAAAAAGTTGGAGGCTATAAAATATGTCACCACTTCTGGTGGTGACATAAAAAACACAACTTTGAATGCAGTTGAGGTTAATAGTAAAATGAAACCAACTACAGTAATAAAGCATGTTTACCTGAGTTTTATTACTGAATCTCTGCCAACTACTGCATCATGCAGTTTACTCTTTAAATCCTCAATAGCTTTCCTAAAGTTTTGCTTTTGTTCTTCACTTAGTCTTGCAAGCTGAAATAAAAATACACAAGGATTATTTAATTTTGGGGAGGTAGGAAGTTTGACTGTGCCAATGAGTTTAATAAATATGTTTTTAGGGATGCCTTCATATTTTCTGCTAAAACTGGAGCTTTAATACGGAAATCTGAAGCAATCTTTTCCATCAGACTTCCTAAATATCATATGTTTCTTGTAGCACTTTATCAATCTCACCCTTATAAAAAAAAAAAACCATTTTTTCCGAAATTCAATGGTTTCATTGCATATCATGTAACCATCATTTCAACCTTGAAGATCAAAGGAAAAATCATTATATCAACCATTCAAAACCATTGCGCAACCATTACTTCACCCAATCTTTTCAACCCTTTTTACATAAAGTTGTAATGGTTACGCAACCATTTTTGAGAAACCATTGCAAAACCATTACCCATTGAAATTAACAGTTACAATTGATTGCAACCATTGATTGGGAACTCCAACTATTGCAACCATTAATCCTCAAAATGAATGCTCATGGGCAGACCTGTAGCCAGCTTTTGCACTTTTGACAAATTTACAAGGGGATTCATATTTTATAACTATGGCCAAAAATTGGCCAAAATCACTTGAAAGGTCCTCAATATGGTGAAAAACTGCATGAATTTGAAATAATGTTGGGCTATGGCTATGTTGATATTATTAGTATGTTTTTTTTAAGTAAGCATGTCTGTAGTCTGCAGTCTATCACACTCTTCTCTCATTAAAGAATTTTTTTTTGGACTTTGTGTGTCTCGGATCTTGTTCTCAATGACAAGTCTGACGTCACTTCCAGAACAACAAAAAACATTCACTTATTTGTAAATATCATTTAATCTAATCCCTAGGATTTTAAACACTTATTACTATGACTATTGCAATCACTTATCAGGTATCGTTTTTAAGGAGAATGAAAAATGCAGAAATCTTGTAAGAAAATAAGGATTCTTTTTTGTTTCAATTCAATATTGTTTAATTTTGCTGGCTTATTTTCATTAAGAAAATTGTAGAAATACAAATTAAGATTTCACATTATTGAATTCAGATAAGGTACAAAGACAGAGCAGCAACAGTTGCACAGACAGAGCGGCAACGGTTGAAATGCTAATTATAACCATTGAAAAGCTAATTATAACCATTGAAATGCTAATTATAACCCTTGAACAGCCAATTAGATAAAGTTCTGTTTTGATAGTTTAACAAAATGATTACAAATCAATTCTTTTTTTAAGAATTATTTTTGTCTGAATAATTTATTTTTGAATTCCCCCTACCATAATAATGACACAATCATAGTAAATTAGATGAGATTCACATTAAGATTTTTGAAGCCAGCTATGGTCTTGATGAATTCTCTTTTTTCTAGCGATAGTTAACTTAAGTTCATAATACAATTTTGAGACATATCCAACTTCAAGTTCATGCTCATAGGCATAAAAACATGTCTAGTAAAAGGAAATTATCATCTATTCAAGTGTTTAAGATATTTCCCTTTCAGTCATTATGATTAATGTTTAATCCAATTAGTAATTAATATTTTTTGATTTGTAAATGATATTGAAGAAAAGACAATCAATCCGGCTCTTGCCTAATCCAAAGCATAAATACAAGGATGTTGATGTTTCAAAATCATGTTTTGGAAACATTTTCAGTTTAATCTACTTAATTGTTGTAATAAGACTTCTTTGATATTGAAGAAGCAGTTATTTTGGCACTAGCTTAATCCAAATCATAAATAAGAGGCAGGAAATACAATCTTTGATGTTTCATAATATGTATGTATGTACTTTTAGTCAGAAACATTTTTTTGTTGAGACAGGAGAAAAACAGAAAATTTCCACAGAACGTTTTGTTGTATTGTTCAGTAAAACTGAATGAATCAAGGAGGAATTTCCAAATAAACTACAAGAATGACCAGGGCCAAAAATGAATACACTTGATTCTTTTCAATAAAATAGAAATACTATCTCTATGAACATGAACTTGAAGTAATATTCAGTACCAAAAATGAATAAACCTTATTCTTTATAGAAATAATATGCCAATGAGAATGTACTTGAAGTCATATCCAGTGCCAAAAATGAATAAACCTTATTCTCTTCAATTAATTAGAAATAATATGCCCATAAACATGAACTACTGTATTTTGAAACATAATAATGCATTCAATTTACTTGTATGTTCTTCATGTTTCAAATTGTCTCATTCTTAAACAAATAATTTCCACAATATGGTTGAAAATAGTTAATTGCAACCATTTGGTAAAATGCAACTTAAACAATCAATGGTTTGTAATGGTTGCAAATGATTCCATAATTTCAATGATATGCAACCAAAGTTTTCAACCAAATTTTAATGGTTGCAATGTAATGGTTGGAAACCATTTCAATTGGTTGCAGCAATGGTTATGCAATGATTTGTAATGGTTGCGCAATGGATTTTAACGGTTGAAATTCGGAAAAATGGTTGTTTTTTTCCTAAGGGCGAACTTGTCCTAACTCAACATGCATTGTAAGTACCTCTGTATTTTTGACAGTCAATTCAGCAACTTCTTTTTGAGATTCACGAAGGGCCTTTTCAGTATGGGGCCTGAAATAAAGATTTGAGGTGACAAGAGGGTTAACAACTAAACAGCCTCTGTTTTCAAATGATTTGAGTAAATTACATAATCAAATGTACATGTACATACAAATACATTTGTAAGCTAAATAAATCATCACTTTTGTCTGAAATCAATTAAGTTGGAACCTGTAACACTCATGAATAGGTCAATACAGAACATTTTCTGGTTCTATGAAGTAGAAACTGAACATAGGCTTAATCTGCCAAATTAAATGACCCTAAATGTAAAAAAACAGAAAATTAACCAAAGTGTAGCATTGAGATAACCCAGGTTACAGAGGAGGCAATTCATACAGAACAATAAACTTTATTTATATATATACATGGGCGTAGCCAGGGGGGGTGCGATGGGTGCGATTGCACCCCCCCCCCCCCAATAACCTTTGAAAATATGACCATTGGATAGAGGTAGAAAAGAGCTTTAAAATGCTTTTTATTTGAAGCTTCTAGCTCAATTTTGAAGGAAGTTGCATCAATTTTTGTAAAATTCAAAAGAAATCTTAATTTTTTGTGTTGCTTATGGCAAAATCGCACCCCCCCCCCTGACCAAAAACTGAAAAATTTTCGGCGATCGCACCCCCCCTGACTGAAAGCTGGCTACGCCCCTGATATATGTTTATGTACATGTAGATGTTATTACAATGATATAAAATAACTTACAAGATGTCTGTATGTCTGTTATCAGAAAAAGACACATTTTTCTGTGATGACCTAAATAAAGCATCAGTGGTGAAACTTGGCAAGGGGACTGTTTCGCGTAGTAGTTGCTCCTGAAGACGTTTTGATTCAACAGATTGAGATTCTAATTGATTTCTACAAAATAAAATATCATTTGAAACAATTATATCTATCTGAACACCACTGTTCAAGTTCTATAATACATCTCCATGGTAACAGATACAGATGTTGCCGTAAAAGTGAAAACTACCATGGTGTACCTGTTTATAAATTGTATGACATTCAGAACTACAAACAACAAGCTTTCTAGAAGCCTATGACGATCACTTTTTTTTTTACTTAAAAAACTAAAAGTGATTAAAAAATCACTTTTAAATGTGTCAAATTATTGCTTTGTTAATTGATTATTATCTCATAAATAAATTCTAAAGGTTACCATAGTAACAGATATCACCTAAAATATGCACATTAACGCATAAATTGCATGTTAATAAGCTTCATGTTCAAGTTTGTTCCAATGCAATGGTAGTAGTGATTATGACAAAAATCTGAATTTTATTTATGTAAAATGATGTCTGAATCAACAGAATATTGTGACTAACCTGAGGTCCGTAATTATTCTGTTGTCTGAAGTTATTTCACCCAACACAGACATTGAAGAGGATTTATATGGACTCCATGGGGCCTCCTAGGAAATACAAATAACAGTTACAATGAGACCTGTCTTACTACAAATTACAGTTATAATGCTATATTCTATCTACCTTGATACTTCTCTAATGTAAACATTTTTTGATGTGAACACTTTATATTTCATTCACTTCTGTTTTTCAATTTGCCATTGACTATCAGTCTTCCATGTAAGTAAATCTCCCATGTGAACACCTGCTAGTCTGAACACTTTTGGCCTAAGTCCCAGTGGCATTTGGATTAGACAGGTTTTACTGAGGTTACATCACAGACATCACTCCTGAAGATGCTTTGATACCCTATATATTCCATTTGAACACTTAACAAGGAGAGGAATTATTTCAAAAGATCAAACCAACTATCATATTCTTAAATTAATTACCAAAAATGATTAACACATGTTATCTTTAGTAGGGAGGAGGCAGACTGCCCTAAACAATATGCTATTTACAGTCAGCGGTAATCCACTCTAGCGTCGCTTTGAAAAACGACAGTTGTGCATCACAATTTTTTGCAAAAAAAGTTCTTATTTTCGTCAAATTCGCCAAATTAGAAACAAAATGATCAATTCCTTCCACTCCCTCATTTCTACATTATATCTCCTCATGCTCGCATATTTAATTAGCACAACAAAATAAATAAATGGCTCCTGACAGCGAATTGTCAACTCGTGTGTTTATTGCATAGTGTCAAGTGGGAGAATGATGTTTTCAGTTACTGAAGGTGTTGTTTTTTTCGAGGGGGGTGCGCAGGAGCTTGAATCTGAAGGAAAAACATCAGGGCGTAACATCCTAAAAGATGAGTTTGAATCTGAAGGAAAGACATCAGGGCGTAACATCCTAAAAGATGAATATAAAAATGGCTAACATCTGTGAAAACGACATACAAGTGTCACTGTTTTCCTCGTGCAAAAGTCTCACTGAGATGACCTTGAGATGAGGTGACACTTTTTTGTCATGTTAGCATGCTACGCATCTGGGCTCATCTGTGGATATCATTATTTGCGACACTTACAGTTCACATTCCAGGCGACACTTGAGTGGATTACCACTGACTGATTTACTCCTCAGACTTAAAAGCCAACAGAGGATGAGGTCATCAAATACTTTAAATATAATACAATAAATTAATACAATAAATTTTCTGGATATTTTAACCAAATGGAATCAACAAAGATTCCCAATTGTGATGTAATATGAAAAAGATCGCATAAGTATATGTAAACTGTTTTATTTTAATGCCTGACCCAGATCTGCAGGCAGCAAAATCAACACAAAAAGGCTGCGGAATGAAAATGAATCATAATGGAATGATCATCAATAAAACTGAAAGGTATAATATGCCATAATCAAATTACATGTAGGATGATTATTTATAAAATTGAAAGGTGAAGATGATTTAGGCAAAATGACCATCAAATTTGATCATGTAGACTTTTCTTTTTCCAATTAGTCTTTAATTTCAGTTGACAGGTCGGTATAGCAACGTAAGATTTTTGCTCGATAACACAAAATAAGCTAACTTCTATCTGGTCTGCTGAAGACACACAACTAAGCAGGTATAAATACTTATAGTATGCAAATATCACATAAGCAGATCACCATCTGTTCATGTCATGTAACATGGGAATGTACACAATCTGTATCATCCGTTAATTGTTAATTGTAGTTGAGATATAAATATGAATAAAAAATAAATAAGATTAATTAGTGTTGCTCTTCAACATATTATCTCTTCACTCTTATTTGAATATTAAAGAAAAAATCAGATCTAGCGAGCGGGACAACAAAAATTGTTTCACTTTGAGAATATTTCTGGCTCATGTCATTCCTTGTCATGCCTATTTTCTAAAAATCCCCAAAGCGCACACTATATTTCGGAAAAACTGTAGATTTTTACAATAGTGTATTATTTTTATATAAGAATGGTTACCATTCTTATTATTTGGGAAAATTCAGAAAATTCAGCAAAATCTGAATAATTGAAATATTCACACGTGGACGTCACAGAATGCAGGTCTGAAATCTATGATTTTATCAATCAAAAAATATTCTTTTGAATGTGTCTGATATGTGCTTAAATATAGTATGTATCCTTGTGCTGATTGTTAAATCCCAAAATAGGTACGGTAAACAATATGTCAAAGTCGTTTGATCTCGTCATAGAAGCAATATTTTGTCACTTATATCTCCCAGATTCCCTTTAATAACTTCACCAATTCAAAACATATTGTGAATCTTTTGGGAGATATTGTATTTGAGATTGTAAAGAACAGATTAATCGGCAAATTGTACATGTTGCTTGTAATTTTTTCACCCCTATATAATAGATCTGATTCTGCCTATAAATGACAAATTCTGTTGCTACAGGCTGTCTCCTAATCCTAATACAAAGTATGCTTTTTAATATTATATTGCTAGTATCCATTTCATCCTTTTTATGCATTAGTCACTTGTTATATAATACCCACTTGTAACTTGATTTCTGGCACTTTCCAATGTTAATTTCCAATCTGTCTGAATTTAAACATAATCGACCGCTCTCACATTTTTCTTGCATGTCAATGACGAAAGAGCAAGAATCTGACTCATTAATGTGAATTATTTATTAAGAATGTATATGTCTAACCAGAAATTCCATTATACCAAACAATACCACTCCATATGTTTACACCAATAATTAATGATAGTCTTAATTAATATATAGAGTCAGAATCTTTGTATGATATCTACATGTAACAGGGCATATACATGTAAGAAATATATCATGAAAATACTAGTTTTTACTTAATTAATCATCTACAGGTTTAATTAGATATTGACAATGTCTTTGTATGACTATATAGATAGGATACTTGTATAAGAATTTACTACTTTTCGGAGTCATAAGAAGGTTGTAAAATTGTTTTTTCCATGTTAAGTTTGCTAAATCAAATAATTTAGTCAGAATCAAATAATTAAATTGACCAAGTGCTAAAAAATTAGTTATTTCAATTGCTTACCTCATGCTCTCTGAGTGTATCATGTCCACTACTCTCTATTCCTACAAACAGATTGAATAAACTGTAAAATGGTTTATTTATTACTTCATCCTTTTTATGTTTTATAATGTTCACAGAGGACAAGTGTTCATGAGAGAAATATGTTAATTATAAAGAAAAGTGTTCAGGTGAGAAATGCATTCACTAAGGACAAGTTTATTCTTTATTATTGCCAACAAAATATTTTTAATACAAAATAGTTTACTATAGATAAAGTGAAAGGAAGGGCAGTGAATTATCTAACCTTTAATGTCTCTTTAAATAACTTTACTATAAAGTTATAGATTAATTTGCTATCATAACATTAATTATGATGCTTAATATTTAGATTCTCTAATACCTGCTGCAAGTAAAGTAAACCTGTGTGCCCTGGAATATCTCGGATTCTAGCTCTTAAAGAACCATACCTGGTGAGTTTCTGCCAACTGATGTTCTCTGCCGTTCAGACATCAGTCTACTTCCTTCCATTTCAAGTTTCTTGATTTCCTGTGCAAAATCCTGACTTGACTTTCCCAACCTGTTGCGAGCAAGTTGAGTAGAAGTCATTTTGGATGATGTTAAGTTGAATCTATTTATTGCTGATTAAGCCATCTTCTCTCAAAATCTATTGAGTGAGAACTGCAATAAAGAGGAGATTTTTGAATTTGAAAAGTGCACTAAGATTCTCGACATCTAAAAAGTCACTCGACTTTTTTGTGATTTTGAATCACAGAAAGCATTCTGAAGTTTCAAATTGGCTCCACGTTTAATTTTTGGCATCCGCCTAATGTATACCACTTACCTTTTCAGGCCCGTAAGACACTTTTCTCCAAGGGGGGTGCGGTTTTTACTAAAGAGAATATGAAATTGTCATTTTTTGCCGCGTAAATCAAATCGCGTAAGTCAGAGGGGGTGGTCGGTTACTCCCTATATTGGGGCCATTCAGCCTATTTTGTAGTATTTTATTGTTTTTAGACTAAATATTGAATGAGCAATTTGGAGAAACACTGGAATAGGGGGAAGGTGTGCTAGAAGGGCATTAATGTTTACCCGAAACTTTTTACCAGTTCAAGATCACATTCAGTGATTTCTGGACACTTTAAGGTGTTTTAATCAATAGAATTCAGATTTTCAATCATTTTCTTCTTAGGGGAGCGAGGGGACAGCACAGGAAAGTTCTACCAATTTAAGATGCTGTCTGGTTAATTCTGAACACTTTAATGCGTTTGAGTAAATGAATGCTTTAGTTTTTGGGGTGGGGTGCCAGCAAATTTTATGATTTCATGATGTCACTTGGTGACTGTTTAAGTGTCCAAACTGTCCAATTGTTTTGTATGGGGTGTGAGGAGTGGCCTTTACACTTTTTAGATGCTATTTGGTGCTTTCTGGGCATTTTCAAAGTGTATGAGTCAATAAAAAATGGGAATCCTTTTGGGGGTGGTGTCAAAGAGGATGAGAGGGTGAAGTGTGGGGTGCCAGAGGGGGAACAAGTGGTTGTCCCCCAGAAACATTGACCATATCAAGGTGCTATTTGATGATGTCTGCTGGGTACTTTAAAATGTCTGAAAAAATAAGTGAAATTCAGAATTTTATTGTTTAGTGGGGGATTTTAGGGATGGCCAACTCTCCAAGAAAATTTTAAAATGATATTTGGTGCATCTGAGCACTTTTAAAGTGTATGAATCAATAATTGAAAATAATTGTTTTTCTCAATTTTTGAGGGTTGTCAAAGGGATGCGAGAGGGGGATGTTGGGTGGAGATGCCAGAGGGCGAGTAAAAATCATTGACTATATATCAAGGAGCTATTTGATGATGTCTGGGAACTTTAAAAGTGTCTGAGACAATACACAAAATTCAGAATTATTTCAATTGTTTTGTGGGGGATGTGAAGGGTAGCCAACTCTCCTGGAAAATTTTAATATGCTATTTGGTGCTTTCTAGGCGCTTTCAAAGTATATGAGTCAACAAAAATATGAAAAAATCACAATTTTTTTCAATTCTCGAAATCGTTGTTCCCTCTTCAAAAGAGGAGATGCGAAAATCTTTCCTTATAAGGTCAAAATATTTCCCATGATGCAGGTCGCGGAGGAACAAATTTATACTTCCTTGTTTTCCCTCATAGGTTTAACATGGGGATTTTCACACCTATTTTTCAAACGATATATTTGTTCATATTCCCGTACGAGAGTACAGAAAAAATTATTAGAAATGATTGATCTCTTATTAATCTTAATATAACAGCTATTTTTTTCATTGTATTGATTCATAGCTTGGTGAAAACGACGATTGAAAAGTGAGAAAATATTCCGGAAGAGAAGGTCACGTGATCAGTTGACTAGTCGCCATATTGGAAAAAACAATTCCATTCGACTTTCAATACTTTCATGCCAATCTTACCGCACTACAAACTGCAGCGTCGATGCAACAACTGAATAAAAGTATTCATCTTCAAATTACATTATAGAGTTACGTTAAAAACCCACAAACAACTGAGCAGTAGACCAAAGAAGACGCGTCGCTATTTTCTAGGTCAATCTGTTCAGTGGTCAGAAAGCAAATCGATAGTACTCGTTACCGAATTTTGTTGTTCATTGTACAATCTTTAATTGATTAAACTCGGTATACTGACTATTAAAGCAATGACAAAGAAGAATAGTTCCGATGGTGTCATTGTTTTATTTAGCGTGCGGGTGTAAAAACAAAATTGCGTAATTAGTTTGATTTAGAACTTTCGGGTCACGCAAATAGCTACGCGAAATGCATAGTGGGAAAATATTGACCAATCAAGTTTTGTCCTTTTTGAGTGCTTTTTCAGAACATATTTGCGAACGTTCTGATTCAAAGAGCGAAAAGCGAAAGGGAGAATTGGGGGGTTTAAAGGGGGGGTGCCAGAGAGTGAGGTGGGGTGGGGATGCCAGAGGGCGAGTAAGTATTTAAGTCTCCAAGAATCATTGACTATATCAAGGAGCTACTAGTATTTGATGATGTCAGGGCACTTTAAAAGTGTCTTGAGACTATCTATAAAATAAATCCAGAACTTTTCCATTGTTTTATGAGGGGTGTCTGGGGTGGCCCCCCCACCCCAGAAAATTTTACAATTTTGAGAAGCTATTTGGTGCTTTCTGGGCATTTTCAAAGTGTATGAGTCAATGAAAAAAAAAAATTCAAAAAAAGATAAATTTTTTTTCAAATTTTTTTGGGGGGGTGACAAAGGGGGGTGCAGTTGCACCCATCGCACCCCCCCCCCCCATCTGACGGCCCTGCTTTTATTGATGCTTTCATAAGTTTCGTCATAACTCAGTTTGACCAGAAGTATTTTTTTTAAAAATGTCCCTTTTCTAATCACCCGGATGTGCGGTTTACTTGGACTTACCCAAATCGAGGGGTGCCAAACGCAAAATGGTAGAGATGAAGACATGTCGCCACTCTCAGAGAATCTATTCCATAATTTCAACATTACTACGCGGTTTTACAAGCGAAAAAGATAAGGGCAGATTATATATAGGACTGGACAAGATGAAAATAAATATTTTAAATAGATGACATCCCTTTTGAAATAAAATGAACTGAACCTATCACGTCACCGATTTCTTGGGAGAAATTACGTCAGAAAAACAAAAGCTCTGTAGAGAATTTTCGCTTGAAATGTTGAAAAGCAAGCCCAGTTTTCTATTGGAATATACCGTAATTAATAATTTTAAAATGAGTTGTAAACCATAGATCTATTTTTAAATGTTAGGTTTTAAATTATATTCTATTCAAATTCTATCACTCATTCTATAAACCCATCTGCTTTATATGGGCTTATTAGCCTTTTGCAGATTATTGACATAGACATAGACAATAGTTCCGTGTCCAATATTACCCAGTTCAATGGTGCATATTAGATAGGCAGTGGATCATTTTGTAAGTACGAAAATGTGAATTCATGCGACTGTGCCTAAATTACATTCCAAAAAATTCTTGACACCTAATAAGTCGTAGGATCGCAGGCTCGTAGGTTGAAGGGTTTTTGGTACATTCCTCTATAACATAGGCCTAGTATTACACCCGGGGGCCTACAGTGCAAACTGAGTGGGGATTTTGAAGTGAACTGTGATTGTGAAGCAGACATGACTTCAACACCAAAAAGTCGAGTGACATTCTACATTTCCTCCAAGCTTATAGATCTAGACTAGTATAACAAATTGTGTTAATTACCTGCGGTCAACATCATATAGACAATTTATCTCATCTTATCCAACTTGTAGTTTCAAAACTTCGATTTGTTTTCATTTATTTCAACGACTTACACACAGCCTCGTTATGGATGTTACTAGAATACACCGAGAAAGAGGTAATAACCCAGAATTCAAATGTATATAATATGAATGGTCTCTGTCTATATTCAATTTGTATAGACATACGTCACGCCAGATTATTAATACTGATTACCAATACAATGTCGATTAAGATATTACATCGATGGGTAGTATCTCAAAGAAATGATAAGACTAACTTTGAATTCTGGTACCCTTTACAGGTGTCCCTTTTTGGTCACATAACTGTCACATGAACTCAATTAGCCTAGCGAGAACATACGAGATCTCGTGCTGCAGATCATTTTTGTATTTGCAGCTTTCATAATGAATACGTTCTTATCTCGGGCAAACACTATATTTGCATTCACACTAAGTGTGCTCGCATCGCTAACATTTGGATGTTTCCTATCTACGTATTTTAACACCAATCTGACCGACGTTAGGATAAATACAGGCAAAATTATAGTGTAAGTATACCTATTATCGCCCACAAAATATATTGAGTTTACTGACGTGTCCATATGTTTTCTAAAGTAAAGTAACAAACAAACAAATAATATTGTGTAATTGTTTTTAAATGCTGCACATGTGAAATTTTGTCGTTAAGAATCTGTTAGATTATTGTTGTTGTCTTGACATGTAAATGGAATCCCTATCTATGATTTGAAATGACACTCTACACTCTCGATCTAATCTACATATTGATTATTTCACAAAATTTTTGTTGATTCTAAAAACAGATTCAAGCGGGATATTGACCATCAAAGTTTTAAGTGGCATTTTGATGTGTACGTGTCATTTTGTAATGTCACCCTTGATATCAAGTTGCTACTATAGTCCAGCTGTAATGGCTTAACCCTTTAAAACTTGGTTGGTAGAGCATCAGTCCTAGGTTCGACCTTGAATATAGCATACTTTCAATTTCTTTATCTGGCTTGTTACACTATGCTCGTTAGTTAGTCATTCTCCTGGGGGGGGACCCTCGAGTCATTACATTGATATCAGATGTGGGATCAAAGCATTGGTTGTATCCTTTGCGCCTGTGTGTGTATGGTAAGTCACTGCTTGGGAAAGCAGGGCTGATCAGGAGGGCATGGACCTTTTAAAGGGGGTATAGTGTAACGACCCTTGATAGAGTCCATTTCACTGTTTAACTGCGTCAGTAAAAGCTAAAAAATAAGAAATCAAAATATCATTTTGCAATAATATATGGAAAACTATATTCCTATTGTACATGAATGACATTTGTATATCTTGGATTGCTTCTAATTTGGCTTATAAAGTGTTTGGCCTCTTATATTTGGATGCTTCTCTGCCATGTTGTTATTTTCAATAAGATTAACATGGCTAAAATTCTTCAAATTACAAGACGGCACAGGCTTATTGCACAAAAAAATAAAAAATCTGAAATATACAAATGTCATTCATGTACATTATGAATATTCTTTTCATTATATTATTGCACAATGGTCTCCCAATTTCTTATTTTTGCCGTTCTACTGATGCAATGAAGCAGTGAAATGGACTTTAGCAAGTTGCTTGGATCCAAGGTCCTAGGTTCGATTCCCACAATCGGCATTGAATTTAGCACACTTTCTTTCAGTTTCTTCATCTGGCTTGTTACACTATGCTCGTCAGTTAGCCATTCCCCTGGGGCTCCCTCGGGTCATTATAATTTATAATTCCCATTGCTTCAAAGCAACCAGTTGAACCTAAATTATTAGAAATCAAAAGACTAATGATATATAAACAAGGCACAGGACGTTAACATGATCACACCAAATAGGCAGACACTATGAAAAGTACTCTAGTACTTGATATCCTCTATCATTTGTGTAAATTTGAAGGAAATCCGATGAGCGGTTTTCCTGAAATGTCGATGACAAGATTTTTCGAAAAACCTTCAAAATGGCCACCAGCTTATGTTTACAAATTTCAAGAACAAGAAAACAAGATGGCCGCCCAAGATTTTTCGAAAAACCTTCAAAATGGCCACCAGAAAACAAGATGGCCGCCCAAAAGTTAATCAGCTCTAGTACTTGATATCCTCTATCATGTGTGTAAATTTGAAATGGCGATGACAAGATATTTCGAAAAATCTTCAAAATGGCTGCCAGAAAACGAGATGGCCGCCCAAAAGTTAATCAGCTCTAGTATGCTCTTCATATGCTCTATCATCTCTGCGAATTTGGAGAAAATCTGATGAGCAGTTTTCCTTAAACGGCGATGACAAAAAGCGGGACGATCACGACCACGATCACGACAATGACCATGACCGGTATGACGACTATATCCCACCGATGGTGTGATAAAAATGTATTCTTACTGCACACGGATGACATCTGTATATATATCAGATTATTAAGTGTTTAGTACAATAAGCCTGTGCCGTCTAGTAAAATGACCATGTTATTTTTCAGAATCAAGCCATGACCTTTCTCGAGAAAGCAATCGTGGGTTATTCCAAGGTACCTTGTGATATTTTGAGCTGAGAGAATGTTCTATAATGAACAAATGAGGCAAATATTATAACAATAAATGTGTCTTTATGAAATTTGCTCCTTCGATTGTTTGTAATTTCCTCAAAAGTTCACTGGCCATATATTTTTTCTAAATTTTGAATGTCAGATGACAAAATGAGATCATAAATATAAAGTGTTAAATTGATCTGCTCAACATAAGATGTAACATTGGTTTAGAGGGAATGACCTCACCTAGATAGAACGTGGCTCGTTTGTAAGAAAAATTTCTTACTTTTTAGGTTCAACTGGTTACTTTTAAACAGACTGTAGTTAATTGCTCTAATTTTTCTAGTGGATCCCTGATTGTAAGGTAAAGCTTTGATAAAATTAAGGTGCAAATTAAAAACAAAATATATGTCTTCATTTGTGTTCCTTTTGTGTTCCTTTCAAACTACATGAACATGTAGTTTGTTTTATTAATCATGCTTATGAAATACATGCGCCTCAATTCCAAGGTAGAGGTCTTGTGTATAATGACACTACTATCTATCCCTGACTAATTCGCTAGAATGGAAAAATAAGAGTTAGCTGATAGGTGGGACTTTCACTTACCTTCTAGAAGTAAGAATGCACTATTAGATGTGACCCTCCCTATCAACTTGGTTGTGTCAACCATTAAGCATTTAGCACAATATCCAAGAGATAAAAAATTAACTGTGAAGAATCACTTGCTTTTTAATAGTGGTGTAACGAGTGACTCGGGTAATCGACTAGCTGACTAGAAATCGACTGAGCCTAGCAAATTGATCAATCAATTGAAAATTTGAAAATCGTGATCCTGAAAATTTCTGAGATAAATCGTGATTTACCCTCCATACTCACGATTTAATCAAGGATTGTAGCTGCCTTTGAATTGCATACTTCTGACTATATTCTGCAGATTGTTTTGTTGATTTAATGGTCAGTTGATGAGAATTAAGTATGAGAATCTCATTCATTGCTTTTTATGTTTGTTTATATCCGGTGTATCGCATGCGCATGCGCATATGTATTTTGACAGAAGTGGGAATTTCAAAGTAGAAAAAATCCAAATGCCTTGATTTTCCAGGTTCTAATTTTCACAAGTTTTTAAAAAAATAATCGCCAAATCGTCTACTCGATCGTCAAATTTATCATTCTACTCGAGTAGAGATTTTGGTGGCGAGTCCCACCACTACTTTTTAATGAGTTCTGGAAGTTATGATGTGTAATATTACCAAACAAGTGTGTAATTCAAATTTTTGGGTTTGCTTCATTTTGAGCACACATATGCACACTTAAACTATATTTTCACATTTAGATGGCCATGTGATCTTTAAATGAAGCCTTTTTTATTTGCGCACGCACGCACATGCGCAAAAATCTAACTAGAAGAAATGAACTTTGTGCATATTACCCTTAATGAAAATTGCTTCATATTTATTTCTATCAGATACTGTACTTATGCTTCATGATCAACAACATGAAGAGCTCAAATTCCAGGAACAGATTTTTACATCCTGGTTTTTCCCCATTGAAATATACAGGGTCCGATTTTGAACAATTCATTTCAGCTTTATTTGACATTCCTTTTCATGTATATTTGCACAAACGATAGAAATATAGGTTCTTATCTGCAAAGCGTTTTCACAAATGCTTTCTGAAACTGATGATAATCATGAAATGTTCTACCATGACATCACTGACTTAGTTCCCAGAACCTGAGACTCTCGATGACTCGATATGAAACAAGAAGCAAGTTCTCGTGTATATAACGTGGTCTTGATTTGATGTTTATATATGTTTGACTTATATCAATTGTGAGGGTTGTAACTTGATATTAGTATGATCTTTATCGTCTCGACAATACTCAAAGACATGGTTTTAAGGTTGGCAAAATTTGGTTTAATCAACGGTCCAATGAAAATTTGTCCTACTTGAAGTGATGCATTGCGAGAGATATTTATGTTTTTGTCTATCGCGTATTAGTCTATTATCCCTCTTTAAGGATTTATGAACTTTTTGAGGACATTATCATAAATTCTTTATGATCAGAATTATTACTGAAATTTAGATATATTTATGGCCTAGTCACATAGCCCGGCCGATGAGGTTCCGATGAGCCAGCGATGCAATTTTCACCGAACTCGGCCGAACACCGGCCGGACATCCGTGGCGTTTGTTGCTTAAAACCGCATCGGTGGCAGCTCGGTGAAATTTTAACTTCGGAGTTAAATTTCACCGGGCTCTCACCGAGCTCCCTCATCGCAGCCCCATCGTAACCACATCAGAACACACGTCGGCCGGTGCACGGCCGAGTATCGGTCGGTGTCCCATGCATCTGAGACAACCAGAGGACGAGGTTTTTTTAACGGACACCGGCCGAGCTCCGACCGAGCTCCGGCCGATGTGGGACAGAGCCTTGGAAAGTATAGTACCTGAAGATGTCCTTACGGAGTCCGTTCACGTCACCGAGCTCTGCTTCCGATGAGGAGAGCTCGGTGGCACCAAAAAAATCCACCGAGCTCTACCGATGCCGGACATCGGCCGGGCTATGTGACTAGGCCATTAAGCTCATCAAAATTTACAAGCAGTAATCTTAATCTATGATAATGACAAGATTACATTTTTGACATTCATTGAATTCCTAGAATTTGAAATACATATTGGAATGTTTTCCTCAAGTTTAGTTGTAACTTTGTTTATTTCAGAAAAAATGTTCCAGACTACAGTGCATCTAGAGAGAAGCAGGACCTTGGCTTTATAACATTTGACATCGATAGTGGTATCCTTGACTTAAGTTTTATAATGTAACACCTGAGTGTCCAAAAATCTTTCAATGTGAACACCTTTTCTTGGCCTCAAATTTGTTCCCCATTGCTTTGCACATCAAGAAACTTAGACATCTGCTAATCTGAGCACTTTTAACTAGTTCAGTCTAGTTCAGTTGTGCTCAGATGAAACAGTTTTTAATGTAGGCCATCAGCCTGGGGGGTTGGTCGGTATCAAATTAGGGGAATAATCGCCATAGTGATTTTTGGGAAGTTTAAGTCCTCGAGAGTAAGAAAATATATGATAGCATTGTAACAGTTGTAGCTAAATGGGTGTAATCGCCCATTTTTCAAAATGGCCGCCAGTGTACGTGTCACAATACAAGAGTGGGTATATCTAAGCACACTGAGATGCAAAAACTGTGATTTTAGGACCTATGTCTAGGTTTTAGGGGTCAAGGATTTCATTTATATCTAAATCTAAGTCATCAAACAATTGTTTCTCATAGAAATCCAAGATGGCCATGCAAATGGGTGCAAAAACGGATATGTAACTACTGTTAATGCTCAAGAATCACTTAAGAACAGTGATTTTGGAGCCCATGTCTACGTTTTAGGGGTCAAGGATTTGATTTATGTCTAAATCTGAGTCATCAAAAAATTACTTTACATAGAAATCCAAAATGGCCACCAAAATGGGTGCCAAAATGAATATGTAACTGATTGATTTAAGCTCAGAGAACAGTTGAGAACAGTTATTTTGGCGACAATGTCTTGGTTTAAAGGATCAAGGATTTCATTTATGTCTAAATCTCAGTCATCAAACAATTACTTTATATAGAAATCCAAGATGGCTATCAAAATGGGTGCCAAAATGAATATTTAACTATTGATTTAAGCTCAAAGAACAGTTAAGAACAGTGATTTTGGAGACAATGTCTAGGTTTTAGGGGTCAAGGGTTTCATTTATGTCTAAGTCTGAGTCATCAAATAATTGCTTTTCATAGAAATCCAAGATGGTCACCAAAAACTGTGCCAATAACAAGTAAATTTTGATTTTAGCTCAAAGAACAGTTAATAACAGTAATTTGAGACCATGTCAAGATATTTGGTGTCAAGAATTTCAGTTATGTCTAAAACTATAACTAATTCCTTCATCCAAGATCCAAGATGGCCTTTCATCATTGCTGCCGAAGTGAAAATAAGATTTATTATCCAAACATATAGAGGAGTTAGAACATTAATTTTTGATATTTTAAGTTTGTGGGGTCAATGATTTTAATTTTGTCTTTAATAAAATCAACAAATATTTAATTATATGGATATCCAAGATGGCCTCCAAAATGAATTCATATCCATTTAACCACATATATCACAATCTGATTAATATCAGAATTCAAGATGGATGCCAAAGTGTTAATATTATAAAAGGTCAAATAAGAACAAACAATTACATGAAGATTTGCGAAATAAAATCTTATGATCATCGCATTAGCAATATTACTGTAATTTGCCTTCCTTTCCCTTAGTTTTGTGGTGGCTCAGTATCATAAACATTGACTATAGAAAGAAGTAGACTGCACATGGGAAGAAGTAGATTATTGGATGGAGAAGATCAAGCACAAGAAATTCCTCAAAGACAAGTGTATGATAAACCAGAAAGAGTTTGATGAAGATAAACTTTTTAGTCAGTCCTCAAAATCGTGACTCTGGAGCCATTTTGGTGGTCGGTCATCTTGGATATCAAAATAAAGGAATTGTTTTATGACTTAATTATAGACAAAATAGTTATTCTTGGCCTCTTAAACCTGGACATGGTCTCCAAAATCACTGTCCTTAACTGTTCTTTGAGCTTAGATCAATAGCTACATATTCATTTCAGCACCCATTTTGGTGGCCATCTTGGATTTCTATAAAAAGTAATTATTATTTGATTACTTAGATTTAGACATAAATAAAATCCTTGGCCCCTACAAAATAGACAGACTCTCCAAAATTACTGTTCTTAACTGTTCTTTTAGCTTCAATCAATAGTTACATATTCATTTTGGCATCCATTTTGGTGGCCATCTTGGATTTCTATAAAAGTAATTGTTTGATGACTTAGATTTAGACATAAATGGAATCTTTGACCCTTAAAACCAAGACATGATCTCCAAAATCACTGTTCTTTGAGCTTAAATCAATAGTTACATATTCATTTTGGCACCCATTTTGGCGGCCATCTTGTATTTCTATGAAAAGGTAATTATTTGATGACTCCAATTTAGACATAAATGAAATCCTTGACTCTAGAACTGTGGCATGATCTCCAAAATCACTGTTCTTAACTCTCCTTGGAGCTTAAATCAATGGTTATATACTGGCAATCGTTTTGGCATCCATTTTGGTGGCCATCTTGTATTTCTATGAAAAGTTTATTATTTGATGACTCTGATTTAGACATAAATGAAATCCTTGACTCTAGAACTGTGACATTATCTCCAAAATCACTGTTCTTAACTCTCCTTCGAGCTTAAATCAATGGTTATATACTGGCAATCGTTTTGGCATCCATTTTGGTGGCCATCTTGTATTTCTATGAAAAGTTTATTATTTGATGACTCTGATTTAGACATAAATGAGATCCTTGACTTGAGAACTGTGACATGATCTCCAAAATCACTGTTCTTAACTGTTCTTTGAGCTTAAATCAATGGTTACATACCGGTATTCGTTTTGGCACCCATTTTGGTGGCCATCTTGGATTTCTATAAGAAGTAATTGCTTGATGACTTAGATTTTGGCATAAATGAAATCCTTGACCCCTAAAACCTCAATATAGGCCCTAAAATCACAGTTTCTGCATCTCAGTATGCTTAGATATACCCACTCTTATATTGTAATATGTGCACCGGCGGCCATTTTGAAAAATGGGTGATAACACCCATTTAGCTACAACTGTGGCAATGCTATCACATAGTTTCTTACTCTAGAGGTCTTAACCTTCCCAAAAATCACTATGGCGATTATTCCCCTGATTTGATACCGATAACCTAAATTTTGGGGTGAAGCTGGTGGCCTACATGTACTACTGTTTGGTCTATGATAAGATATGCTGAATTCTTTACATCCCCCACACCTGAACATCTTAATCCCAATTTTTTTTTTTTGATATGTTGAATTTTTTTTCATAGTTTTGTTTGAACATCTCATACACCTGAACATCTTAAATCCAATATTTTGTATTGGTTTTTTATAATTTTTGCATATTTAGTACATTGTTAGAACCTCTAAATGTGAACAGCTTTCTAAAGGAAACAGTTTTATTTTATCCTAACAGTTGTCACTTGAAGACAAGTATTACTTGATATTCATATATCAAAATTATTTAAAAAGTTTATAAACTGCTATTTTTCTTAACAACATCACAGATTTAACCAACATATTTAACTGGAATGTAAAAATGCTATTTTTATATCTTACAGCTGAGTATGAAACTAAAACAAATGTAAGTACAGTAGTGTATAAGTATATGTGTATTATGGCTTTGTAAATTACAAATAAATTAGACCCAATCTTGGCATGTTTAGGGTCCTATCCATGCATAGTTTTTGGGAGATTTTTTCAGACTTTTATTCTCTTGAACCCCATCTCTAGAGAAAACAGGAAAGAATGATGTTGTCCACAATTTTCAAAATTTTGTTTCTCAAAGCACCTCATTGGTGAGATCAAAGAATAATACCATGTGTTGGCCTTGCATTAATCAAAGAATAATACCATGTGTTGGCCTATCATTAATCAAAGAATAATACCATGTGTTGACCTTGCATTAATCAAAGAATAATACCATGTGTTGGCCTTGCATTAATCAAAGAATAATACCATGTGTTGGCCTTGCATTAATCAAAGAATAATACCATATGTTGGCCTTGCATTAATCAAAGAATAATACCATGTGTTGGCCTTGCATTAATCAAAGAATAATACCATGTGTTGGCCTATCATTAATCAAAGAATAATACCATGTGTTGGCCTTGCATTAATCAAAGAATAATACCATGTGTTGGCCTTGCATTAATCAAAGAATAATACCATGTGTTGGCCTATCATTAATCAAAGAATAATACCATGTGTTGGCCTTGCATTAATCAAAGAATAATACCATGTGTTGGCCTATCATTAATCAAAGAATAATACCATGTGTTGGCCTTGCATTAATCAAAGAATAATACCATGTGTTGGCCTTGCATTAATCAAAGAATAATACCATATGTTGGCCTTGCATTAATCAAAGAATAATACCATGTGTTGGCCTTGCATTAATCAAAGAATAATACCATGTGTTGGCCTATCATTAATCAAAGAATAATACCATGTGTTGGCCTTGCATTAATCAAAGAATAATACCATGTGTTGGCCTTGCATTAATCAAAGAATAATACCATGTGTTGGCCTTGCATTAATCAAAGAATAATACCATGTGTTGGCCTTGCATTAATCAAAGCGGTATCTGGGAGCAGGCCATAGCCAGGTTTTGCCAAGGAGGGGTTAATTTTTTGACAAATTCCAGGGGGGTTCACTTTTGACAACATTGGATGGAATACTATAAGTTATTCAATGCCCGAGAAGGTATGTATTTCACGAGGCGCTTGCGCCTCTTTGAGAGAAGAATATTTTCTGTATTTCACGAGAAATCATTGAATAACGTTTTTATTCCATGATCACTCAGATGAAACTCTCCCAAAATCAAGTCCAATTCAGACAGATCAACCTTACTCAACCCATAGATTTTTTGATTGATGTATTTTTTCTTCTAATTTGCTTTTCTTGTATTATATGGTGTTATGAGAATTTAACTTCACTCGTGTCGTGTCTGACTATCAACTGCGTTTATTCCATAGATTGTGACGTAACACATTTGTACAATTATGACATAACACAAAGCATCTAATTAACATAATTAAGACATTATGACATCTCCCCTTTTAGGATGATAATACACTAATGAATTGCATGTAATATGTCCATCGCATGTCTTAGCAAATAAATGAATTTTGCATTGTCCTTCATGCATGTAGAAAGCTTGTAGTTTGTATATAAAACTTATCAACGTCAGCTTTAAAACATAAACATTATATAGTGATAATAATGTCAGTCTTAATTGAACACTTTATCATTTGCGATTCACTAACAATGCATCACAATGTCCGTTACGTAAATCTGGATGGCTTTTTTGCAATTATACCAGATTTAGAACGTGTTTGTATGACTCTTGGACTTGGCAACAATTCCATTCTTGGTTGAGGTAATTCCTCTTTAACATTCACAGACTGCTTACCATGATCCTCAATGTCGGGCGAAATACCAGAACTACTAGGGTTGATAATTGTGGGGGCGGGGAATTCCATTGGAAATGGAATTGGACTGAGATCCCTTAATTTAGAGTTAGGGTCTGGCATTAGATGGCGTCTATTTCGTCTAACAGTACCCCGGTCAGTCTGTACAATGTACGATCTTGGTGAGTCGTGTTTGGCTTTGATTATACCTGGGGTTTTCCACCCTTTTTGATTGTCAAGTTTAACGAGTACTTTGTCACCTTTAGGTAATTCTGTCAAAGGTTTCACACCATGGCGATTGTCATAGTTAGTCTTGTACTTTGCCTTAGCACTGCTATCGTGCTTAGCAATTTGTCTTAGGTTGGGCCAATGTGGACTTAAGTTGTTGGGTAAGGTTGGTACAGTCGATTTTATTTGTCTTCCCATCAACAATTGTGCTGGGGAAACACCTGTGGACATATGTGGCGTAGAGCGATAAGTGAGAAGCGCGAGAAATGGGTCATCCTGCGATAGGAACCGTTTGATTATTTGCACTCCTCTCTCTACTTGTCCGTTTGACTGACTTAAATGTGGCGAGCTAGTTATGTGACGGAAATTGTATTTCTTAGCAAAATCTGCAAACTCTTGACTTGCGAATTGAGGACCGTTATCCGACACAACATCAGCAATACCATATCTGGCAAATATGCCTTTCATTTTGTCTATCACATTCTTTGATGTAATGTTTTTATTCATGAGCGCGATCTCTGGGAAACGAGAGAAGTAATCCACGATCACCAACCAGTGTTGATTCTGGAACTCGCAAAGATCCGCTGCGATTAATGACCATGGCCTATCAGGTAGAATAGTAGGTATTAGTGGTTCATGCTTTTGAGTTGGCCTTGAAACAACACAATGAGCACATTTACTTACCATATCTTTTATCTGCGAACTCATTCCAGGCCACCATACAGATTGATTCGCGCGCAATCTGCATTTTGTAATGCCCAAATGACCATGATGGATGCGTTCAAGCATATCCCTCTGCAAACTCCGAGGTACGACAACACGCGAGCCATGTGTTATAACTCCGTTATATAAACTCAACATACCTTGGTCTGCAAAATATGGCTTGATAGCTGGCGGTACACTCTTAATAGATTGTGGCCATCCAAGAGAAATGTATTTGTTTACCTGTAAAAGATCAGCATCCAAAGTTGTAGCTTCGCGGATTTTCTCCAATAACTGATCAGCGATAGGTCTATTTCTGTCAAGTGAGTACAGATAAGATTCTATATCTACTTCAAAATCATCCTGTTTTTCATTACACGGTTTCATCGGGTCGCGCGATAATGTGTCCGCTATTACCATATCCTTTCCCGGGACATATTTAGCACGCACGTTGAAGCGCATCAATCGCATAAGAAGTCTCTGGCACCTAATCGGCGCTTTATCAATGTCTTTGGAATTTATCAACGGCACAAGGGGTTTGTGGTCCGTAAAAATTTCAAATTCGGGTAAACCGACTAAATATCTGGAAAAATGTTCACACCCCCATACCGAAGCAAGGCATTCCTTCTCAATTTGGGCATACTTCTTTTCCGATTCAGATAAACTTCTTGATCCGAATGCAACCGGTCTCCAAATGTCATCTTTACTTTTCTGAAGAAGACACGCCCCGATTCCGTAGCTAGAACTATCTGCGCTAACAATAGTAGGACGAGAAACTTCGTAAAACGCTAGTACCGGCGCGTTGCATATCATTCGTTTGATTTCGTTGAAAGCATTATCTTGGGCTTTTTCCCATTGAAAAACAACATCCTTTCTAAGCAATGCATACAACGGAGCTGCAACTTCAGCTAAGTTTTTCACGAAACGACATAGAAAATTGACCATACCTAAAAATCTACGTAGTTCTGTGACGTCAGTAGGTGTATTTAGCTGTTGAATTGCCTTTATGTGTTCTTGTGAAGGAGCGACACCGTCCTTTGAAATTCGATTGCCAACAAATGTGACTTCCGGCAATGAAAACTTACACTTTCGGCGATTGAGCTTTATCCCTACCTTTCTTACGAGTTCCATCACGTTCTTGAGATTTTTATCATGTTCTGCTTGAGTTTTTCCATGTACGATTATATCGTCGATTACGACCTCGGCACCATCAACCTTCGAAAATATGTCACTCATATGTCTCTGATAAAGTTCACTTGCGAAGTTAAGACCAAATGGTACGCGATTGAACTTATACCTTCCAAAAGGCGTAATGAACGTAGTCAATAGAGATGATTCGTGATCTAATGTGAGACCCCAAAAAGAACTCGACGCGTCCAAAATACTAAAAACGGTGGAGCCGGCCAACTTGTGCAAAACGTCTTCTGGCGTAGGGAGGATAAACTTCTCACGTTTCACACTGAGATTTAGACGACGTAAATCCACACAAATTCTTGGATCAGCATCATTTTTCTTTTCTACCGCGATAATGGGAGCACACCAATCAGTGGCACTAGTAACGCGTGAAATAACACTTTGAGATTCAAGCTTTTCTAACTTATGTTTCACTCTAGCCATTAATGGTAAAGGTAAACGTCTGGAGCAAGGTACACTATAAGGCACAGCGTCTGATTTTAGGTCAATGTGAACTGGCTTACAGTCAATCTTACCAACGTCACCGTAACAGTCATTAAAGGTATCATGAACAGACCCTAAATCTTTGAAAAGACCCATGGCTACAGCACAGCCCCTGGACAAAAGATTTACCCCAGAAAAAGTATCTGCGACGTGCATGTTTACCCTGTATTTGCGTGACGCATGGGGAATTTGAGCGGTAAACACCCCTTTACATTTGACAGGACCCCCTGGACTACTGAGCTTAACTCTACTCGGACGTAATGGAGGAGGATTGGGCAAACTAGAGTATGTATCACTGGTGATCATGGTAACATCAGCCCCTGAATCAATTTTGAAACGAATGGGATTGTTACCTGCTATCCTAAGTTCTTTAAACCACGGTGGTACTTGATCATTCACATCTGTGACGTCTGTCATATTGTCAATATCAACATAATCAGCAAGCGGTGATGTATTAATATTGTCACTCTGGCTACCTGGAACGGGTGAAGCTTGTGAGCGTACATCGACATCTGTCCCGAAGATCCGGTCTGGTAACCCTGGAATGCCTGGGTCATTGGGAATTACCATTTCCGATAGGAATACATAATCCTCATCTTGATCTTCTACGTATTCTGTAGATTCAATTTTCTTGTTTGAGCTTTTACTCGGAAGTTTATTAACAGTCCCACCTTTTGTCTTGCGACATGCTCTTTTAAAATGCCCGATGCCCTTACAGGCGGAACATTGTTTTCCATGGGCATTACACTGCCCCTCTGCATGCTTACGAAGACAGTTACCACATTCACGGTCGGGTTTCTGTTTGCGGTGATTTGAACTATTTCCACGGGCTTTAATCGCATCAACAGGTTGAGGCGGGCCAGTCTCGTGCACAGCCTCTCGGATTCTTGCCATTTCAATACATCGATGCAACGTGAGTTTAGAATAGTCCATCAGTTTTATCTTGTTTTGAAGTTCCACGTTAGATAGTCCATTAACGAACTGATGAAGTATTTCCGTCTCTTTATTTTCGAAAGCGCAAACCTCTGATTGTTCGTAAAGTTCTCTCAGGAACGTGTCAACAGACGAAGAGTTTTGTGCGATCTCATGAAAACGCCGCTGCTCGTCTATCACATTAACTTTAGGAACGAAATACTCGTCGAATTTCCTCAAAATGGTTTCATATTTAGATCTATCCTCTCCTTCTGCGAATATAAAGCTGTTATAGATCGCTTCTGATCTGGGACCCATAATATAAAGTAAACTGTTTATCTGGCTTTCCTCCGATTCAGAATCAAGTTTTGCCGCTGTCCTGAATCTTGTGAAGCGTTGCTTCCAGAACCTCCATAGTTTCGGGTTATTTGTATCCAAATTTTCCGGTGGTGTCAGTCTAAATGATGCCATTACTGTCCTATAGGATTATCGGGCACTATATATGAGTAATATCCGGCATAAACACCAATTTAATCCAATTTTAACCACATCTAGTCACCATGTTATGAGAATTTAACTTCACTCGTGTCGTGTCTGACTATCAACTGCGTTTATTCCATAGATTGTGACGTAACACATTTGTACAATTATGACATAACACAAAGCATCTAATTAACATAATTAAGACATTATGACATATGGTACGATTAATCTTATGTCCTTTCTCTTCAATTTCATCAGCTGAAAGTGCAGTGTAGCGAAATGTTTTTTCTAAAAATATATAGAGATATTCCATGTCTCCCTGCTTAGGAAACATGTGAAGAGTAGGAATTTAGTAAAAAGTATTTTCATCTGATATGACAGACGGTGAGGTTGTATCAGGAAATTGTCACAAGAAAAGGTTAAAACTGTATAACAAACACTGGATAAAGATTTAACAAATGTATTCAAAATGCCAACTAATCAAAGCAGGAAGACTATGGACTTAAAGGAATATTCCTTGCCAGACCCTTTCTCTCTTGATATGGTAGCTATATAGTTTCCATATTTAGCAAAACATGGGAAAATGTTTTAATATGGTCAATATTGATCATTTAAAAATCTAGTGCTTATTTTCAGTGAGCTGCCATCTTTTAAGATTTCTTGCAGGAAGTGATATCTTTAACTCTCAACTTCTATAACCTTGCCCATAACAGTATAGGAATGTAGCACAAAATCACTTCCAGACAAGTGATCATTGCATTCTGTGCAAAAATATTTTCAGAGCTTGTCAACTTAGAATAAAAGGAGAGATTTTCAGAAGGATTAAATAAGATACAAAGTTGAAAAAGAATATTTAGCTGGTTTTGTAATTCTTAATAGCTCCTCACCTAATGCTATATGCAAAGTTGAGAGTCGATGACATCACTTCCTGTGTGAAATTTTAAAAGATGGCAGCTTACTGGAATTGAGCATCACATTTCTAAGTGATCAAATTTGACCATCTCAAAACATTTTTGCGTGTTTTGCTAAACATGGCAAGCATATATATGGTTATAGCTACCATATGAGGAGAGAGATGGTTTGGCAAGGAATATTCCTTTAAACATGGAAGATCCGAATCTAATTTTTATTCATGGTGTGATGGATATCGTGAATTATAACAGAATATTGGTAAACATTTCGAAATTTCGTAAACATTTTGAAACAAAATATCATATCGTAACAATATTAAAGCAGATATGAAATGGTACTTCTTACTTTAATGTTGTGTACAACTTAAATGGGGAATTAATAAAACAAATATTTGATTCTGTGATCATTTAATATCTGTATATATTTCTGAGGGATGTGTTTTTATAATATCACTTAATAATACACAATATTAACTGAAATCAGATACTTTGTTGTACAGTACAAACTTATATGTTATATTGTTTCAGGTGTTAAACCAAGTTGTATTATGGGACAAGATCATAAATCGTGGTGACAATGCCAACCTGGACTACAGGAGCATGAATGCAAAGTATTACTTCTGGGATGATGGACATGGTCTCAAGTGAGTGGGAAATCAAACCATAACAAAACAAATATTTCATAAACTCTGTCTTAGCCAAGAAGTAGTTCAATATTGTTAAGCCACTATTTTTGTGACCATCATTTGGCTGTAAGTAGCTTGTAATTTGGTGTCATTATTTACCTTTTGGATAACTTTGTCAACAATGATAAATCTACACTCTGATTTGATTAATAATAGGGAGTTTAATCTAGCATATACTGTACTCCGGGTATTGTTCGCGTGCGATTTAATTTCGCTTTGTTCGCGAATGTAGTTAAATTGTGAACTGTTAGCGACAATGATATTCTACCAATTGAAGTTGAAAAAGCCATTCAAGAATATTCAAATAAATGCCATAAACGTGGGAAATACACACATTATTCGGATTCTGAACGAGCTAAAAAAGCCAAATACGCATTGATTCACGGTAATCGGAAGGTGTCTAAGAAATTCCTATGTCATCAACTCAAATCCGCGAAATTAAAAAGCTGCGAAATTGCATTTTTGAAAAATTGCAAAATTTTATAGCGTCAAAATTTACCAGGAGTACAGTAAAATCGAAACGCCAACCTATACATATGACCAATCGCCCATACAAATGCATCGCTTAAATATTTTCCATTCACGTTTAGGTTGTGAAAAAAATTGCAAGCTTAAACTCCTTAATGACAAAAACAAATCGAGTTTCAGTGACCCTGGCCTGTAAATGACGAGTAATTATGGGGTGAATTTGTCAAAATGTTTTGTAATTTTCTTGTGATTTCTACTTTCAGGGGAAACCAGAATGTAACACTAACTTTATCATGGAATGTCATCCCTAATGCAGGAGGATTACCAAAGATCCGTGGACTAGGGGAACATTCATTTGCATTTCCAAATGAATATGCCGTCAACAAGGTGTAAAACTGTGAAGAGAAACACTGAAATCTCATCTGAGTTTGCCTCAAAAGATTTGTTCATGAAATATCACCTGGTCATAAATCTTTGCAAAAAACATGGGCGTTGTCAGGCTTAAAACAAGAAAGGCAAGGACATCACCAAATTTTTACTGAAAAATATTGTTGATACAATGTTTTAGAGAAAAAAAAATTATACAGGCTAATTTTTATTTGAAACTGTTAAACTGTTGTCCAATTGTAGCATTTTAACCTCAAAATCTTAAACTTGCCTCACCTATTAAAATTTATTAAAATTTGCCTCACCTGTTTTCTGACCAGAATTACACCTGTGAGAAATCTAGAGATGAATAATCTGTGAAAACACCATCAATTAGCCATCAATAGGTTAAGGTGTAAAAAAGCCAGACATGTTTAAGAAATTAACAGGGAGTGACATCCAGGTGATGTATCATGTACAGTTCAGAGCTCATATTTGTCGACATTGTCATATTTCTAAATCAACAAGCTGAGTGTTTGGTTTATTTCCCAACGAGTTTATCACGTAAACTACAACATGTGCAACAGAATTACTATTTATGTCCAAATAATAGCCTTGCCCAAGTCGGTATTTTTTACTTATCCTGATCTTGAATTATTACCATAATAATAGAAATCAAGATAAGTAAAAGAGACCGACTTGGGCAAGCATAGTCCAAATAATGTATTGAGTATTAGCACAATTAATACTGTATGGTACAAGTTAGACATTGTATAAGTAGTTCTAGGATGAATCGTACTACTACATTTTATATTGTGTTGTATAATTCTAAACAGTACTCACACTTTCACATGAAAACCCTACCATTTAACTTTCAATATTTCAAGATTTATTGTAAATATTAGAAAATATTTTTTGGTGCATACTCCTTGGAATAGGCTCAGATCTTAATATTGTTTTGTTATTTTTGTTGTAATTTTAATTCATCCACTTCTGTCATAATAAACATTCATTCATTTGATTAGAGTAGTACATATTTCAATAAAGGGAGAATCTATTTAATATGGAGAACATTAACTGCATACAGTATTATAATAATAATATTTCATTCTATTGAGGTGAACACAAGTGTGATGGGTATTCATAAAATACAGAATGAAATATTTGTTTTATTATATTACTGTCAAATATAATTCATTCATATGTTTACATGTAAACATGGATTAATGCATTTATATAGGTTAAAACTTCAATGTATGTGTCGTGATTATATTCTTGATCTTTTGTGACATGTGACTCAGTTTTGACCAATCGTACAACTGCATGTTTGATAAAATAAATTCAGTTATTCAATCAGAAAGTATAAAAACTGATATAAGTAAAAATCTTAAAAATTGCTCTGTAAAAGATTCTTTCCTTATAACACCTTGGTCATGATAATATTATCATTCATGAAGGTTAATGTTAAAGTCATATTTCAACTTATATGACTAGTTTTCAAGGCATATGTATTTTTAATATGTATTTTTGTTGTCACAAAATTACATTTGTATTTAATATAAGTGTATATTAGTAGTACAATGTCTTTTCTACATCTGTATATATACATGTACTTGCTATATCAAGCATGTATGTTTATGCCATTGTACATGAACAGGGATAACATTGTATATGTACTGGAGTAACTGATATGTTATTGGCAACATACATGTACGGTAGTAGAACTATGTATTATAGAAATATGTATTAGATATTGTGCTAATAAATTTCAATTTATTTTTGTGTAAAATAGTATTTCAATATTCTGTTTGTTTTAAACCAGATTTTCATGAAATAAAGTATTTTAGTGTCAATGGCCTTTGGCCTTTCGTGTCACCATGAGAAAGAAGTGATCAATTTCAAAATAGCCTTTGCTTTTGTGACTGTCACTCAGAATCTGGAACGAATTGTTACTGTTTTGGAAACCATTTACAATTAATTGTGAAAGTCATTGACCATATTTTATTTTTCCTATTTAGATATAGTAATTAAACTGTCCAATCTGCAAAAATGAAAAAAATCTCAGTTTTTGAGCGAGGAGGGTTGGCTCCCAGAATGCAATCTCAATATTTTCAAACAATGGAAATGTCAGAATCTGACAAACTGGCTATAAAATCATAATCAGCAATCCAAAAGATGTGGGCTAATATCTTGATCACTTCTTGTGTCTTACAATTTTTTGTCTTGTGATAAGACCAAAAGTCGTGATTCAAAATCTGAAGTGAAAAAATGGCTGAATTTTGTAATCACAACATCTTAGGCCATCAGCTTCACCCCAAAATTTAGGTTATCGGTATCAAATCAGGGGAATAATCGCCATAGTGATTTTTGGGAAGGTTAAGACCTCTAGAGTAAGAAAATATGTGATAGCATTGCAACAGTTGTAGCTAAATGGGTGTTATCACCCATTTTTCAAAATGGCCGCCGGTGCACGTGTTACAATATAAGAGTGGGTATATCTAAGCACACTGAGATGCAGAAACTGTGATTTTAGGGCCTATGTTACGGTTTTAGGGGTCAAAGATTTCATTTATGTCTAAATCTATGTCATCAAGCAATTACTTCTTATAGAAATCCAAGATGGCCACCAAAATGGGTGCCAAAACGAATACCGGTATGTAACCATTGATTTAAGCTCGAAGAACAGTTAAAAACAGTGATTTTGGAGATCATGTCACAGTTCTTGAGGCAATGATTTCATTTATGTCTAAATCGGAGTCATAAATAATAGTAAATAATTACCTTTTCATAAAAATACAAGATGGCCACCAAAATGGGTGCCAAAACGAAAATGTAACTATTGATCTAAGCTCAAAGAACAGTGATTTTGGAGATCATGTCTCGGTTTTAAGGGTCAAGGATTTCATTTATGTCTAAATCTAAGTCATCAAACAATTGCTTTTTATAGAAATCCAAGATGGCCACCAAAATGGATGCAAAAATGAAGATGTAACTATTGATTTAAGCTAAAAGAACAGTTCAGAACAGTAATTTTGGAGACTCTTGCTGGAATTACACCAGAAAACCGCTAAAAGCACTTTAGTAGAAAGCGCTTTACAAAATCGCAATCCTGATTACACCAACAATTCTAACGCGCCTTAGGAATTTTATTTTGAAATTACACCTGTCATTTTTAAAACGCCTTTCAGGCACTTTTAACGATGTAGATATGGAGAATATCCAGCAGATGTGTACATCTACAATAAATGTATTCTTTTAGCATTTAAAAGAAAATGTAACCGAGACTTTTGCTTAAGTGATGTGAACTTACTTTCAAGTTTTGCGATATGATTTGATGACCTATTGCATCTTTTGGCTCCCATCCATCATTTCCTGTATTTTTGCGGTGGCCCAAATGTGTAGCATTGGAAATACGTCTTATTTCGTTTAGGGCAAATGGTAAAAACCCAGGTAGGGCGTTTTAAAAAAAACCGATCGGTTTTTCACTACACTCCAAAAGCGGCTTATGATTTAAGTCGTTTTCTAGTGACTAGGGTTCTAGGAGTTTAGGAAAAGCGCTTTTGTAAAACCGCAATAGTTATTACTTTCAAACCGGGTTAAAACCTTAGGCGCCTTTCTAAAACGCATGTTGTAATTCCAGCATCTGTCTATTTTGTAGGGGCCAAGGATTTCATTTATGTCTAAATATAAGTAATCAAATAATTACTTTTTATAGAAATCCAAAATGGCCACCAAAATGGGTGCTGAAATGAATATGTAACTATTGATATAAGCTCAAAGAACAGTTAAGGACAGTGATTTTGGAGACCATGTCCAGGTTTAAGAGGCCAAGAATTTCACTTCTGTCTATAATTAAGTCATAAAATAATTCCTTTATTTTGATATCCAAGATGGCCATCAAAATGGCTGCAGAGTCACAATTTTGAGGACTGACTAAAATGTTTATCTTCATCAAACTCTTTCTGGTGTATGATACACATGTCTTTGAGGAATTTCTTGTGCCTGATCTTCTCCATCCAATAATTAAATCTACTTCTTCCTATGGGCAGTCTACTTCTTTCTATAGTCTATGTTTATGATACTGAGCCACCACAAAACTAAAGGAAAGGAAGGCAAATTACAGTAATATTGCTAATGCGATGATTATACCTAAGATTTTATTTCGCAAATGTTCATGTAATTGTTTGATCTTATTTGACCTTTTATGAATATTAACACTTTGGCATCCATCTTGAATTCTGATATTAATCACAGATTGTTTCATGGCATAGCTCTAGATAACTGAAATTCTTGACCTCCTTAAAGTAAACATTGCTTCCAAAATTATTGTTCTTGGTGATCTATGTGGTTAAATGGATAGTTATATGAATTCATTTTGGCGGCCATTTTGGAGGCCATCTTGGATATCTATATAAATAAAATGTTTGTTGATTTTATTAAAGACAAAATTAAAATCATTGACCTCACAAACTTAAAATATCAAAAATCAATGTTCTAACTCCTCTATATGTTTAGATAATAAATAAAAGCCATCTTGGATCCAAATGAAGGAATTAGTTATAGTTTTAAGCATAACTGAAATTCTTGACACCAAAAATCTTGACATAGTCTCAAATTACTGTTATAAACTGTTCTTTCAGCTTAAATCCAAATTTACTTGTTATTGGCACCTATTTTGGTGACCATCTTGGATTTCTATGAAAAGCAATTATTTGATGACTCAGATTTAGACATTAATGAAACCTTTGACCCCTAAAACCTAGACATTGTCTCCAAAATCACTCTTCTTAAGGATGCAGTACCAGGTCAGCGTAGAATAAGTTCCAGATATTGGATTTTGCTCATATTTTTTACAATGTATCACTATGATGTTATCATCATCCAAGTGCAATATGAAGAGGATTGACCCTCTGGTAATTACAAAATAAAATAATTATTTTACCCACCCAAAATGAATCTTTTTACTTTTTTGAGTTTTCAATAGAGCTGGCACCTTTCGAACCCTGGTTTTCGTATTCACTAATTGCGACTCAAGAACAAGTATTCCCACAAAAGTGAAAGGAATAAAATATGCTTGATAAAATATTTGCAATTTAATTCTTTTCTGGAATCATCATTATCGAAATAAACTATAATTTTTGAATGACTAAATGCGAAAATGACGTTCTTGGGAGCTAGTTTTCTCAAACCGGAAGTCAAACCTGCGCAAACAGACGTGAAAACCGACCCGGTACTGCATCCTTAACTGTTATTTGAGCTTAAATCAATAGTTGAATATTCATTTTGGCACCCATTTTGATGGCCATCTTGAATTTCTATATAAAGTAATTGTTTGATGACTAAGATTTAGACACAAGTCAAATCTTTGACCCCTTAAACCTAGACA